CCCTAACCCTAACCCTAACCCTAACCCTAACCCTAACCCTAACCCTAACCCTAACTAACCCTAATAACCCTAACTAACCCCGAATACGATCCCGTTGTTGATCCACCCGACGAACTACAAAAAATTAGCACGAGCATAGAAGAAGAAGAAAAATAGTTACACTTAGCCGGAGAAGTTATCGCCTTAAAAATACAACGACAACCACGCTTCACATACTTAAAACAACGAAGCCGATCGGGAAGAACGAAGCAACGGTGCTAAGGACGAGACGAGCAAAATTAATAACGAACGGACGCCTCCGCCCCGTCTTAAAGAATGCGAGAAGCCAAGGCGTGCCGACGAGCGCTACTACCCGACATAATTAGTATAAAGAAGAAGAATAACGGTAAAGAGGGCCTGCAGGGTCTTATAAGAACCTACACGGAAGCTTTCGGGCCGAAAGCAGTCTAGAGGGGGGATAGTGTTACGATACGCTTAACAGCAGTGGGGAAGTTAGGATCTTATACGACTTACCGCCCACGTAACTAGTAACGCTAACCTAATACGATCGACCCGGCCGATCCAGCCGCACCCGAACCTACCGACCCGAGCTACCAAACCCTTTTCGGCAACCTGATCACTCTAGTCACCTTGATTACCACTAGTAACCAACACTAATCACACTGATTACTCTATATATATAGATCACACTCGTTACAGTAGATAGGACCTTCGTAGTCAATTTTAATTATTGCCTTGCACCCCTCTTGTTATCTTCCCTGCCTGACTACGGCTGCTATCCTCTGAACACAGTGTCTAGTGACAACCTAGATAGCGGTAGTAAACCCTTGACGCTGCGAACCTCCCCGACGTTCTTGCTTCACCCCCCTTCCCAAGTCCCAACGTAATACTATTACTATATAAATAGTTTTAGTTAAGAGTTTAATATCTAGTTAAGAATAGATATTTAATCTTCGTTACGCCGGGCTAAGCTATATTAGTTAAGATATTTCTATACTCTTTATAGCATAGCCTCGCTAAGTTATTTTATTAGATTTTTAGATTTAGTCGGTTTCTTAATTTCTAGCGTATTTAACTTAAAGATATAGACGCGAAAGCTTTCGTCGCTATTAAGAATATTCTCGTCGTCTATTAAGTTTTTAACGAACTCTATTATCTCTAGTTATATAGAAGCGCGTAAAGTAGCGTAGACTTATTAGAGTTTCTTTAAATACTAGTCCGTTCTACGCTTATCGCTTTTATAAATTAAATAGTTATTATCGTAGTATACGGTCTAACTTAGAGCTACGTAACTAACGGTCTTTACGGCGGTAGAAAAGATCTTTTAAGACTTCTTTAGATTCTTTTTAATAGTAGTCGCGTTTTTACGTATTTCTCTTTTCTACTAGTAGCGATACTTTTTATTTTATTTATCTCTATAGTAAAAGTATAATTCTTTACTAAAGCGCTCGTACTTCTAGAATATAAATTTTCGTCGTCGAATACGTCCGTCTTTACCGTCGTTATCGAACTTTTTTTTCTCTTTTTAAGCTATATTAAGTTCTATAATATTATCTTCTTTCTAGATATAGCGTAGCCTTTTTAGCTAGAAGTTATTAGGCTAGTAGATCTTCTTATCTTACTTAAACTCGTTCTTAAGCTATTCTACTTTAAGAACTAGTTTAATTATAGCTTCTAGAGACTTTATATCTTCGTAGTAGAATATTACCTTCTTAATTTCGCTCTTTAATCCTTTATAGTAGAAGGTTCTAAGAATAAGATTAAAGTACTTCTCGGCTAGAAAGACTACGTTCTAGAACTTAATAGTATAATCTTAGACCGATTTCGTCTATTAGATTTCGAGAAGAATATAAGTCGTCTATTAAACTTCGTCTAGACCGCTAAAAGTTCTTTTTAAAGCGGCTATAAAGTTTTAATAGTCTAAAAATAGTTATTAAATAGTTTCGAATCGTAGAAAGAAGAGTTTAGTCTACTACTTTCTCTTAAAGGGTTAGAACTATTATTTAGCCGCTTCTCTTAGATAGATACTAGTATAGAAAACTTTATTCTCTAGTCTTATAAAGCGCTCTTACGAGAAGTAGATATAGTCATCTAACTAAAAGAGAAAGATCTATATCTTCTTACGTTCTCTATAATATAAGTCGGGTTTAGAGACTTTAATTTTAGTTACTAGAAATACTAATAGTATCTATACTAGCTAAGCTTTAAGAACCGCGTTCTTATTCTATAGACTCTAAATAGTCTACTATAGTTTCTTATTAGTAGAAACTAAAGCTAGTTACTAAGAATTAAATTACTAGACGGGAGGTACCTCGCCCGTATCGTTTATACTAACTAATATATTAACTATATTTACTACTTAGTTTATTAGTAGTTTCTATACTAGATTAATACTTTCTATTAGAGTTAATAATCGTATTAACTATTCTACCTTCTCTTATAAGAATAGTAGTTAAAGTATAATAATAAATTTCTTCTACTAAGCTTCGAAGTTACTTAGTAGATAGTTAAACTATAAGAATTTATCTTAAAGAGATAAAAGAGAAAAAATAATAATTAGATAAGAGAGTATTACGTAATTATACGATATATAATAAGCCGATTACCTCTAAATAAAGAGTCTTAATTAGAACTTTAAGTTAACTATAAAAAATTAAGTATTTAGCTAAGAAGTATATCTATATACTATAGAGAAGCTAGTTATAATCTAGTATACTTTTAAGTAAGAGTATTACTTAGTTATACTCTTAGTAGAGAATATCGTTATTCGTACTCTTAGTAGAGAGTATAAGTAGGTCGTACGTAACTTAGACGCTAAGAATATCTTTTTAATATCTAACTTCTATTCTTATTAAACGATTATAATATCGTACTATATCTTACTTATTTTCTTCGTCTATCTACTTTTCGACTTCTCGTCTTTACGTATTACTTTAAGACGATTATACGTCTAGATCTACGGTCTCTAATTAGATTTTATAGTTTTTCGTCTCGTAGAGAATTCTCTAGTTCGTATCTTTTTTTTAAGTTATCGCGCCCTTAAGAGCGGTCTTTTCGTACGGGTCGTAGCTACCGCCTACTAGTATTTTCGTACGCGCCGTCTTTCTATATCCTCTCGTTTTTCGTACGGGATCTAAGACTATATAGTACTTTTACCCGTAAGATTCTTTAACCTTCGCGGTACTTCTTTTTATACGGGCTTTCTACTCTTAGAGTTATAAAGTCCGTATTTTTTAGAGTTCGTAATAATTCGCTTAGCGCCGCGTTTCTAACTTCTATTCTTTTATAGATATTTTATAATACTTAGTTCTTCGCGTCTAAAAAAGAGATATAAATTTTAGTCTAAGTTATTATAGTTAGTAATAGAATAATTTTATCTTTAGTATTTATAAGATAGTAGTTAAAGTATTACGCTAGAACTTAAAAAGAGAGATAAGATAAAAACGTTAAAGAGATTTATAGCGTTAAGAGTTTACTACTACTATTTAAAATATTACTAGACTTTAAATATAGAGAATAATAGTTATAGTTAGATAGAAAAGATAATAAGAGGAGTATAAGATAATAATTAAAATTAACTACGAAGATTTTATCTACTATAAATAAGTATACTATATATATAAGAAAATATTTATCTTATAACTATAATTCTTAACCGTTATATAGAGGTAGATTATAACGGGCGGTTATATTTATAAGGGTGTGGTCTTGGCGTTATAACCGTTATTGGTGGTGCTGAGTAATGAGCGTGGTTACCGATTCTCGGCGCGGGGATTCGCTTGGCGCCGTGTTTCTAACTTCTATTCTTCTACAGGTGTTCCGTAATATAGCGGTAGTAAACCCTTAACGCTAAAAACCTCTCCGACGTTCTTGCCTTACCCCTTTTCAAGTCCTAGCGTAACACCGCTACACCCACCGATACGACGCTAGGCTACACCGAGTATTATACCGTCGTCGACGGCGACAGTTGCGCGACCGTCCTGGATTCGAGCGGTATCACATTTACGCAGTTCTACGCGTGGAACCCGTCGGTTGGCGATGATTGCTAGTACCTGCAGCCCGGCGTTGCCTACTACGTGGCCGCTCCGTCTTCGCCGACCACCTCGGCGCCGCCAACATTAACTACCGGCGCAGGCGCGGTACCGCCAGGGCCCACGTAGGACGGGATCGCGGCAAACTATACCAAGTACGTCATGCAGCAAGACGGCGTCTTCTGCTACGACATGGCTACGGCGGCGGGCATCACTTTGGATGACTTGTACACATGGAACCCAGCCTTGGGCGGAGACTGCAGCGGCTTGTGGCCAGGGTATGCGTATTGTGTTGGGGTCTCCTAGCTAATCAAGTGTTCCTCTTCGCCGCCAGTTGGGCCACGGGGTGTCGAGCGCTAGGTCCCAGCCATTGTACATTTTGTCGCACTCGGGGTTGAACACAACCCGATGAAACTGTTCGAGCATCTGCAACGGCACTTTGTAATGCCCTGCGTATCTGTACTCTTCCGGCTCGTCCTCTTTCACATCGTCGGGGCCTACATCCGGGTCAACGGCCCAGACAAAGGCCCTTGGCTCTTTGGCGGCATCTTCGACCGCCGCGCTGATGGAATCGAAAGCTTCTTGATCCACAACGAGCGCAGCGAGCCATGAAATTCTGTCGCTCCGATCCATATGCTGTTGCGCGAGTCGTGCGAAATGCCTGCCCGAAGCAGCTGTCAGTCTACGAAACCAGCCGTCACAGTGATAAAGAGACCACTTACCCCTTGACAAACTCCATTCCTGCTTCTTCGAATATCGTTCCATCATCAACCCAGTGGAGTTGCCACATGTCCTTTGTCCTTTCGTCGAACGGCCAATCATTCTCGTCAGGCTGGTCCAGCAAGTACTCCCTGGACATTGCGTATATCTTCTCTTGCACCCGCGCCCATTGCGTCGCGTGCGCTGTAGACCCGTCGCCGTAGTAAGTGCGGTAAACGATAAAGCCGTACCAGCCCTGCTGCCTGTATTCACTTAGCCAAGCTGGTGGCTCCGTCGCACCGGCCGCGTCGGGTGGTTGATCCATTCGTCGTGCAGAAAGCGAGGAGAAATTTCTGATTTGGAGACTACTTAAACACGAGGTTGGCGCTATTCGGGCACCCGCCAGTTCGTATCCCACAGGAGTGCGTAAAATACGGCTCAGCGCTGAATACCCCGTATAAAGGCGGTGTTGAGAACGTCGAGCAAGGTAACGGGAAAGTGTCGCGAGCCTGTAGATCCCCATCGTTAGGCGAGGAAAGAGAAAACGAAAACCGGGCGTCCCTGTATTTATAGAGTAGAGTTGTGGCGCGGCCGTGCCATACGTATGGCTGGTAACGTGGCTGGTAGGGGTACTATTGTCAGGATCACGGGCGTTGGGCTCCTGCCTAAGGTATCCGCCCAGCGGCCCGGCCCCTGTGAGGAGCATGCGACCCGCCTGCCAAGCCCATACGGGTCACGTGCCTTCGGCACACGAGTCTCTTCTTGCTTCTCGCTAGTAGCTTAACGAATCCCCTAAGAATTCGTCTCGATAGCAATCTAGTCTCTTTATTTTCATCGGTAGTAAACTCCCTGTTTAGCCTTAGTACACCTACGTCTTATACTAAATAACTCTAATACCACGCGAGTATAACCGCACCGCAGACGCTAAAGCCTACGACGACCCATCCGCTCTTCCTAACAGCGACCGTGTTTACGCCCTTGCCAAGATCCCACACAAGGTGCCGCACGCCGTTCGCGCAGTGGAAGACGCCCACGAACCCAACCGCCGCCTTTGCACCAACGCGCGCGGCTTTTGGCAGCGCGGCGACGGCGGCGGCGACGGCGTCGACGCGCAGGTCCCAGCCGAGTAGCGGGGCGACGGCGTAGGCGGCGAAGAAGAGGTACAGTCCGCCGGACAGAGCGCAGCCGGTGATGCGGCCTATAATGGAGGGGTTGAACCACGTGTGCTGCGGGCGGTAGATGGAGAGGTGCGGGGAGACGGGGCGGCGGAGGCGTTGGGTCTCGAGGAGGGAGGGGGTGGGTTTGGTGGATGGGAAAGAGTTGGGGGAGGTCCGGGTGGTGGAGAGGGTTCTGGAGAAGGCGTCAGGTTGGTATCGTTGAGGGTTGAGTCTGACATGTGTACTTTGATGTGGTGGTAATGGCCGTTGATGGTGGATGGGGGCGGGTCAAGGCCAGTACACGACGTGTAGGGAGTCTCAGGCTGGGTTGGCGAAGCATTTTGAAGATTGCTGGGCGTGTTCGCAGCTTGCAGAGTAATTGAAGCTTCAAATCTATCCGGGAGGCGAGGCGGACAGGAGGAAGATGACTGGAAAGAGAGAATTTGATTCATCAGACTTTGCACCAAGCGGGATCGAAGACTGAAACCATCGTTACAGAGAACCATGTGGTCGGTTATACGGCCGGCTAACTTCGGGGGAACCTGCGGCCGGCCAACTTCGGGCGACCCTTTAGCGCTTCCGGCCCTTTCGCCCTCGACTTGACGGTCTCCCCAGGATTGCATCCTTTCCACTGTCTTCTCAACCTTTACCTTTTTTTTTTCCCTGGACATGCCCGAAACCATCTTTGATTTCAGCGCGACGCCACACGAACCCTCGGGCCGCAGGAACTACCAGGCGTGCCTTGAGTGCAAAAAGCACAAAGTAAAGTGCCAATTGGGAGATACCGAATCTCCGAACCCCCCCTGTGTTCGATGCCGCAGAGCGAGACTTTCGTGTGTCTTCGGCCCTGCACGAAGACTTATGCGGCGGGCGAACCGCTCGCACAACCCACGTCCATCCCGACTACCGAAGGGGGAAGAACCTCCCGGCAGACCGAGGCTACAGAGCACCGGTGAAGGCCCAGCCGTCACCCGTGCCGTGGAGGCTCCCGAAGAGGGTCGGGCTGTCGTAACCGCTTTCACTTGGACACAGTTCGCTCTCTGCCGAGACGGCTACCTCTCGCCCCAAGATGCCGACTATCTGATTGACTACTTCTTCCGATACATGCATCCGATGTACCCGCTTGTCGATCACAAGTATTGCAATATTGCCAACAGGGCTCAGTTCGCTACCGAGGAAGCCTTCCTTTGCACCACCGTCCTTGCCATCACTTCACGATACGCCTGGCACCAAGCAAGCGCCTTCTCTGCAAGGGCAACTGAAGTCCATGGAGCATTGTATCGACACGTGCAATCAGAACTCCAGAGGTGTCTTTGGGGCTCTGGCCCGGAAAGATACAGCGAGGCCAGGACACTGAGCATCATCGAGAGTATTATGCTGATTGTCGAGTGGCGGCCGCGCTCCATGGACATGATCACACCGCCCAAAGACATCGTGGGTGACTATGCTCTTGAGCAATATGGATATGCTGCTGCACCAACCACAGCCGACGTCTCCCTGGAATCACATGTGCGAACAGCTTGGGATGCCTTCAAGGCGGTTAATATCACGTCATGGCGACTCCTGTGCACGGCAGTCAATCTTGCAGATGAGATTGGTTTGCACAGTGCGATTACAAAATTACAGCACACCCCGAGCCAAGCCCGCCATGCACGTGTGCAAGAGTTCCTGGTATCGCTTGTCTGGGAGAGGAGCTTTCGGCTTGGTCGCAGATGCCAGCTCAGCCATCCAGCCGACGGGTCCAAAGCAATCGCGAACGCCCCGGACGGCCAATTCCTCAACAATATCCTCGAGAGTAGGATGGAACTCTACAGACTTACCCGCCTTATCGAGAACACCTTGTACCCCAGTGCCCGCCAGACGGCCGATCTGATCGCCCGCGGAAACTACCAGACCGCGGTCGACGACTTCTCGGGCCTTTTGGCCGCATGGAAAACACGCTTCGACCGCGTCAAAGCATCGTCACCGCCTCTCGCGAAGCATCTGGAAATCATGTGGCAGGGAACACGTGCATTCCTCTACAGCATATCCCTGCGCGCCCTCCTCCGGGAGCGATCCCTGCCGCCCAGCAGGCTCGAGTCGGGCAACAACGGCAACGGGCAAGGGGCAAGACCCCCACCTCGCATGCTTCAGATGGACCAGTCCAGCCGCCAGGACCACCACATGGCCGAAGAGTGGCTCCAGGCTTCCGAATCGGCCATCGGTGTCGCGCTGGAGCTGCACCGCGAAGGCCTGTTGCGCCTCGCCCCGCTCAACGTCCTATACCACGTCATCGCCGCGTCCCTGGCGGTGCTCAAAGCCGAAAGGCTACCGCTTCGCACGACAACGGCCGATCCGCGCCATCTCCTGACCCAGCTCGTCCGTGCGCTGGAGGACTCGAGCGTCGACGACGCGCACTTCAGCGCGAGGTATGCCGCGTGTCTCGAGAGCATGATGGGCTGCCTGGAGGAGGACCGGCGGCGTTGCGTTGCCCGAGCTCATGGGGGCCCTGCTGACGATGCCGCCGCTACGAACTCATCCTCCCTCGACGGTGGCGGAGGCGACCCTACCGGCATCGCCATTCCTGGCTTCGAGACACCGTTTGGCGTGTTCGAAGGAGCCTCTCACGATCATCCTTCCTTTCTAGATTGCAATAATGAGGATTGGAGCAGGTGGTTATCTTTCTGAGCTCTGTGTGTACACATACTTTGCCTCGCCCTGAGCAGACATTTCCTCGTTCAGTCTTCCTTTTGGTAAAGCTTCCTGCCTTCTTTGCTGTTTGCGAATTTGTTCCTGTACATATCGGCGTTAGACGTGTCATTGCTTTCTTTGTGTTCCTTTTCTACCCTGAGATGAATTCGACATTTCTTCTCTTCGGCTTCCCACATACCTTTCTTCCGCCCACTGCAGCGTGAGGTAACCCAGCAGCATCGGCGTCCCCCAGTACAATATCTGCTGTCTTGTTCTCCTCCAGACGTTGAAAACTGCTGCATGGAGTGCTCCAGCCATGGGGTTGACGCGGTTAGGAGCAAGCCTGTAGGTGACGATGCCCCGCTGCGGGCAGAGCTCGGATGCCGCTCCCCATTCAGGCTTGTGTAGAGCGTGGATGCTCAAGCTGATGTGCCTTAGCCTGGAGGCGTCTGATGCCGAACAGGTACGGGTCGGACTTACTGGCCGCGACTATCTTTGTCGATGTAGTGCATATTGTTAGACGTGTTCGAGTTTCTGCGGTGTCGTGAGGATCGTGTCTCGATTGACGGCTTCTCGGGTTATATGATGGGGGGATGCGCTGTCCCCTAACACTGCCCTCCGTCGTTTCGCTTTGCTTCGGCCAGGCACGGAGGGAACGCCGCGCATATGGTTGTGCCGTGGTAGTGCGCCACTCTTATTGACAGAGGGCTGCACTGTTCCGGAATAGGCTCTCTTTTTCTCGCGCCAGTGCATCATTGTCTTACTGCTTGGGCCAATTGCGGGAGGCGCAATGCTCGTGAACGAGCTTACGCCCCCGCGTGTCGATCTCGGAGTCCCGCGCACCGCTCGGGCACGGCATATAGCGCTCGGCAAACTTCGGAAACCTACAGTGTTGTAGCGTCGGCATAGGAAATGAATGGTGGCCTGGAAGTGCATCCACGTGGCTGACGGTGGCTGGTTGCCCACCTGAACCCTTATGGTTTCTGCGATGAAGGAGCCTGGTCGCTAGTGAAAGTGTCGGTTGTTTGTCACAGCATCTGAGATGGAGCTATTCGATTGAGCGATGAGGGAGTCAGAGTAGATAGAGGGACTTGTGAAATGGGACATTTTCATTGGTGCTTCGGATGGCTCTTTGTCGCCAAATCGTAGAGCTGGTACGAGTGCCACCAAGATCCGTGCAATTGAATTTCGGACACCGGTCTATGCTTGACTCCCGTTCACAACTTTAAGGACGACTTCGGAAAGTCGGCTTTCCGGCCCCGAGTTAAAAGCTCTAAAATAGCTATAAGAACGCCGTCTTGAGACCAGACGCAAATCCAACTTGAACCCACCACTATCCAACTCATCTATATTCCATCTTTCAGAACAATGTCTGCAACCGAACTCTCCACCCATGTTCCGCCCTCTATGCAGGCGCCTCTGGATCCCCTCCGCCTCCTCGGCCTCTTGGCAGTGTCGATGCTAGCACTCTACCGAGTATATCTATGGCTGCTTCCCAAGCCCATGCCCGGTATACCATACAACCACGAAGCCGTCAAAAGTATCTTCGGCGATATACCTAGTATTGTTGCCGAAGTTGGGAAAACGAATGACTTGATGGCCTGGCTCCAAAAGCAAACTGAACGGCACCGTGCCCCTCTCGTTCAAGTCTTTATGTGGCCGTTCTCGAAGCCGGCGTTGCTTCTCAGCGATTTCCGCGAGTCGCAAGATGTCCTTCTCCACCGCGCCAAGGATTTCGACCGCTCGACCTTTGCGGGCGACATCTTCGGCGGCATCGCGCCCAATTTCCATATTGTCAAACGCACGGGGCCCGAGTGGAAGGCCCACCGTCGCCTCCTTCAGGACCTCATGACGCCGTCGTTCCTCGACAACGTTGCCGCCCCATCAATATATGACAGCATGCTCGATATTGTGGACCTTTGGTGCCTGAAGGCGCGACTGGCAGATGGCCGACCCTTCGCCGCTGCTCAAGACATCCACAACGCTGCCCTGGATGCCGTCCTCGCATTCTCTTTCGGCAAGGAATTCTCGAGCCGTGCGACCAAACCTCAGATCGAGCTGCTCTCCGGCTCGAAGAAGCGTGAAGCCGAAGCTAAGGACAAGCCCGTCACCTTCCCGCAGGCGCAGCTCGACCCGAGCATTCAGTCCATGATAGACATCACCGACGTAATGATCCACATCAAGTCCGCTCTCCTTCCTAGAGTAAAGTGGTGGTTTGTCCTGATGCTTCCGCACATCCGCCGCGCATACCAGACCAAAGATAGGTGCATCATGCAGGAGCTGAAGAGATCCGTGGAGGCTTCGGGAGGGAATAAGTCGTCCCGCGACGACTCCTGGGTGCGCTCGGCCGTCGACCACGTCGTCAGCCGAGAGACACGCTTCGCGGAGAAGGATGGCCGCGCGCCCGCGTACTTTTCGCCAGTGATGCAGGACGAGGTGAGTTTATCCCATCCTTCACCCCCTGCTGCACACTTATATCAACCGTGACACTCCACAATCCGCTGACCAAACTGCCAGGTCTTCGGCTTCGTCATCGCCGGCCACGACACGACTAGCACCTCCCTCAGCTGGGGCGTAAAGTTCCTCGCCGACCACCCGGGCGCCCAGCGCCGTCTCCGCCTCGCCCTCCGCGCCGCTTTCTCCGCCTCCGCAGCCGAGCGCCGCCTCCCCACACACGCCGAAATCACCAAGACCCCAATCCCCTATCTCGATGCGTGCATCGAGGAGATCCTACGCCTCGGCAACACCGTGCCCGCTTTCGACCGTCAGGCGCTGCATGACACCGTACTTCTGGGTCACTTCATCCCGAAGGGCACCGTCGTGTTCGCCATGAACAACGGGCCCGGTATGCTGAGCCCTGCGGTGGACGTGGACGAAGCGAAGCGCAGCGAGAGCGCGCGGGGGGATGAGAAGACGCGGAGGAGGCCGTGGCAGAATGAGGGCATCGCGCGGTTCCGGCCGGAGAGGTGGCTTGTTGGGAAGGATGGGGAGAGGGTGGGTGATGTGGAGGAGGAGGAGGAGGAGGAGGAGAAGGATGCGTGGAGCGAGGCCGTGTTTGATGCGCAGGCGGGGCCGGCGGCGCCGTTTGGCGGCGGAGTTCGCGGATGTTTTGGGCGCAGATTGGCATATTTGGAGATGCGGTTATTTTTGACCATGGTGCTGTGGCAGTTTGAGCTCTTGAAGTGTCCTGAGGATGTATCGGGCTATGAAGCGTATGATGGGGTAGTGCACAAGCCGAAGAAATGCTTCGTAAGGTTGAGGCATATCAAGGAGTGATGCAGGGCTATTCTTCAGGCCATACAATCAACGGAAAATCCACACTGACAGCTTGCTTTCTATTTTCAATGAGAGGTATAAAGCTCTGTCATTAGCAATTTCATATCATTGTCTGTGATGGAACACGACCATGCGAGAGTTCCTCTAACGACCACTGCCTCTCCCATCATTGTTGCGCGATTCCTGTTCCTGAGGTGTGGGATTCCAGTGCATGACGTCCCACTCGCTGTTCGGTTCCGGGCACCATTTCCACTTGCCGACTGTGCGAAAGTCCATGCTCTGGTACAGCGATTTTCCAGCAGGACTTGCTGTGCTGTGAACTGGCACGCCTTCTTCAAGCGCCTTGTCCATGACCCACTTCACCATCATCTTGCCGATTCCCATCCTTCGGAAGTGTGGGCTAACGCCAAGGTCGCAGAGTTCGTACCGCTCCTTCGGCTTTTTAAAGCCTTCTTCAGTCCATACGCGTGAGTCGTCTTTCCCATCAGCCTCAAGAAAGGCCGTCGAATTAGCAACATCTACCATAGGGTGGTTGCTTTCCATAAGAGAAACTACAGGGTCGGATCCACCGACGGCTTTCTTTATATCTGCTGAAAGGTCTTTGGCTTGAAATATCAACTTGAGATCGTATTGGCAAGTTGAGGCGAGAGACATACCCTTTCGAGGTCCTTTTCTTCTTTTCCCTCTTGTTTCACGCGTGAAGACACAGAAGCCGACAATGTCGTGGCCGTCCTTCCAACCTTCATCCCCAGATTCCAGGACAACAACGACGGCTGATCCGCACGGCCTATCAAAGCTCTGCCTTAGCAGGGCTTCCTGAGCGTTCACAAACGCCTCAGGGTAGTTTCGACGGCCAGGATAAAGGTAAGCCTCGATGGGATCGTTGATGAACGCCACTGCGGAAAGGCGGGCCATCGCGGGTATGTCAGCATCTGTTGCTGGCCTGAGTAACATTTCACTCCCTGTAGCTGTTGACGATTAAGATTCTGAACTCCGCTATTTGAGGGAATTTGACAGCACCTACGAATTTTCAAGTTGATTGGCAAGCGTTGTGGGTGTAAGAGGTGTGATGGGAAAAATCGCTACCATTCGCATTTGCGAATTGCGAGAATGTACTTATATAGAAGGATAAGAAAAGAATACAAGTGGCACGCCTTAAGAGAGTGACTGTTTTTTCGCCGAAACAGACCGAACATTGACACCGGGGAATGTCAGCGGTGTGATCTGACACCGCGCTCCCGAAAAAGGAAACGTCATTTCGCCGCCTCGAGGCCACCAACGCAAGCTCAGCTGCATCTTTGATGCAGCCCAACCTTTCTTCCATGAAGTATCACTGAGCCTTTCCAATCCACGGCAACGCACCCGCACAGTCAATGCACAACAGCCTGTTTGGTTTGTGGTGCGACATGCGTGACCTCGCCTGCAATAGACGTATCGCCGTTTTTAGCCGAGCGCTTCGCAACATACTCCGGAATGTTCTCCCGCTTGGTGTGGGTTGGCGGTGGCACGCCTGCTCCTGCTGCGATGCCCGCCTCACTGCAAGCTGCCTGGCTCAAGCTGTGGGCAAAGAGCGGCTCACCGTCGCCGCCGAGGAAGATTCGTTTGAGCATTTCTTTAAGCGTCATGCCGTGGATGTACGGAGATGTGGCAGCGGAAGTGGCAGTAGTTCAGTTTGGTAGAATTGGTTTCTCGCAGTCTCGGGGCGGACAGGTAGGGCGAGGCTGCGTCTTTATTCATCCAGGTAGTTCGCCTCCGACGTCATCGGTCGTACAAACTTTGACACTCCAGCCTTTCAGCTTGCTGATTTGGCTCGGCAGCAGGTAAGGCTGAGTCGGTAGGGCTATTTCGGGTGCATGGTTGTATCCTCGTGTCAGCATTTGCTGACTCTATTAATATTTAAACTTCATGCACGGAGTTTAACTGTCAACTCTAACGCCGCGGGAGCTTATTGCAGATAAGAAGAGAACGCCACTCTAAATATTTCTAAGAAGATGCGGCTGACACCATCCAAGAACGCCACTCTAAATATTCCTAAGATGCGGCTGAAACCATCCAAGAACGCCACTCTAAATATTTCCAAGACGATACGGCTGACACCATCCAAGTATTATACGTATTTGCGCGAGTCCTTGGCCGTGAAACGGCTCCTCTCCATCCGCAGAGTTCTTCCACAGCCTAATTAGCTTCAGCCATCTAACGACAGTATATATGTTATCACCAGAGAGGCAAATGCATAGCCCTGTTACTAGAAGTTACAGATCCTACATGAAGTCGGAAGCGTGAGCTCCTTCGTTGTGGTCGCGACGGCGCCGACGCTCTTCAGTCCAGTTCCGGCCCAATCAATCAAGCAAATGTCGGGAAGGTCGCTGGGAATTGTAGAGTGGTATAGCTTCACGCTCATCTGAAATGAAGCTTTGCACTAGAGATCAGCGTAAATGGTAGAGGCTGCAAGCGAAATCATCCGCCGGGATTGATTTGAACTACGTCCGATATCCTTAGAAGCAACAGAGCGTTATTACGGTAAGCTTGACAATCGCTTAGACCAAAGGACTTGCAGGTTATTAGCTACTCACCTTGGGAACCACACGGCGCAGTGCTGAAAGTCGAACATATTAATTAGGGCGGCGTCTTGTCGTGGAAAGGTTCAGCGTCGGCAGCGGCTTTCTTATAGCCAGAAAAATCCACTACATCAACTGTAAAAGTTATCTCTACATCCTAAAGATTCTTCAAGAAGCGTGTAGTGGCATAGCTGGTTGGATGTTTCCGCTGCGGGTGGCAGTATCGGCGGGCGTGGGGTCTGTAGTTGTATGCGAGGAATGAGCGCTGTAGATGTCGTAGGTGAATGTGCCCCTGGTGAGATGGATGATGATAAAGTCAAGTATTAAACGGAGCGGACGTTGATACGCGGGAAAGAGGGCGATGGACCGGTTAAAGATGTCGTAAAAGCTGAATTTGTGATATCCCCTATTTCCATCAGAAAGAAAAGGTCACAATTTAAGAAAGACAGATTCCGCGAGGGAGAACGTACCAGACAATGGCATGTACACTATGAGCTGTTCGAAATGGAACGGCAAGGTCCGAATGCGAAATTGCCACAGCTTCTGAGCTTATGTATCTAGATATTGATGGATTGCAGACGGATTTCTAGTCTCTAAAAGCCGTCAGATGCAAGTTAAGTATCGGTACGTACTAAAAGACATTCAGACCTCTCGTTAAACAACCCCTAGCGTGCTCCCATTATTGCTTTATCGGCTCGGCATACCGAGGCTTCCGTGTAGCTGTAGTAATCGTTGCCTTCCATTCAACACGAGCGATTGGTACACGGCCGAAGCGCGGCAGAGCCGGTGCAATGCATGATCAAGCTCGATTGACAGCTCAACCCAGAGCGGTGAAGCTGGTGGAATTTTTCAGAATTAAGAAGCTCGAAAGCAACCGTGAACGATCTGCATAGGGGGCTTTCTGGTTCTGCAGACTCACGACAAAGTAGACGTTTCAAGAAGAAAGACACACGAAGGGCCTCCGTCGGCAACCTGCCACTGACGCGAATGCCTTAGAAATGCCAGCAAAGTCCTCACCAGGGTAGCGTTCGAAGGGTTTCGGAAATATAGCCGCAGATAACTCCGACCAAGCGCCCAGAGCACTTTCTAGAATCAAGCGTTTAGAGACAGCCCGCTTTGACCGCCGATTGATCTGCCACGGCCTTCCCGACAACGGCGGGCCGCAAGCGGATAGAAACAGCATTCCTACCAAATACAAACAAGTGGGTACAGTTGAATGCGCCCGTGTACCTCGCTCCCGGAGATTTTACCTCCTTTCCGCTCACGCCGGTGGACACCGATATCGTATAACTACACGCTTTGACTCTGGGTACTTGGATACTCCACCACCTCCGCTGCCGCGGCCACGACACGGCAGGCCTTTGGATCAGGTCACGCCACATTTGCGAGTATGAGGAGGTGTTATCTGGCTGCCCGTCCAGCAAGCATGTCCCCTGCTCCCGCAGCAGCAGCATTGTGGAGACAGACGGTCCTGACGTAAGTGGTTTGAAGCAACACTACTAACCGGCCGGGGTGATGAAATGAACCCCTCTACAGCACCGAGGAAGCACTACAGGAACAGCTCGTCTGCCACAACGCCGGCCGAAACTGTTCTGTGCTATTGCACCTGCCAATCTCACCAACGTGGTGTACCTGCAGTACACTTTCGGCATCACTCGCCAAATTATATGCTTACATGGTAGCGGCTTGTGAGGTAGCTCGGGTAAGACGTTAAAGTGGGGACAGTGAAATCAATACGGGGTTGAGGAAACGGAGTCCTCACGCCCGTATAGCTATCTCGTCCAGACAAAGCGCGAGGGGACAACCAGTACAGTGCCCCGTAGACTCTCTCCTTCTCCGATGTAGAAAAAAAGACGTGTCGTATGCTGCTGCGAATCTCCTTGGGGTAATGTGAATCATGCGATTGGGCTGGATTGGCCGGTTGACGTGGGGAGGTTTCGGGTCTCGCTGTAGCTTACCTATCTTCTTCATCAACACCACGCCATTGTGGGCTGCCTATCGCGATCGCGATGAATTATCAGATGCTTTTTACTCCTTTATCCCCCCTCTATTCAGGGATTACATGCCTGCTAGTCCGTGACTCCGCTTTGTAATAGCTGTTGTCATAGCACGACCCATCTGACAAAACCCAGCAACGGATGATCACTTACCTACCAAAGCGAGATTGTCAATGCCGCGCAACCGAGGGTGGAGATGCTGACATGTTTTAAGGTTTCCCCCGCGACGATGCAGAGTGGATACTGGGCTGATGAGGAAAGATCTCTTGCCACGAGGCGGTGGAGACCACAAGTAGCGAGGCGAGCGCGGAGGTGTTCATTGGCGTCCGCCTTGCGTCAGTCTAATTGCCGACTCCGCGGCTTTCTTGTTTAAAAATGGAACTGCCCGTACGGAGATTGGCCAGTTGCACAAGCGACAAGTGACTGATTCGTTGGTGGATGGCCCAGAATCTGTTGTTGATTCAACATCCCGGTCGCGATATTCTTCTCCTCAGGCATCGATGCAGACATGGTTTGAGGTCGTGTCGGTGAAGGTTCAAAACGACTACAATAGAAGCACCCGGACTTAATTTCACCGGCCTAGCCGGTCGGATGCGCCGGGGCGTCAGCGAGACAGGGGAGTAGGTATCTACATTGGGGAGTTCTCTTCTGCCACCGTGCAAGACATCGAAAGGCTCAAGGGTGCGGTGGCCATTGAGATGCGATCCAGCTCGCTGATCGCTTCCCGCGGCATCTTCGATCGCACGCGTCGGGGCCGCCGGCATTGGTCAAAGAGCCGCTTTATCGGGCGAAAGGTCCGGTATTCGTGACGATTGGAGGGTGACGGGCAATTCCATTGGGCGTCGATGGGTGAGGATAGCGGGCCCTCCGCCGCCGAGCGTCGCGGCCCCGGGCGAATAAAGGCCGGAGGGTGGTAGATGCACACGACACGAAGGGCCGGCCCGTGTGTGGCCACAGTTGCCCACATCACTGTCCAATGATAGCTCGGAGGTAACTCCGCCCCATCGGCATCTTCCACAGCCCAGGTTTCAGCTGCTGGTACCTGCACAAAAAAAGCCGTCGCCACGGTTTTGAATTCGTCAATCAATACGAGGTCTGACTTGTAAGATTGCGCAGGCCGCAGTCTCGTAGGACCCGATGCAGCTAGGCTGTAATACCGGATACCACCCCGGACTATCACGGAACGTTGCAACTAGCTAGCTGCTGCGCCACGAAAGGCTTCTTCTTTATAGTAAAATCAGAGGGATCATGAAGCGTCAAAATACGCAAAAGGGCTGGTGGTGGTGGCTTGGAAGCTGTCGACAAGCCACGATTTGCGCACGGAGCAGCACGTCATTGTCCAACCAGCTATCACGGCGGCGGCGGCAGCAAGGGCATCCGGGGTGCGAATGTACCCCGACCACCAAGATGGAAAAATATCCGCCGTCGCCACACGATGGTCGAGACTGGCATCTGACTCTGATGCTCGAGTAATGGTCCCCCGTCAACATGAAGCAGGGCGTTGAACGAGGGTAGAGCCCAAACACTGCATGGGAATGCAGCTGCTGCAGCTGCCGCATACTTTCGCACAGAGAGCGGGCGGCTATGAGATGTGTATAAATTCCAGCGTTGTAGTCCATCTCAGAGCAGCAGTCTCCAGTCCTCAGTTCCATGTTCACCTCGAATACTCAACCTTTTACACTTCCCGATATTTCTACTTTTTCTACTTTGATCGGCAACCCCACGATCATGTCTGCCCGAGTCATCATGTCCCGCCCGTTTGTGGCCGGGAGTTTCCCCCGAGTGTCTGCCGTGCCGCCGCCGATGCGGCTGGCTCGAAGGCTCGCAACACTGACCGACAACACTGCAGCATCAACGATGCCTCCAGGTCACAAGGCCACTGTTGGCAACCTGAAGACATTTGAGCTGCCCGAGGTGCTCACTGGTAGCGCATCCGACCAGGCGCTGGGCCGCAGCATGATTGATGCTTGGCGCAAAGACGGCATCCTTCAGATCTCGATGGATCCGATCAACCGCAAGCTCGCCGACGCCGCTTTCATCTGCAGCAAGAAGTTTTTCGACCTCCCCTACAAGACAAAGGCATCCTGCGTCGACGACCAGTCCTTTGCAGGCTACATTGCATCTGGCGAGGAGATCACCGACAACATTGCCGACTACAGCGAAATCTTCACTGTCACCAAGGACCTGCCGCCCACGGACCCGCGCGTGCAGCAGAAGTGGCCGTGCCACGGACCCTGCCCTTGGCCATTCAAGCAGATGCGCACTGTCATGAACACGTACATGGATTACCTCGGCGAAAGCGGCGAGAAGATGCTGCAGCTGATCGCCTGGGGCCTTGGGCTCAAGGACGGCAACGCCCTGACCAAGTACACCCAAGACGGATGGCACCACATGCGCGTCCTGCGCTTCCCTGAGCGTAACAACGTCAACGGCAAGGGCAAGGATGGCCGAGGCATCGGCTCCCACACCGACTACGGCCTGCTCGTTATCGCCGCCCAGAACGACGTCGGCGGCCTCTTCATCCGCCCGCCGATGGAGGGTGAGAACTACGCCAACTGGCGCAAGAGCTCCGCCGGCATGGCCGAGGATGACGACAAGTGGACGTACGTGCCGCCCGTGCCTGACGTTTTCACTGTCTTCCCCGGCGACATGATGCAGTACGTCACCAACTCGTTCCTGCCGTCCACCCCACACAAGGTCGGCCTCAATACCCGCGAGCGCTTCGCCTTTGCCTACTTCCATGAGCCCAACTTCTCCGCTGTCATGAAGCCGCTCGAAGGCTTCGACGCTGGACAGGAGCCCCGCGAAGGCATCCACTATGGCACCCACTTCACCAACATGTTCATGCGCAACTACCCCGAGCGCATCACGGCGAACCGTATGCGCAGCGAGAACCGCATGAAGCTGCTCGAGTCCCCTCAGCTTCGTTGGGCAGAGACCCCCGAGACCCCGAACATCAAGGCCGAGCCCCCCATGGATGCTGGTCCGCTTTTCGGCAGCGCGCAGTCACAGGTTTCTGCGCAGATCTAAGAGTTGGGTGACAGAGAAAGACAGATGACGGCCGATCGTTGTAGCATGGCAGGATGGGATTGCAGATAGAGCTGACTGGATTCTTACGAATGTTTCTGTGTGATTTGGCGTCAATCGTTGTTTAGCCTTGCATTTATTCGCTCGTTCCACGCTGTCAAAATTTCAATATGCAGTTTAGATATATTCCCATAGCGTTAACAATCGTTAAGCCTCATTTTACCATGACTCTTCTTTACACTTGACGAAACCTACTACAAGTGTTCCTACACGATACAGCATCGCTCAGAAGCTATACGCCTTTGAGTGTAGATAACATAGGGACTTCTCCATTTTCTCATCTTCAGCATATATCCACCTGACCTAAAAACCTGAATCAGCCCAATGAATTTAGATGGCATATCAGTATTGTAGGCTTTCAAACTTTTAATGCCGTGAAATCATTGAGCAATATTATTTCACATCCCACTATAAAGTCGGAGACATGTACCACTTAAATTCGAGCTTAATCTATCTAGAGTTAATCTCTACATTGGGGATGATACTTTAAGCAGAGTGGAGACGAGCCATCTTACAATGGTAGCTGCGGCTGGGAACAATCCCGTTGTAGTTTTCAAACATTCTAATACTAGGTTTGGTGCGGCAGCTGCCGAATACGAATGACCTTCCTCAGCATCATCTCGTACTACCAGGATCCGGACCGAATGCTCGGAACTGGGTACAGCTGGTGTGAACTTTCGAGTTGCTCAAAAGACTTCAAAGTCATTCCGTTAATTCCACTTGGCTCTGCTTTCGGTCCTACGAGCACCCTACATTTTCTATGCATCTACTGGATGGTAAAATATCAGTAGCCTAGGCTTTAAAAAGTTCGGTACGCACACCGAAGTATAAACCAGAGAATTGTAAAGGGTTGATAAAAGTTACGGAATTCTTCAGCGCGTACGACTTCTGCTGCTTTTCCATTTGGTGGTACTCCTTTGATTGGATGGGCAAATAAACAGCAGCCCCGTTTCCATAATGGCCTGGGTTCCGATGCTCGGCCACACACATGACATACAACATCATTCCGTCTCATGCTAGATCACCCCGCAGCCCAGGTGGAAAACACGGTTGGTGTGGGCCTTTATCTTGGCAACCGCTGCCCAATTGGCGGCTACCAGCTACGTGGTATAAGTTTAGTGGGATGCTTTCATGGAGGTGTTCGATGCCGGTTTCAGCCGAAGGTATGGCTTCTGGAATCCCGCATCTCGGACACACCTGGGCAATCTCAATGCTCCTCCAAATAGATTTGTGCGAAGATCTGGCCTTCTCTGGCCCAATGTCTTCCAACTTGACAAACAATGTGATACGCAGGTCCGGTCCACAGTATTACGTGGCCATTTTCAGCCTAGCCCTTCTCTATCTACTATTGCCCTTTCCCTGCACATCTATCTATTTAATTTGGTATGCGTGACGAGGTCGTGGTCGGGTGGATAAATGCAAAATGAACAAGGGTTTCTTCTATCTGCTTCGCGATTGGCAGCCGGCCATAAGACTCGTAAGTACTGAACTAGGAACTACGCCATTCATCATTGTTTAGCTTCTCGCAATCGCGAAACAACGGCAGAGTAGGGGGAATGGCAAAGCCGTTGGACTCTCGATTGACGAAGAAGCCCATCATAGTGTGCAAAGAGGCCAGCACAGTTCCCCACCGTAACATCTACGTCATGTCGGGTCGAGGGGTTCCGGTGGAACTACTGGCCAAGAGAGGTGGTCAGCACACAGGCCCACTTCGTCATGGATGGCCCAGATTGGGATGTAGATCAGTAATATGAGGGTTCGGAATCTGCGATCCGGCTGGTGCTATAAATATCCCACGACAAGTATATCAATACACTACGTGCGCTCCCCCAAGACGGTGACACGGATCCCTTTGGACTCTGGCCTGAAGCCTCCGGCAAATCCATCCCAGGTAATCTCGACGTCCGAGGGCGATGTTTCGAACAGGGCAAGGTCAAGGCGTCTGACGACGGAAGCCACGGCGAGGAACAGCTCGGCCGTCGCCAAGCTAAGCGAAGAGTGGTGAGAAGAAGCTTCAGCGATTTTTCAAAGGGCACATACTGGATACCGATGCATGCACGACTGCCCTTGGAAAAAGGGACAACGTATTTCCTGGAGTGCTCGTTGACTCCCCCCTCGAGCCAGCGCTCGGGTAAAAACTTGAGCGGCTGGGGAAAGAGTTCTGGGTCGAGATGGATGAAGTGGGAGGTCATGCTGGTTGGAGTCTGGAGGGCACGCAGGTTAGCAAGAGCAGACAAATAGGAGTGATGGCTTACCCCAGGCGGAATGGTCCACTCGCCGCACCGCAACTCCTCGGCGGGTGCGATGCGAATCAGACGAGAAGTAATGACTGCACCGATGCGGTGTTGCTCTTGGATGACGGCTTGCTGGTTGCATGTCAGGAAAAGGAGGTTTAGACTCGGGATCTCGACTTACGAGATAGGGCAGCTGCTCAAGTTGCTGCCATGACGGCATGTTTGCCGGATCTGGGATGGCGTCGTCCAGTTCTTTCCTCAGTTTCTGGAGCACGGGAGGATTGTGGAGCAGATTGAAGGTCAGAACTGCCAAAGTCTGAGCGGTGGTCTCGCCGCCAGCGCCGATGAGAATAAGGCCCTCGTCCATCAGGCGATCCAGCGTCTTCTCCTCGGGCGGCAGACTGCTTTCCAATATTTCCTCAAAAATTGTCTTGCTCGGGCCCGTTGAGCGGTCCGAGGCGCGTTTTCGCTGCATGACGGCATCGACTTGTTGGCGAATTTTCTACGGCGGTCAGCAGAGATGCACAGCGCAACAAGAGAAAGCACATACGCGCTGAAGCTGGACAAAGAAGGCGGCGGGCTCGCTGATGCGCACGGCAACGGAGTCGGGGAGACTGGTCAGGACGGCGCCCAGCCATGGGAAGTGGCGGTTGACGATTCCGGCCTCGATGCTGGCCATGATGGCTTTCTTCCACGAGGCGCCAAAGTCGGGGGCGTCGACGAGGCCAAAGGGCTTTCCGAAGGCATAGCTGGAGATGACGTCCAGGGTCAGGGCCATGAAGGCCGTCTGCAGCTCGACGGGCTGGGAGGCGCGCAGCAGCAGGGCGGCGACCAGCCTGTCGACACGATCGCGCACTAGCGGCTCGAGGGCGGCGACGGCGCGCTTGGAAAAGAAGGGGTTGAGAGCCTGGCGGCGCAGGCGGTGGTGGGCGTGCGGCACGGTGCCGAAGGTCGACTGGCCGCCCGAGGAGCCGACGTGCCAGGCCGACTTGTCGCGCGGCTGGCGGCCGCTAGTGTAGAGCGTGTCGTACCAGTCGGGGTCGCGCACGTGGATCTCGTCCGGGCCGATGCGCACGACCGGCCCGTAGACGCGGTGCATGCGCTCGATCTCGCGGAAGAACTGGCCGTGCCGCACCACGTCGAAGTAGAGCTCGTACCATCCCGACACGGCCGCCAGCCGCGGGCCCGGGAAGCGCGCGAGCGGCGAGAGGAAGAGGCGCTGCACAGCCGTGGCGGCAGCACCAAGGACGGCCAACAGGACAAGGAGTGCAATCAGGGCCATCGAATCGTTTGGACGGCCTGGTGCTGGGCTCGGGCACTTTTTCATAAGCAAGCGAGCGTGGCCGTAGCCGGTTCCCGAACGGGCCGGTCCGGCGGGAGGGGCCGATGCTTAAAATAAGAGCCGAGGCCAGGCCCCCCCCGCCGGAGACGGCTGCAGTCAGCACACCACTGATCCTGATCCTGCAGCGGCGCCATGTCCGTCCGTGCCTGCACCTGAGCCTGCAGCCTGCCGCTGCTGAGCAATCGCAGCCGCACCGGACTTAGCGCTTCCGTGCTGACAAAGAGCAGAGCCGTGGCTTTTAAGCCGCACCGCCATTGCCCCTCTGCCGGCCCACCATCACCACCAAACAGACGCAACAATGGGCTACGCGACCACCTTTCTCTACTCGCAGCTCTTTGTCAAGCTGCCTTACCCGCAGTCCGACTTCTCCGACCAGGTTGTCATCGTCACCGGCTCCAACACCGGCCTGGGCCTCGAGGCCGTCAAGCACCTGGTCCGCCTCCGCGCCGCACGTGTCATCCTTGCCGTGCGCTCCGAGTCCAAGGGCCAGGCCGCCGTCGAGCAGGTTGTCGCCGCCACCAAATGCTCAGCCAAGCGCCTGGAAGTGTGGCCGCTGGATCTCTCCAGCTACCAGTCCATCAAGCAGTTTGGCGAGCGCGTGCGCACGCTTGATCGCCTCGATGCCGTCATCCAGAACGCCGGCATTCTCACCACCAAGTGGGCCCTTGCCGAGGACAACGAGAGCCACATCACCACCAATGTCATCAGCCCCATGCTGATTGGCCTCGAGGTGCTGCCCAAGCTGCGCGAGAGTGCGCAAAAGACGGGCCTGCGCGGCCGCCTCGCCTTCGTCGGCAGCGACCTGCAGTACATCGCCAAGTTTTCCGAGAAGAAGCACGGCGCCAGTATCTTCGCCGCCCTCAACAAGCGGGAAATTGCCGACATGGACGACCGGTAAGTGCCCGCATGCAGTGCGCCCCCAACACGTGCTAAGCGTCTATGCAGGTACAAGGTGTCGAAGCTGTTGCTCCTGTACGGCGTGCGCGCCCTGGCACAGCTCAGCCCGCTGACGCCCGAGTCCAATGTCATCATCGACAACCTCACCCCCGGCGCGTGCAAGAGCGACATCTTCCGCGACGATGTCAACTGGTTCCAGCGCATTATCATGAACCTGGCTATTTCGCTGATTGCCCGCACGACGGAGCAGGGCAGTCGCACCTTGGTCCATGCGGTGAAACCGGAACTCGGTCCCGAGGCTCACGGCGCCTTTTTGATGGACTGCAAGGTCGCTCCGTAAGTCATCGCCCCCACGCCGCGGCTGTCAGCTAACCCGACACGCAGCAACGGCGCCAATGTCGACGGGCCGGAGAACGCCAAGCTGCAGGACCGCTTCCGGGAGGAGCTGTTTGCGCGCCTAGAGCAAATTTCGCCCGGCATTACGAAGCTTTGAGCAGAAGGATCGCAGGGGTGGGGTCGTCTAGCCGTTTTTGTCCTTTCCCGCGCACGTTGATAGATTAATGCATCGCTTTCGCTTCCACCTATCTTGTGCCGCAACGAAACGTAACCACGGAAGCTGTACCTTCCGGCAATTACAAAGCTTCCAACAACATGCAGGAACCCAAACAACAAGACTGCTGTCGGTAGAAAAGACCACAAGTGCCACTTGCATTTCTACACACATCACCTCCACATCCAATCAACCATGCTTTCCTCATCCAGTGACGACTCGAATGTCGAGCCAAAGCACGCCATCGACGCCCCAGCTGACGAGTATCCCACGGGATGGAAACTCGGCTCCGTCGTCGTGGCCCTGGTGTTGGCTGTCTTTCTCGCTTCGCTGGACATGGTGCGCCCCTCGCTGCTCATTCCTGTTTGGTTGCTAATCCCGCCACCCAGAACATCGTGGCAACCGCAATCCCCAAAATCACTGATCAGTTTCACGCACTTGACGACATCGGATGGTACGGCTCAGCGCTGTTCCTCACCGTCGCCTCTTCGCAATCTGTCTGGGGCAAGGCCTACAAATTCCTCGATCTCAAAAATGTATTCCTCGTTAGCGTCGCCATATTCGAGATTGGAAGCCTCATCTGCGGTGCGACCACCCTACCCCACCCTCTTCATCCTTGTGTGCTGACTGTGGCACAGCTGTTGCACAGAACAGTGTGACTTTCATCGTGGGACGCGCCATCATCGGCCTCGGTGCTGCCGGTGTGCTTGCCGGCTGCTACATCATCATCGCCTTCGTCGTGCCGCCGCAGAAGCGGCCTGCTTTCACCGGAATCATCGGAGCTACCTATGGCGTCGCGAGCGTCATTGGTCCTCTGATTGGAGGTGTTTTCACCGATGGCCCATCTTGGCGCTGGTGGTACGTTGCCACAAGACTTCCGCAACACCGGTAATTTGACTGAAAATCATGGCGCAGCTTTTACATCAACCTGCCGATTGGAGGCGTGGCCGTGGCAATCATCGTCGTCATCCTCAAGACGCCCGAGGCTTCCGTTTCCGAAGAAGCGCGCCGCGCATCTCCCCTGGAGAAGCTGCTGCACATGGATCTGCCCGGCTTCTTTGTCGTCATGGCTGCTGTCGTCTGCCTTCTGCTCGCTCTGCAGTGGGGCGGCGTCACCAAGGACTGGGACTCGCCCGACGTGATTGGCACCCTTGTTGGCTTCGCCCTCATCACGGTGCTGTTTCTCGTCATCGAGTGGTGGCAAGGTCCGCGCGGCATGTTGTCTCCGCAGATTCTCAAGCGTCGCGAAATCTGGACGGGCTGTCTTTTCAGCTTCTTGTGAGTTGATCATAACTCCTGCCGAGTTTCATCGCTGACTTTTATCTTCGCAGCCTCGCTGGAGGCTTTTTTATCCTTCTTTACTATCTCCCCATCTACTTTCAGGCTATTCGGAGTACTTCTGCCCAGGAAAGCGGGATCCGGAATCTCGCACTCATCATCGCCGACAGTAAGCATTACCCCGCAACCTGAGCAAACGTGCACTGTTGCTGACAGAACAGCCATCACCGTGATTGGCTCCGGAGCCATCATCACCGCGACAGGGCAGTTCGCACCACTCGTTGTCCTCGGCGCCGTCATGACTACTGTTGGCTCCGGGCTACTCTACACCCTTGACCAGACCTCAGGCCCCGGCGAGTGGATAGGCTATCAGGTCCTCGCTGGCCTTGGAATCGGTCTTTGCTTCCAAGTACCTATCATGGCCGGACAAGCACTTTCTCCCCCAGACGAAGTTTCTTCCGCTACTGCATTAATCCTTTGTAAGTTTTGTCTTCTCTGCACTCCGCTGCCTCATCTCTCCAAGCTTCTGACCTTCCCAACAGTCTTTCAAACCATGGGCGGCGCCATCATGGTCAGCGCTGGTCAGGCAGCCTTCACGAACAAACTCATCAGCAGCATCAAAACCTCTGCGCCCAACCTTCAGCCAGCCGCAGTCGTCGCTGTTGGAGCCACCGATCTACGGAAGTCTTTCTCTGGCCCCGACTTGACCGCCGTCTTGGCCGCTTACACCGATGGCATCCAAACTGCCCTCATCCTCAGTATTGCTTTGGCTGGCATCGCTACCATTGCAAGCTTGCTGGTGCCTTGGAAATCTATCAAGGGCAAGGCTCAGATGGGAGCTGGCGCCGTTTGAGAAATTTATCAAAGCTGTCTGTACACGGTATTCGATTGGTTTATCCAGAACGTTTTATAGATCTACTTCGCGTTCTTTTGTTTTTGTTTTTTCTCTTTAATGTAGAAAGGATATATGTTTTTGCAGCGGCGTTTTCCAAATTTCGGTCATGAAGGAACCAATTTATACAGATTACAGGATTGAAAAATTTTCAAGGCTCTTGGGTAGATCTAAGTATGTTACAATTTAATGATACCGTGATATCGCGATGTATGCCTCCGAATTTCTACTCTTCTGGAGAAGCACCTACTCTCAAAATATATTACTAAACAAACTTCCACACTTACATTCGGCAATTCCGATTGTGGCTAAGGACTAGCTTACTAAATACGAAGCTTCATTTAATGCCTGTCCCTGTATGAATAATATGGTAGGTCAAGGCCGATTATTTTCGCACTCACCGGACCTCTGATACGCCAGAAAACAATCCCACGCTAGAGTCCGGCAGAGGGCCTGTTCCGTACTCGGGTTAACTTACGGCGCCTGATCGATCCACTTGGCTTGCGATTCGATTCGCGAGCCATGGCGGCTACATAAGCCGAGGATGGTAGCTGACTCAGATACAAAACTCCGGACCCCCTCATGTTCCGCTATCGCCGAAAGCAGAAAAGATATATGGCCCGAGGTTCAGTTCCAGTGGGGTTTCCGTGCCTCGTACGAGCTTTTCGTCGGCCGCGATACGTTGGATTGCGAGGCTCCTCAGGCTGGGCGGCGCCTACACCAGATGGAACGCGGCGTCGCAGGACCATCATGCAGTAGCGATAACTATCGGTGCATCCTGCCGGTGGCTGAATATCCACTCGGGCACTTAATCTAACAAAGTTGCGTATCATTTCAGATAATCCTACGGGGCTGTCTCTTCATTCGGTGGCCACAGTAAGGCGCCACTATCTCACGACTGGTTCATCTCCTACGGAACGCCTTCATCGGGCTCTCTACGTATGATCCTTCAATGCCTCGACCAACCCCACCGGAATCTTCGTCTCCATCTTGATCCGAGAACCGACAATGGGCTTGGCTGCCGTTGCCACGGGCCTGGCGAATGATTTGTAACTCTTAGTGGTGGACGGCCATTCCGGCGACGGTGGGCCTCTCTGGCCGGTGGTTTATTTAGCTTGATTGCCGCACTACTCTGGGTCTATCCCAAGCACGCATCCATCATGTTCTCCCTTGCAGTGTTTTCTGTCTTGTTCGTTGTTCTTCTGGCGGTGAAGTTTACTGCATCGTATTTCAATCGCCCGAAGGGAACCCGTTGGCTACCAGGTCCAAAAGGTTTGTGCTCCAAGGCTGTATTCTTTCTTTAGTGCATTGCTAATTCATGCAGGAATCCCGTTTGTCGGACGTGTTTGGGACATTCCACGCACCCACAGCTACAAACAGTTTAAGAAATGGTCTGATAAGTTTGGAAACATCTATCAAATCAACATCTTCGGAGTCAACCATGTCTGGATTGCCTCGGACAAAATCGCAAACGACCTCTTGGTGAAGAGGAGCCAGATCTTCTCCGACAGGCCTCCCATAAACAACCTCGAAGATAGCAAGGAAGCACCTGAGTATCTTCCTCTTCTAGGATACAATGGTAATTGGCTCCACCTCCGCGTTGACGCCCATTGAAACTGACAACATCATCAGATGTGTGGCGCCGCCAAAGGAGATTTGTCCATGGCATGATGTCTGCGTCTGCCGCCCAGCGTCACCAGGACCTGCCGTACCTCGAGTGCAAGCAGTACCTGGTCCAGTTGCTCCAAAACCCCCAGGACCTCGAGCATCTCTCCGAAACATTCACCGGTCGCGTGATTTCACGGCTGGCCTTCGGACACGTGCGCTTTGCTTCCGACATCACGGAGCACTCGCACGCCCTCCTTGGAGCCATCTCGCCAGCTGCAAACCTCACCAACATCATCCCCCAGCTTCGACTCCTCCCAGCCTGGCTGTCGCCCTGGAAGCGCGCGGAGAAGGCTCGCCACGAGCGCGAACGCGCCTTCTTCGTCGACATGCGCGAGCAGGTCGCACAGGCCGTCGCCTCCGGCGACACGACGCCGTCATACATGCGCATGTTTTTCGAGAACAAGGAAAAGAGCGGCATGGACGATCTCGAAGGCGCCTACACAGTGGGCATGGTCGGGCTGGCTGGCATCCTGACAACGGCGTCTGCCCTCATGACGTACGTGCTGGCCATGTGCTTGTATCCTGAGTGGCAGACCAAGGTGCAGGAGGAGATCGACCGTGTCTGCGGCGACCGGATGCCAAAGCCGTCGGACGCCCCTGACCTTCCCGTGCTCCGCGCCGTCATTAAGGAGTGCATGCGTTGGAGGCCAGTGACGCCGAGCAGTGAGTCCCTGTAACCCTTGAAGCTTTGGAACAGATCTGCTTACGCGTTCTCCAGGCATTCCGCATGAATCTCAGATGGACTTCATCTACGAAGACTTCTTCATCCCCAAGGGAACGCATGTTCATCCAAGCCAATGGTTTGAGCCCGCCCTCACCATCTGCGACCGCTACTGACTGTTGATCCAGGGCCATCACCCGCGACGAGAGCGTCTACCCCGATCCGGAACGCTTCAACCCAGAGCGCTGGCTGCTTCCCAGCTACCCGTCCTACCAAGAGCCGTTGACCAAGTTTCCTACAATTCAAAACTTCACCACCTTTGGCTACGGCCGCCGCATCTGCATGGGCATGGATCTGGTCGAGCAGGAGTTCCTTGTCGGCATGGGCGGAATGGCCTGGGCCTTTGACATTGCCAAGAAGCGTGATCCTGCCACTGGCCGCCCAATCCACATTCCTGCTCACGACTACACCAGCCTGCTGATTAGCCGACCCCGCCCCTTTCAATTCACCCTCAAGGCCCGGACTCAGGAAAGGGAAGCTGGCATCTGGCGCCAATATGAGGAAGCAGTCGAAGCGGGCCATATCGCCGGTATCGAGTCGGGTTTCTAGATGTCAGGAGGAAAGGTGTCTATACGGTACATGCTTAGATTTAGATTGCTCTAGGACTCAAGGTCGTTCATTCGCTTTTGTAATCATTCTTTTTTTTTTTCGTTTGCATGAGTGCACGAGTGGACACTAAGCGCGAGTGATATTAAGTCACGACCTGTCTGCTTTAGTATAAAAAACTTCTTTGTCACTTTAGTTTAATTTGAAAGCTTTTAGTATTGGTTCTTCATTGTTGAGTATGAGCGATATTACAATTTCACCACCGGTTATAGGGAAAATATCTTCAGCTTTACGGAAATTAAAATCTAAAGTTCTCAAACTTCACTCTTTCTAACTATGTCGGAACTCTGGCACTCATTGTGGAGCCGGATTGCTATACGGAGTGCAATTATTATTCAAAGCTCTCAGCCTCAACATGCATGTGCCTCTGAATTCGGAAAATTGTATAAAATTCTGCATATTGCTTTCTTGCTGGACTTTCTACTAATGAAAGACGACCCAGTAAATCTAGAAGCCTACAGTCCCGAGTCACTCTGACCCCAGAACGCATCTTCTGCATAAGCGTTCCAAGCAGTACAAGTCTCATCGTAACCGTCCGGCTTTGAAGGTATCTGATCGCGTCCCTCTAGAAAAGTAACAGCCAAGCCCTGGCTAACGTGCCATGCCTGAATCACGCGTAATGTCAGCGTACTCTTCGCCTCTCTGTTTTGGAAAGCTGGAGACTTACGATGTGGCAGTGCATCAGCCAAGCGCCTGGATTGTCCGCTTTGAATGCCAGCAACAGCCATCCGCCACTCGGAAGAGTTGCCGTGTCACGCCGCGGAGGATTATCGAAGTTCAATGGCACACTCGCGTTCCACATCCCCGAGCCATGGCCGAGTATGAAGAAGTCATGGCCTTGCTCGTGGTCAGCTGGTTTGCTCGATGTTCAATCATGAAGGGAGCCTCGTACCGTGAAGGTGGACCGGATGGGGAATGGGAACAAGAGAATCTTCGGGTTCTTGAATGATCCAGTACGTCCACTGAGAACAGGCAAAGTCAGCTCGGACAATACCATGGAAAGCACTCCAATGTACTAACCTCGGCTCCATGGGGGATGTTGACAACATTGGCAGCTGCGGGAAGAGTTCCATTCGGGCCATGATCGTAGATGGACGAGAGAATGGGCTCTCCAAGCTCTACCTTGATTGAAGAACCGTTGACACTCCAAAAGACTATGTTCTCATTAGCCGCCGTGGGTCCTGTTGCTAGTGCATCCCATTCGAGCGTCTGCACAGCACTCTCAAAGCCCTCGCGTGGAACACTTTCGGGAACCCAAGGCACCAGCTGCGGGTCATCGCAGGTAGCATTCAGTTCAGAAAGGTCTTCATCTGGTTCCCCTGGCTCGCTGCCTTCATAAGAGAAAATGGCACGACCGCGGTTCTGGTTGAAGCTGCGGCAAGCGTCCGAGACATTTGCATGGAACCAGTAATTGCCAATGGATTGGTTGGCCGTTATTATTACGTCGTACCGCTGGCCTGCCACATGGTCAGAAAAGCATTCCCTTTCTGCTCGTTGATTCATACCATTATTCAGAAGCAGCTGCGTTGTGGTAAATGGCTGTACAGGGACAAAGTCGGCTGCAATGACCTCAAAAGGATGGCCATCCAGCGTCACCAGCAGCTGATTGTCGATAGCACCATTGATGAGCCGCAGACGGTAGCGCTGGCCATGCTTGAGAGTCGTGATAAAGAATTCGCCTTGGCCATCAAGAGACTTGCCTGTTCCATTGATGAGAATGTTTTCGGCTGGAGGCGGGCCACTGGCTGCCAAGTCGCCGGTGGGAAGCAGCTGCAGGTTCGCGTTGACGGTGTAATAAGTCTGGAAAGCAGTCTGGTAGAACCAGTCCGAAAGCATCATACTCCCCAAGTCGACATCGTAGTCGGCCGTAGCTGGGCCGTGGACTACAATGGGTCCAAATACACCATCTCCCCACTGCGCAGAGAAGTGGCTGTGATACCAGGATGTGCCATGCTGCGTGAGCTGGAAGGTGTACGTCTTCGATCCTCCAGGGGCGATCGGGCCTGGCTGACGCCATCAGATGAGTCAGATGCTTGGCTGCGAATGACTTACAGCTCGTGATACCGTTTGTACCATCCATGGGGTTGGTACCGAGCTGGCGGAGGCCGTGCCAGTGGATCTCGGTGCCATTGTTCTGCATGTGATTGGTGACGGTGATGCGCACAGTATCGCCCCAGGATCCTGAAACAACCGGGCCGGGGTACTGGTTATTGATCAGAAGGCACACGCGCGACCCATGGCCGTCGGGATTGCAGGTGGTGTTTGTGATGTCAAAGTTGTACTTGCATGGCATTCAGTAAGAGCGACAAGTAGCGCGGCTGGAAGAGAGCAAACCTCGATGATTTTGCCCGTGTTGGGCCAGCGCTGGGTGGCGTCGTCGTCAATCGTTAGGCCTGCAGCCCAGCAGCGCCGCGAGTTCGGGCTGTGCTCGCAGATCTGACCGTCAGAACTTCCGTTTGTGGTTAGCGCTGCGGCGGCAGCGAACGGGGCCAAGAAGGCAACAGCCGCCGTCCAGGCTCGAAAGGCATGCATCTTTGGCGCGAATAAACTGATCGTCGTGGATGCGACACTATCGTGGCTTCGTTGCAGCTCTTCAAATGAGCCGTCGCTTGGTCCTTCGATCAATTGCCGGTCGCGTACCGGGCCGTCCGCATTCGAATTGAAGCCGAAGCCAAAGTCTCGGAGTGTCCGAGACCTGCGCCACCAACGCGAGCCGCAAAATTGATGGCGTGGGTGCCTGGAGTGCGGCAGGAGGCGGTCCGGATCCTTCTCCGGAGGAGTCGAGCGATCGGAATTCCTTAATCGATACCTACCCTTAAGCGAGGCTCCAAATAATTCTCACTACCGTTACAACACGCTCGCCTGCCCCCACGGATCCTCTGGAGAGAGCCGCAACCACGAAACTCCGCAATGCCTCATCCAGCTGAGCTATGCCGCAATCTGTTGGTGACTGCGCCTCCTGACGACGCCTCGTCCGCTTCCAAAACTCTGGCGCTTCCAAAAATTGCATCTGAGAATCAGCCATGGCGTGTATCTCGAACGCCTTCACGGTGTTGGAGCACGGGGGCGAAGTATCGTGCCACTGGATTGCAACGACGGGAAACGGTATATAGACGGGGCAAAATGTGTTGTACCTGTCGTTTCAGAAATCACACCAAGTTCATTCATCAAGATGCGTCTTCTCTTTTCTTCAGTCTCTCTGCTTGTTGCAGGCAGCAATGCGCTTCCCGCGCTGCTCCCGAGAGCCGGCGATAACACTTCTTTTGCGAGTCCCGGGAATGCATCGTACGATTATGTAGGATCAATCCCCACTACAGCAGAGACGCGGAAGATACTAACGGGTGCCCAGGTGATTGTCGGAGGCGGTACCGCGGGTCTCACGGTGGCAGCGCGGCTGGCCGAGGACGCGGGCACCACTGTGGCCATCATCGAGGCTGGCGACGTTGCAGAGAACGTGAATGCCAACATCTCCAAGGTGCCCGGATACGGCTACAAGGTCTCCATCGAGGGGTTGGACTGGGGGTTTGAAACAACGGCTCAAGCGGGCGCTGGAGGACGTCAACTGGCATACAACCGCGGCAAAGCGCTGGGCGGGAGCTCGGCGACCAATCTTCTCGCCTACCATCGCGGCACGGCCGATTCCTTCCAGGAATGGGCCACGCTAGTTGGTGACGATAGCTGGACGTTTGCCAATTTCCTTCCGTGGTATCTCAAGAGTGTCACGTACACGGCGCCAAACCAGGACCTGCGCGCTGCCAACGCAAGCGTTCCCGCGCTGAACCCGGCGTCCCAGAGCGCCGAGGGCGGCCCGCTTCACGTAACTCACTCGAACTACGCGGATCCGGTTTCCTCATTCGCCCGCGACGCATGGAAAGAACTCGGCGTCGCCGAGCTGAACGACCTGCTCAGCGGTAAGCTGATCGGCAACCAATATTCGCCGGCCACCATCAATCCGGATGACCAGACACGCGATACCAGCGCCACCAGCTTCTTGCAGTATGCGACTACAAGTGGACGCGGCAATGTCAAGGTGTACAAGCTGTCCATGGCCAAGCGCATCCTGTTTGACGGAAACACGGCAACGGGTGTGCTGGTGAGCGGCAGCGACTCCGAGTTCACTCTGTCAGCGAACAAGGAAGTCATTCTGGCCGCAGGTGCTGTAAGTTTTCTCACATTCCGCAACTCTCCATGCCAGTGTGTTGACGCAGCCGCAGATGCAATCGCCGCAGATGCTCATGGTTTCCGGCATCGGCCCTGCCGAGACGCTCGAAAAATACGGCATCGAGGTTATTGCGGATCGCCCTGGAGTTGGCCAGAACATGCAAGACCACATGTTCGTGCCCACGTTGTGGAAGGTTGACGCCACGACCGAATCGCAGCTGTTCGATGCCGAGTTTGCAGCCGCGGCGGAAAACGCCTTCAACAACGACCACACCGGCATCCTCACCAACACTGGCGCCGACCACTTCGGCTGGGAGAAGCTGCCTAATTCTTCGCTGGCGCGGTTGGACTCGGCCGCCCGCGAGGACTTGGCCAAGTTCCCCGCAGACTGGCCCGACTACGAGATGGTCATCGGCGACCTCGCCTACAGCGGCGACGCCAACTACGCCCAGGGCATCATGATGCTGCAATCTGCCACGTCGCGCGGCTCCATCTCCATCAGCTCTGCCGATGCCGCTGATCCGCCTGTTATCGACACCCAGACGCTTTCCACGGCTACCGATCGTGCTGTGGCCGTCGAGGCTGTCAAGCGAGTGCGCCAGTTCTTCCAGACCGAGTCGATGCAGCGTGTCGTCCTGGAAGAAGTCACCCCTGGTCCCGCGGTCCAGACTGACGATGAGTTGCTGGAGTTCATCCAACAGGCCGCCGGGCCCGGCTACCATGCTGCCTGCACCTGTAAGTACACGCGTTGCTAATGAATCGTCCTATCGCTGACACGTTCGTAGGTGCTATGGGCAAGACTTCGGATCCCAATGCCGTCGTTGACACTGAAGGCAATGTCATCGGCGCTAAGAGCTTGCGTGTCGTGGACGCGAGCGTTTTCCCTCTATTGCCCCCAGGCCATCTTCTCTCCACAGTTTGTAAGAGACCCGTTTGAAAGTATTTATGCAACCTGCTCATATTTCGATAGACGCTGTGGCAGAGAAGCTTGCCGACGCAATCAAGTCATAAGCATCGTGAGGGATGTGAATATGGAAGATTCTCTTCGTCTCGTAGACTATAGATTTTTCTCTTCGTCGATTACCAACTTTTAGATACATGGTCAATTCTTACTTGGATTCTGTTCTCATTTCGCCTCCGTTGCTGAATGTTGAGTCGAAATTCCCTCTCGTAGTTGAGAGCTGTGAAGGCAATGTATCGTTTACTTACAACGCTCTCACGGCTGTAATACTGAAATGGAGTTCTCGGATAGTGATGGTCGACACTTTTGAAACGGCTCTACAGTCTCCGGGTCTTATCGACGCGTTAGGGCCCAGCCGCTGAGCTTAACTCACAAACAAAATATATTGGAACATGAGTTGTCGGTAAACAGCATTTATACTTAACTGCCTCTCGCCAAAGGCACAGCTTTGCGCCGCTAGCAGCCGACTATACATGTCTGGACTTCACCTAGCATACTAAGTTCTACATGGCATGGCTTGAGATGTACGAATGGAAATAGCATTTTATTTCTATTTGTAGTAGCAATCAAAATATCCAATCTAAGAGTAAGACCCCATGTTCATCCCGGAGACCAATAGCCCTAAGACCTGTTACGAAACATGATCTCAGCTGCTGGGTTGGGAATGACTCTGATGTCCCGCGCAATGTCCTGCGGGCGCTTATCACCTGGCTTCAACATGATGTCGTAGTCAGTGAGGATCTTGGCGAGCAGCATCTTGATCTCGTAGCTGGCAAAAAATCTGCCGGGGCAGGCGTGGCTGCCAACGCCCCAGTGGAGTTGGTCTGTGTCGTTTGTCGTGACGAACTGCGCGGCACATGTCAGTTCACCGCGTTGGATCGAATGGGACAATCTCACCTGATACTTGGCCTCGTTGCCCGGTTGGGAGCGGAGACGCTCGAATCGGAAGCCATCGAACTCTGAGGCGTTCTCAAAGAGTGATTCGTCCAGAGCATTAGCGCCCGCTGCAACGCCGATATGAGTGCCCTTCGGGAGAACGAGGCCATTAGACAGCTTAACGTCAACCTCACACCTTCGGTTCATTGTAACTGAAGTGTTGTCAGAGATGATGATACAGGAAAGGCTGCTTGCACGTACCGAGACCCGGGGGCCGGAACCTCTGGGATTCCTTTAGAAAACTGTCCATCTTGCGCAGACCGGCAACACTGGCCTTCGTCCAGACATTCCCATGCTTCTTGCGGACTTCTTCCACCTCGTCCCGCAGCGGCTGGATGTATTCTGGATGGCTTGTGAGATCAAAGACTGCTTGTGCCATCTATGATTCTGTCAGCTCTATGTGCATTTTCAGCAAGAGCACCCTGAGCTCACCGTCATGGACGTGGTGTGGATTGCCACTACGGAAATGAGCATCTGTGTTTTAGATACGTAGTGAACGTCCTTGGCATTCTCTGGGCTCGAGTTGTCGATAATCCACTGTACCATGTCCTGCGGAGGCTTGTACCCATCCTCACTCTCCATACGCCTACGGCGCTCATCCATAATCGGCTTGAGCATTCTACCTCTTCAGTCAGCATAGAACCCCGGCCGTGATACGGGCAGAACTCGCCTGGCACCATTGTCAAGATACGTATGGACTTTGCGGATCTGAATTGGTCAAAATGCTGCCCGCGCGGAGAAAGTTGCGTGGTAGCGTACCTCGGGAATTGCATATCGAGCAAACGGGTGCAGGAACCGCGGATACTTCCATAGCTTGTCGGACCCGACGAAGCCATCGATGGTATAGCTCAGCGTGGCATTGATCCAGTCCGGATTGCGGTTCAATGGGAGGCCAACGAAGATGCGCCCGGAGAGAAGCGCCACCAATGCAGATAGAGTGGGATACAGGCGCACTGGCTTCCAGTCTGTTCACCGGCGATCAGCAAGGCTCTTGGTTGTAGGAAAGACAGCATACCTTTGCAGTCGCCAATGTGCTGGCTGACGGCGAAATCAACCTCTTCCTGCAGCTCGCCAAGGATCCTCACAATGTTCTTGGTCAGGTCGATTTTGACAGAGTGAACCAGCGTGTCGTTAACTCCAAGTCCAGTGTACTTGCCGATGAATCGTTCCGAAACCTGCTTCTGGAAACTGAGGATGTTCTCGGGCTGATTCTTGATTTCATTGAGAAAGCGGGTGGGCACGATGACCATGGAGTGATGGGCCGTGGGGATGGTGAAGGTCGAATCCTTGAACTGTGCATGCCGGTTAGACCAGCATGATTGGGACGTGGGGACTCACCTTTTGGTACCCGGCTTCCAGGGCGTCGCCAAAAGCCGGTTCCCCGGGATTTCCAAGCACCGGGGAGTCTTCGATCTTCTTTTCACGGCTGATGAACCACACTCGAATGACGAAAAGGGCGATGACGGCGGCGACCCCGGCAATCGCTTCCGGGGCCTGCAGCGCCTTTAAGACAATCTGACTGCTCATGGGGGGTCTCGCGCTCGGGCTTTGCCTGCTGCCTGTGTCGAGAAGAGATCAACACCCTTCAGGCCCGGCGCTCTTATATCGAACATGATGGTGAAGCTCTCCAGAATGTAAGCATCTCCATCGGAACGGCCTTCGGAAGTGTGGCAGTCTCGGTGTTCCGGCCTCCCGAAGGGTCGGCAGCGGCACGGTTTTGCACGATGAAGGATGATAACGGGGGGCCAAGATGCGTACGGACAGATAAAAATGGACGAATCCTTCAGAATATTGATGCAGGGTGGTGCATTCGCCTAGAACGACCTGGGCCGGCTCGCCGGACCGCCGCCCTGGATCCGAGCCGGGATGAGCTCGGTTTCGCGTTTGGGTTTGCACGGTTACGTTATCTCTCCTGGGACGAATAGCCAATGCTGCGATAGGATACGAGCCGATTAAATCCGGGCACATGCATCCCAAAGTGGCGACAGGGTCCAGTGGCACCAGGAGGTTCGTCCGGCGCGGGGCTGGGGTGAGCCGGGGCAACGTTCCCGCCGATGTGGGGCGCTGCGTCCTGAAGCTTGACTTGGGTGGCATCTAACCGCTGAAACGCATGCGTAAGCTGGGCACGATAAGGCCCCGGCAGCATCGCAGCCGCAGAGGGGCACTTGCCCGGAAAAGAGGTCGGTGCTTACAGAGCGACGCAGCCACAAGGCAGCAGCATAAGCTGCTTCCAGAGGCGAGGCGAATCCTACCACCTATTTGAAGTTGCTTTTTCCTCACCAACCAGCGGCAGCGCCCCGACGGGAATGCCCGATTGGTGCGCGGGGCTATGTACGTCCCTTAGCAATCCTCAGCAGGTGGGGCTGCGCGCTCTGAGCACGCAATAGCGAATGCAACCGCGATTAAAGTAACCGAGCGCGGAAACTATGGTCGTGAATCGCCCTCGGAGTGAAAAAGCGCAGGCACCACGGCCCAGCTGGATCGGCAAACCGCAACATGACTGTCTACTGCACCTTTTGTGGAAACGGCTTCTCCAGAGCTGAGCATCTGGAACGGCATCTGCTGATCCACAACGATGCGAGGCCATTCAGCTGCGAAACATGCCATTTGAGCTTCAGACGAAGGTACCTTTCTTGTTTCTGTCACGGAGAAACGTCAAGCTGACGAGCTGCCCTCCAGAGACCTCCTCCGTCGCCACATCCGCAACGCACACGCCCCGCCCACCGCCGATGATCCCCAGGGCATCGCGAAACCCCCGGATAGAAGCCCACATGCGTGCATCAATTGCGTCAAGAACAAGACTAAATGTGACAAAGATGTCAGTGCTTCAACCGCAGTACGGGTTTGAGTTTACACTAATGGTTCCCTGCAGATGCCGTGCACGCGATGCGTGCAACGGGGCTGGACGTGCGAACCAAGGCCATCCCGGCGATCGCAGAAACATCCCAAAGCAAGTGCAGAGCAGGACAAGGCACTGGACCGGGAACAGTCCAGCTCCGCGGCGTCGACGGCAGACACAGCGGCTGATGAACAGGGCCCGGCCGTCCACGATCAAGACGCTGTTCTGCAAACACCCTCTCCGCTGGCCACGACTCTATTTTCGCTAGACCAAATCCCCGCCCCCGATCCGAAGGCCTTCATCGATCACAGCCATCTCAGCGAGCCGTCGCCCTTGCTTGCCGACATTCCCCATGTCCACCAGCTATACTTCGAGAACACCGATAACCCAGACTTTGGCTGGCTGGACGATGGCATGATGCCAGGGTTGACCATGGATGGGGAGTCGATAGAAACATCTCCAGAGCCTCCGAACTCGGCGAGATTGCTCTATCCCCCACCGACAATGACGGCCGACTGTGGCTCCCCTCTACCGCCCGTGCCAGCTATGCAGCCTGGCTCAGATTACTTTGGGACGTATGAAGCTTCCCTGGAACCGCACAAGGAGACCATGCAATCTCGCGACGACCGGCTTGAGAAATCAGACGTCGACATGACGAGCATTGCTCACGGTGCTGTGTCAGAGCCTACACTCAATGCAACACCACCATACGTGGTCGAGACCTTTACCGCAGACGCGCGAGATCGTCTCATTATGGTCGTCCAGCGTGTTTTGCACATGGGAAGCCAACGCTCAGGGGCTGAGATGCAGGGTTACCTGCAACTTCCTCAACCGAATGTCTTGGAGTCTCTGCTGCACGGTTTCATGCAAAACGACCAGGCCTACTTCGACCTCATCCCCGGGAGATTTCTCGAGACCTCGGTACTCGTGCAATCAGGAGACTACGGTACTCTACCTGGTCTCTTTCTCCTTCTGGCTCTGGCAAAAGGCGCAATATGCAGTGGCAGTGCAGACGGCTGTGCATTGGCCGACACACTTATGAATGCTTGCCTAGCAGCGCTATCCGATGTCACGGTCAAGACATCCCACTGGCAGGGAGGCTTCAAGGCCTTCCACTCTTTATTACTACTCCAAGACCTGGCAGCTTGGAGTAGCAGCTCAAATACCCAAAAGGTTGGACATGCCCCGCCACTGAGACTTATCCGTGTTAACCCAGTGGACAGATTGGCAGGTCCATGTGGATGAAGGGAATCAAGGTACGTGTACCCTCAACCCCAGGTTCGGGCAGGCCTGACTGGTGTGTAGATGCTGCATGAGGATGATTTGATGGAATACAAGCCGCTCCAGCTCGGTCCCAGCGTAGACAAAGAGGCATCCTTCCACCTGTGGAGGAACCGGGAGTATCAAAGCAGGTAAGATAAACGGTGACAAGGGCCTGATGTTTGAAATCTCTAACGACGATAGGCTGCTACACGCATGGCTGCTGACTGATTTGGAGATGAGTCTTTTCAATGACTGTCTCCCAAAAGTCTCAGCGAAGGACATCCGAGCCGCCCTTCCGGAAAGCCCGCTTCTCTGGCATGCCCGGTCCGTTGACGAGTGGCTTTCTGAGTATCAACGGATGTTCGCAGATGACAGCCCACAGACCCAACTGCATACTGAATCCTTTTCAGAGGCAGTCCGCAAGTTCATCCATGGAAGCGGGGATTCCTTGCTACAAGGCAACGTCTGCCCCACCAAACTTCTCGGCGTCCTCCTTCACTCTCTACACTCACTCTCCTCCCATCTTCATTACTCGTTCGACTACATGTTCCCAACATCCGATCATGGCTCGTACTCCGTTTTTACTGCCTCGAGGGCTCTCTCTGGGGAGGCACAAGTGCTTCTCGAAAGATGGCTAAAGCTCTACAATACGGTAAAAGCAACATCACACCACGGGTCATCAAACACAAAATACCTCATCATGTACCACTTTATTTGGCTGAACCAGCTTACCTCCTTTCCTCGAATCGAACGCATGCTCTGTCAGGGGCAATCCATCAATCCCGCAACCACATCTTCATGGCTCCGTCTGCGGTGGGAGGGTGACCTTCCACGAATACTATACCACGTCGGCCAAGCCATCAAGCTCATCAAAGACCTTCCTGCCCGAGAAAGGCCAAGTTGGTGGGCTGCGGCAATGTACCGAGCCATCCTCATCGCATGCGCCTGCTCCCTTGCATACTCTGCCATGCCGCGCCCATCGCCGTCAGCAGCAAGCGAGGCCGGATCGCGGCGGCCAACGAGGGTCGTGGCAATTGACAAAGAGCTTGCGGACAACTCCGTTTCGCAAGCTTACCTCGACGAGATGATGGACAGCATGCCCGCCCTCACTTGCAAGGACGGCCGTCTACTTTCCTTGGATACACCCACCAACGTCCTGGATCACTCTCTGCACGTTTGGTCTGAGATGGAACCAGAGCCGCATGCTTCCAAGTGGCTACTCACCAAGCTCAACTGCCTTCGAGAGCTATAGTAACACTCTACGTGACTACACTATGTGCTCTTTCGCCTCTCGCTTTACTTTTCTCCTTTAAAAAAGAGCCTAGCGTAACATGCTTTGTCACCATGCCTTAGAGAGAATAGAACGGTGCCATAGAAAAAGAGATACTATGAGCGAAAAACAGTTTATTGTACATATACATGGAATTTCTTACCGCTGGGAGGGGCTGGGATTGCTGTTTATCGTTTACGACATAGATGAAATGACATAGAATTTCAAACGCATTATCTTCGTCTCATAGCTAAAGGTATACGCTGAGTTACAAGGATAGGCGGGGCTGCTAGCTGCGATAATACTTGCTAGACTTGCCGAGATCCGTAATGAGGCTGCGTTTATAACTTTGATTACCTCTTAGCCGTGCCTTGTGAAAACAAATAGCTCGGGCTTTTGGCAAGATTCAGTGCCGTCAAGCTGCTTAGTTGACATTCTAAGTTTTCGAACGGCTAGCATCGACGCTCTCCAAAGGCACTGCGAACGCTAGAACTGAGGTCATATTTTTTTCACACGCAGTCAGTCACTCTAGATATTTATGACATGCTCTTGAGGGAGGCGTTGTACAATATATATCTGGACTGCTTTAAGAAAGTCTGTCGAACTGCAATGAAAAGGCCAACAGAATCACCTATAGAGGAAGTAAAACGAGCGTCACTCAGGCCCTGTCCTTAATCGGCACCGTGGGGGCGACCCTCGTATAGTTATTCAGTACCCAGACCTTCTTCTCCACCCCCACATCAAACACCTTCATCCTCAGATGCGCCCCTACCCCAGAGGGTTTTCAGAATCGTCACTCCTCATCCATTCTTCCATCTCATCATACTCTGGGGGATCCGCCCCATTGTTCTCTTGATGCTCATCATACACTGGGCTCGTTTGCTCCTCGCTGTATTCGGGAACTGGCCCTTGTTGTTCGATCTCAGGCTCGTTCGACTCCGCAGGGTAGGTAGCCCCAATCTCCCGAGCAATGTGATCCTCCTCATCCAGCTCAGGCGCTGGCTTGTCCAGAGTATTGTTGTCGGGCATGGCGGAGGTATCGGGCTTTTCAAACAGTATAATAGCTTGTTAGCTCAAATATATTCATCAGACCGATTTCAAGACATACGAATTGGAATGTGGTATCTTATGAGGTATTTATTACGAGAAATGGGATGAATTGAGATTCCATGGGTGTGTATTTGGTAGGAGAGGGTCAGGAACTCGAAGGTTATGTGTAATTTTCGTGTGTCTCGTTACGCAACCGCCTCATTGTTTCATTGGCCAAAAGGCCAAACCCACGGCAGTAGCGCAGCTGAAGCTCTGTGAGCACAGGCCACTCACGTTTCCTTCCAGATCGTGGCATCGATCTACTGGATTACATTCAGGCACCAGTGAAGCATGTGCCGATATCATGGCTGCCATCACGCAAGGCTGAAAGATACCAATGCGGCGTGGCTTGCAGCGGGCTCTGTTGATGACGTATCGCATGGCGAATCAAGTATCATAGTGGCATACGGGGCCAAAACGCCACCAATCCTCCTGCCATCTCAGCCTCGTCGTACAAATTTCAGTCCACCATGCTCCGCATAGCATCCCATCAATCAAAATTGCGTCGTAGAAAAATGGTAAAGTAGCAGTGAGTAACGGATCAAGGCATCCGTGTCTACAATTTCGTCAAATATGAAGTATATAGGACAACACATATTGCGAGGTACGTTCCAAGAGCAAGTACAATATAGCCGATAAATAGTAGTGCGACCTTTCGAACAAATGTCAGCGCACGCCTTATTTTTGTTTTGTGCCATCTTACCTTGTGTTCATCGTTCCACGGGACTGTCCAAAGCGGTCGTAGAACAGCCACAGAGAGGCCGACGACGTAAGATATGATGGCGTAACTAAGGAGCATGACTGGAGCCTGGAAGATAAACATGGCCGAGAACTTGGGTTTATCCGACACAGTTTGCTTCAGTGCATCAATGAGCTGATGCCCCCTCCCAAGCTCATACGTCCCCAGCAGGATTGTAAGATGGAAAGCGACGATAACCGAGAACAGACTCAGGACAAGGCTTCCGTACCAGAAGCCATGAATGACCCAGTGGTAGCGCGCAGCCTGATCCCACTGGATCGAGGCTGTCACGGTTGATGCCACCACTGTCCCCTGCATGGATCGACAAGTCAGCAATGAACGCAGCCATGGGACCAGGAAAATCTTACCGCAAGGCAGGTGGAGCCGAACTCCAGCCTTTTTGCTTCCATCCATGATGCCAACCGTGTCTGCCTTGTATCTACGTCATCGGTCTCCAGGATGCTTGTCAGTCCGAGCTCGAGGCAGTGCCAAGGGTTCGTCGTGACACGAATGCAGACGGTCAGCAGACTCTTCGCTGAATTTACCAGGGTGTCTGTGGTGATGGTACTTCTCCGGTTCCAACTTTCGAGGATCGTACGGGTGGCTTGTTTCAGCGTCATGGGGTCGGGCTTGATTTTGCAGTAGATAACGAGCAAACCAGTAGGTGATCCTATGGGTGCATATTCTGTCGAAGCGTGCAAGGCGAGGCTTCCTCTTAAGGCTGCTGCTCAGCCTTGGATTGGTGAGTCATGTGCCCATGCATGCGTGTTTCTCAGCCTCACGGGGGTGCAGCCTCACGAATCCACCAATATTGTTGGCTTTTCCGAAAACCTACTGACTCGTGCGCTAGGCTACTGATGCTCCACGATTTAAATTGGTCTTGTGGACCACACCGCCTGGATTTTGTCGAAACGCTCATGCTTGAACGCACGCGATGAAGAAAGCCAAGAAAATTATCCGCCAGACACTCCGAAACCTTCGGAAAGCGACAGATGAAGATGAGGAAATTCCCTATGGTTTGAAACTGCTGCATCCGAGAGGAGAAAGCGCTTTGGGCGTCACAGTTGAGTGCGTGGTCAGTAGACCGAAGCTTCCGGCTTTTACTCACATATCACGTAGCATTATCATGATCCATGGGCTTGATGGTAATTGGAAGGATACGTGGAGCAAAAATGATGTGTTCTGGCCTCGGGACTTCTTGAAGAACGCCATCGACCACGCCCGGATCTGGTCCTATGGTTACGACTCACGAACGATTGGTTCAGAATATGGCGAAACACTCCACGGTCTCGGCGGACAGTTGGTAGAAGCGATCGTTGCAGCAAGGGAGAGCACAGATGTGAGTTCCGCGACTGGAATAGTGAGTCGTGATCAGTAACAACCTTGCAACCTCTAGACAACGAAGTTACCCATAATTTTCATTGCTCACAGCCTTGGAGGTATACTGCTGAAGCATGTAAGCATTGATATTATTCTTCGACGGCACTTGAAGCATTTCGCTCGTCTGACGCTGCACAGGCACTTATTCTTGCAAGCTCGGCAAACGAAAACCACCTCATGCAGAACAAAAGTGTCTTCGTTTCTACTTATGGTGTAGTTTTCTTGGGAACTCCTCAACAAGGCGTAGGCGGAGCTGAACTACTTGCTACCGCCCTCGATATTCTGTCCACATTCAAAAAGACCAACTCCACTTTCCACAGATCACTTGAACGGAATTCGGACTGGTTACACTCGCAGGCCAGTCTATTTACCCCAATGGCTTCTAATTTTTCTATCAAATTCTTCTACGAAACAGTACCTACAGAGATGGTAAAAGGCTATAGCAAAGTGGTTAGTCAAATTGGTTCTTGGATTTCGACTGCAAAAGCTGACGAATTTTATCAAGGTCGTTCCTCGGGCATCTGCGGTTATCCCAGGTCTTCAAAATGCGGAGCAAATTGCACTTAATAGAGACCATATTAGTATGGTAAAGTTCGAGACCGAGACTGATGATGCGTATATGAAGGTCGTTAGACACGTTACAAAGATGGTCAAAGATGCTCCAAGGGCAGTTGACGCCGCGTGGAGACGTCATACACAGCAGCTCAGTGAGTGCCATTAAGAATAACTTTTCCGAGCCAAGGGCCAATTCCGAGCACCCCAATGTGCTGACCTTCCTGTCTGTAGCGTTTTCCAAGACGTTCAAAACCGGTCTCTGTACTCTCCGACTTGCCGCTCCGCCCCTTTTTGTAGGCAGGGAAGAGCAACTCAAAGAGATGAGAGAGCTATTGTCTCCAAAGGACATTCACCACCGCATAGCTCTAGCAGGCCTTGGTGGCGCTGGGTTGGTATCTTGTCTGAACAGCCACGAATACCCGAAGCTAACCAGCAATACAGAAAGTCTATGATCGCGTTGAAATATGCGTTGGACCTAAAGAAGGCAGAGGACATGACGTCGATTTTTTGGGTCAATGCATCAAGCCGTTTCCAAATTGAAGAAGGCTACCGATTGATTGCAAAGGCCGCCAATCTTCCTGGGGCAGAGGAGGAAGATGCAGATATCCTCCGGATTGTCTATGAGTGGTTGTCCAGTGACAAGTGCGGTGAATGGCTTATGGTACTGGACAATGCGGACAGGTTAGACGTCTTCATGGATCGTCTCGAAGAGGGCTCTTGTCAAAAGCCGGTTTGGAACTTTATCCCACAGAACTCGCAAGGGTCCATTATCTTTACGACAAGAGACACCGCCATCGGATACAAGCTCACAGCCGAGGCTGAACGGCGGCCAATCGTCAAGATTCCAAAGATGCCCCTGGATAGGGCGCTCTTACTGCTTGAATCCAAAGTGGAATTCAATGTGGGGGACAGACGGATCGCCGAAGAGCTTGTCGAGCAATTGGATTGCCTACCAATATCGATAATACAGGCATCGTCATATATGCAGCAAATGCAAATTGGTGTAGCAGAGTATCTGGAACGCTACAAGGAGGATGAATCCACTCGAGCAGTCCTGCTCCAGCACGAGATTACCAGCCTCATGAAAGGTACGGAAGACTCGCAAGAGCATGAAATCCACACGTCTATCGTCAAGACATGGGCAATCTCATTTGAACAGATCAGGAAAGCCAATCTGCCAGCAGCCGAGCTCCTTTCCCTCCTGGGGGTCCTTGATGGTTCTGGATATCCAAAGTTCCTTATCGAAGCAATATATTCCGATTTCGCGAGGTATAGCGCCGCAACGAAGGACTTGCTCACCCTTTCGTTGATATGGCCGACAACCGATGCATTCGAGATTCACTCCACGGTTTACTGGGTCACGCGTGCATGGCTTCTCAATCGGTCAGTGTTCGGAAAATGGGCGGAAGAAGCGTTGTCACTGATATCGTCTAATTTCCCCGACGAGGACTACGACTCCAAGCAGTGGGAGAAGTGCAGGCAACTTCTACCACATGCCAACGTGGTGCTGCAGCGTTCTGTCTGTGCAGATCGGCTGCGCCAACAGCGTGCCAGGCTCCTCCGCACAAGTGGCGGTTACCTACACAGGCGCGGCGATTTCACGAATGGCTTGCAGAGACTCAAGGAGGCGCATGAAATCGGAATCAAGATCTCCATGGATGATTCCTTCATTTGGGGAACTTATGACCGCATTGGATCTTGCCTAGGAGAAGCAGGCCGATTCCGTGAGGCTGAACCTTATAGTGAGAAGGCCTTTGAACATTTCAGGGACCTCCACGGCTTATCCCACAAGGATACTCTCGAGAGCTTATCGAGTCTGGCAACTTCCTTGAACGGTCAGGGGCGATACCGAGAGTCAGAGAAGCTCTACCGCCAGGCGATGATTGGGTACGAGAAGCTTCATGGTCCCGATCATCCGCACACCTTGATAGCAGTCAACAATCTCGCTCATTCACTTCGAGATCTCGAACGACTTGAGGAAGCCGAAATGCTCAATCAGAGATGCCTGGACACGAGAAAAAAGGTCCTTGCACCCAACAACCCTCTTATATTTGTGAGTATGAACAACCTTGCATCCATTCAACTCAGCCGCAAGAAGTACCCGCAGGCCATTTCGGTATATCGGGACGCACTAGAAAGGCTCGAGGAGATCTTGACCACGAAACACCCCACCACCTTATCCACAATGAATAACCTGGCGGCTGCATTGAAAGGAAATGGGCAAAAGAAGGATGCTCAAGAAATGTTTGAGAAAGTTATTGCCCTCAAGGAAGAACACTTAGGGTTGAATCACGTGAGCACATTGCGGAGCCTCTATCATCTCGCATCAGTTCTAAGAGACCAAGGTTTTATTGAACGAGCCAGGGAGACGTGCGAGATTATGATTGAGAGAAGTGAAATTGCGCTGGGCTGTGACGATCCAGAAACACTAAGAGCACGCAACTTGCTTTCAGACATAATCCAGCAAGGTCGTTAAGAGAGATGGCCGTGTTCCTAGCCCTGAAATCATTTAATAGAACGAATTTCCGTATCACTACTCTCAAAGGCTTAAACTGCCACTTCCTCGTCCATCGTATCTCTTTTTCCCTATACCCGTGCTTCCATATCTTGAAACCGGACCCATGTTCATACTCCTTCTGCTCGTGTACTTGTCCCTTTAGAGGAAGCATAACTGATCAGTGATTCTTACATTCTCCAAAGCACAGCCCGTCTCCGTCACAGCAATCGCAGTTCTCAGAGGGACCGGGAACCTTTCCATCCAAGCCGCACGAAGGGCATGGCCCAAAATCCCCCCTCATTCCTTCCCAGATCTTGCCTTCACCATTACAATCGTCACATTTCTTCCACGTTCGAACGGAGCCCCTTCCTCTACATTTAAAGCATGTATCATTTGCAGCGCCACAAGTGCAAGATCCATTCAAGTAGCAATTCGGATCATTTTGACCAGGGCAGTCTTGCTTGTGGGGCATAGCCGTGAAGGACCTTATTAAATTACGTTAGAAGCGTGTATATAAGACGCAAGCTTAACAGAACCTTTTATCTTCAATGGCTTAGCAGCTTGTGATAGCCTCGTAGTTGGAAAACGCCGGGGTGGTATTTCTTGGAGAGAATGAGGATAGCAGCCTACTCGCATAGATACGCATTAACAGCCTACGAGTTAAAATAGAGAGGTCCCAAGCAAGGCCAAGGCTTACTGTGCGGGGCGCTGGTCATACATCCGACAGGGAGGCAGTCGTGGCAGCGGATCATTTACCAAAATTGATTTCATCCATCAGCAAGGCTGACGACATCCATCTGTAAGTGAGTACATCGTCTTTCATTCGACCGTCATCGAACACATGTCCTAATCCGCTATCATGGCTGGGTCCTCCGGTCCAGACTGAAAACCCTGCAAGGGACTTGATCACACTTTTGACTGCCCTCGCTCGAAGAGAGCTTTTGTTGGCATGGCAGCGAGCGACTGTCCTGGTGGAGAAGATCTTGCTTGAGGGCCCCGCTCTGAGCCTTGCTGAGGTGGCGATGCATGTCAGCGTGCATCCTTGCAGTTCCTTCCAAAAGATGCCAGCCGCCCCCTCAGCTGATCCGAAATGGGGTCTGGCCAATCGTACATATTGGCTGAGGGATTAAAGCGATCTGGAACTCTGTAGGCCATGAAGATAGCACCGAGCACGTCTATGCAAGCATTCAAGGCCATCATTGCGTTTTCTACATTGCGCCACTCGCATTCTAGTGACAGATAGAAACGAGGCCGGCTTGAAGTACTACATTATCGTGTGATGGAAGTCCTGATCGACACGCAAACGGCAGGCTCTACAAGTGGTCAGTGATAAGCCGTAAGATTCTCGAAGTTTGCTACCTTCCAGGATCACCGATATTATGAGCCACATCTACGCTCGAAGTCAAACATTCTTTCAGTATCTGGAGAAGCTCGAACCAGTCATTCAACAGACCAGGATGGGGCGTTTACCGATTTAATTAATTGTGAGAAATAGTCATGGCTTAAGAAATGAAGAAATCCTTGACTTCGAAGCACGGAAGGTCATTTCCGGACTTCCAGCTGTAAACTCCAACCCACTTCCATACACTGCCATCCACTGACCCACAAACCCCGAACATTGTTTCATGAGAGCCATTGTGACACCGAACAGCTGTAAACCTACCCTCTATACCCCCAATCGGGATCTGAGACAGAGGTTGGAGTAACGCACCAACTTCATATCGTGCGTCATCATTGCAATTGCTTCGAACCATTATCCGTATTTCTCTTTGAGACGTCGAAGAGTTTGCAGGGGAGTCATCATATACGTCGAATATATGGACTCCCCATCTACCGGCCAACTTGTCATCATGGAAGCTCGCCCATTGTGTTCTGTTGAAATTTCCAGACGGAAAGTAAAAGGAGCTTTTGGTACGGTCACAACTGGGTTGACGTGGTGCCCATGTAAAGCCATCAAGGCCCTCCACACGTGGTACACTGGAGACCAGGAATCCAGATCGCACAATTGTTTGCCAGCCACCGAGGGTAGCGCGCCATAGTTGCAGGGCGTCTTTGAAAGGATCAGTTCCGGATAGAAGACTCCAGATAAGCGGACCATCACCCGGTCTTGTCGTTTGTCGATGGCTTAATAGCATTGAGGCCTCTTCTCTGTCCACGAAGCCGTCCTCGATGCGTTCTCTATTCAGCGCAGCTGGATAGTGTTCCTGGGGACTGCGCTTTCTTGGAGGGAGTAGGTGGGACGCAGCCTGAAAGAGAATTGCCAGGTCAATGCTGCCAAGCTCAGCAACTGACCTCAGGCATTCTTGGAGAGAGATTGTCCGGTTATCTTTGCACAAGAGGTACATGTATCTTCTGCCTCTGAAGGCTTCGAGGAGTGTCCAAGCGCGGACATGCCAGTCGCTGACAAGTATCTAATCCATGCCTCAGTACATATCGGCGCATGTAATATCTCACAGAACTTACAGTTGCGAGTAAGGACTCTTGCACAGGCAAGTCCCTGTTTGCAATATCAATGGTCATCAAATCACGATCGGCTACTAACACAGCCTTGCTTTGCGAGAAAATGCTGTTGATCTTGGAAATGGCCTCCCTCCGCAACTGGTCGTCCTCTGGTATGCATGCGGCATCAATCCAGTACGATTCACAACCGAGTTCCTTGGCGAGCATGACATATCTTTTGTGAAGGCAACTGTTGAGCCCACCAGACTGGCCGTCGGCTAGCTGTTTCTCGGGACGGCCTCCTTGGCCGTGACTCCACACATGAGATACAGCCATGGTGCGCTCTGAGACTTGGCAATACCGAAGGCGAGTATCGTCACTAGTCTCGACACAGACAGCGCGGCCGCCAGATAGTGCCCGATAGGAGGCTTCATCCCATGACAGTCTTGTACATGTTCCAGGACAAATCGAGTCATGCTGAGATTGGTCTGCGGTGGTCGAGCCTACGAATCGTTTGCAAGCTGCAGGCGACGTACCATCACACGGGCGTCCATCATTGCACCTTGGGACGAGCTGAGACCCAAAGGCCCTCTTGAAACTATAAATCAAAAGCTTCATGTCAGCAGGTCGCGCTTTGCCATGATGCTTTTCTACAGGCTGCTGACTTGCCTGTCATGAAATGTTCGAAGGTCGAGGGTTGCAGCGGCTCGATCTCTTCGCAGTAGCTCATAGGCCCATGTGCACATATACGGTGACTTTTGGTATTGGCCCTCGAGAACATGCCGATCTTCCGTCGTGATCGGAACGCCGCGTAGGTCATAACTATAGCTGTCCCCGATCAAAGCCCCTAACTTTAATTCCCACATCAGATTGTACCTGTGCAGACTTTTAGCGTGGCGTTTTTTCGTCGAACAAATTTACACTCACCAAGCCAGGAGTGTCGCTGACCTTTGCCACGCAGTTGCTAAGAAGGCTTTCACAATGAACCAAGGGTACGTGTTCTCCTCCACAGATGAAGTCGAAAGGCGAACCGCGTATTCCCACAGTTCAGACAGAAAGTCAAGGTAGTGTTGCAACCCTTGGGTGTCGAAATCATCTTCTTCATAGTTTGGTTGTAGCTCCTCGGTATTGTATTTGTCGTGGCGGCTCCGGTAAGACCCCCATGGGCTGGCAAAGTTCAGAGCGGTCCGAATGAGATTCGTGTCCCAGCAGCAGACCACATCTAGCTCTTGCCAGAGGGTTTTCATCCTTGCTGCTGTTAGCTGGCCCAAAGAAGTGTCTGGAAGGCTCCTTGAGAAGTGAATGCCGAGATGTGGTGGGATTGTCATCATTAGCGGAGGAGATGGCGGCAGTCGTGAGAGTAGCTGTCTGGCGGCGCTTATGACTTCCTCCGACTCATCGACAGTAACGACGACACAGTCAAGGCACTCCGATAAGATTGCATCCAGTTGATGGAAGCGATCGCGGGGTTCTTGAGCGGCACGGTGCAGCTTGTGGCAGATTGTCGCGATCTGCTTCTGGAGAGTACTGTCGCTGGCGAATACACTTTCAGGCGGTATCTGATGTGGAAAGAAAGAGTCTGTGGATAGACTCATTGTACTACCCTTGGAGTCATACATGACGGGGCATCTGAAGTGAGAAACTCCTGCTACGCAGTCTGGCCGTTGGATAGATATATCATGGAAGATGTTTCGAACCCTCGACTCTGATACTGTCCACTCTTTGCGATTTGCCATACTTCTAGAAATTGGAGCGTAGAAGGCCAAGGTGTTGTCAAGCAGCTTGTTGCGATGAGAATTTTTCGAGTGCGGGGTTTCTTGTGTAACAGTAAAATCTTTCCTGATTCGGACAAGACATCCTGCCCATGTCGACCCTATACATCCTCTTCCATTTCCCCTACACATCCCATATTCACCATTATTCCGCTGATTACACTTCTCTCGCCTCTCCGGACCGTCTCTCGCTGTCTTGCGATGTTTTCTACGTCTCCTGCAGGCTTAAATGCGTCACCTCCCAGCCCCACCCACATCAAACTCGCACATTACCCCGGCTTTTTCACAAATAATCTTCATCTCGTGCCTTGTTTCCTCTGTCCATGTCCAGTGTCCTTTACCTACGTTATTGAGCCTCCAAACCAAGCCTCGCAGATAGAGCTGCTCTTCGGTAGCAAACCAGTTTCTCACCACTTCAATGACGTCTTGTGGCTTCCATTCCCAGCGCAGCCAGGTCCCCATCTCATCAGTAATTGTCAGCCGTCTCAGATATTTCGGCAGAACACGGCCAAGGTACCCCCGCGTGGTCTTCACTTCCTTCTGCAAGCTGCGAAGGCTCCAGCCAACCAGCACCACCCATGACACATGAAGCCGGCGCAAGCCTTCGAAGCCGTGCAGAGACTCCAGCCTTCCGCTGACCCCAAATGTTGCATCATCCACGCCGATCTCGCCTCCCCTCACACACGCGAAGCCAAACGGCGGCACGACGAAATCCAGCGTCAGCACCAGCTCCCTCAGCGTCGAGTTGACCTCGCCACCACCGCCCTCATTCAGCAGAAGCCGCAGCGCCTCGCCCAGCTCCCCCAGCGCGATCTCGACGCCCTTCCTCCGATACAACACAGCCGGCTGCTCCACCGTCGCCGTGTGCACCAGCTCGACCACCAGCCGCTCCAAGCCGCCGCCGCCGCCGCCACCGCCACAATTCCTCCCCACCAGCCCCAGCACCTCGGCCACCCTCCCCGGCACCATCGCGCACCTCCTCAACGCCAGCACCCTCAACGCCTCCGCCCCGCACTCCACCCACCCGTCCTCATCCCCGTACGCCCTCACCTCCATCTCCGCCCACCTCGCGCCCCAAAACTCGACGCGCCGCAGCGCCGCGTGGCCGCCCGCCAGCGCCCCGCGCACCGCCCACGCCGGCACCGCCGCCGCGTCGTCCTTGAACGTGTGCCGGTGCGTGCGCGCGCCGCGTTGATTCCCGGCGGTGCGCACCGTCAGCGCCTCCAGCGCGGGCAGCGCGGCGCGCAGGGCGCGGGGCGTCGTGGCGTTCGCGTGCGGGCCGACGCCCATCCAGGTGATGTCGAGGGTGCGGAGGTGCGGCGTTAGGCCAGTGAAGATGGGGAAGAGGGCGTGAGATTGGGCGGAGCCGGTTTTGAGGCCGTGGCGGAGGCAGTGGCGGGCGTAGCGGGTGAGGTAAGGGTGCGGGGCGGTGGGATCCGGGGGTGCGAGGGGCGCGGTGATGTGCGGCTGGCGGTGGAGGTGGGTGAGGAGCGGGGAGAGGGTGCGGGCGTTGGCGTTAGTGTTGCTGGAAGGGGGTGGTGAGTTAGGTGCGGGGTGTGTTCTTGGGGGATGGGGCTGGGTCACTCACGCTGTGCTTCTGGCGAGGATGGGGAGCGTGCGGCGCGGGGTGAGGGCGGTGGTCGTGTCGGCGGATATGTTGGTGAAGGTGAGATGGCGGACGCGGGCGCCGAGGGTGCGGTCGTTGACTAAGCAGACGGCGAGGCGGTAAGGGCTCGGAGAATATTCTCTAACTGGTGCGGAGGCCGGCGCGATGGTGATTGTCGAGTACAAACACTCGATGGCTGCGGGGTTGAGGGCGTGGCATGTGAGAGCGACGGATAGGATTGAGGCGGGCGGCAGGTGGTTGAATATGGCTTCCAGAAGCTCGAATGGAAGCTCTGTGATCTGCATTGCTGCAATGGTGGAGAAAGAAATCTTCACTCATGCTGAGGAATATACATAGCATGTTGGTGGTTGTGACTCATACAATCAGCCAGGCAGCAGTTCGCCGAGTCATAAGCTACACCAAAACACTTTAGCAGCAGATGTCGTCATGATCGCGAATCACCAACCCCACAGTTTCCCCGCAAATCCTACGCTGCTTCCGACAACAGCACCGTTGTGTGACAAGGAATTTACAGTTCTTTGTTTCTAACGCCGCCTGGAGAAGGTCATCAATTTAATTTGCCAAGCAGAACGAATGGGGGGTTTGCCCCAGAGCTATTTCCACAAAAAAAAAAAAAAAGGATCACGAATCGTATATAGCCAACAATCTTGACTCATACCACAATTTTGCCTATTCCTCAGCAAGATCTGAAGCCGGGATGGATTCGATCACCGAGAAGCCCACCGTCTGGGGTGTCTACGGCACTGCAGATCCCTCGTTTAACTTCAAACATTGCCTCCCTGATAGTGCTGTAACTTTGTTTACCTTACCAGGTTATGTCCCCGTGAAGATGGTCAAGGTCTAGTCTGCAACCGACTGCCATATGTTAGTTACCATGGTAAGCGGCGCTCTCGAGCTTTCGTAGCTGGACTGATACTTTATCTAGGCTCTATACACTTAATATGTCCATCCACGACGACTTTAGGCAAGAAACAGCATCACTTTCCCCGCAACAGCTCACAGCAGCCTCCAAGCAGTACTGCTTCGCCGAGTTCAGCTATGTAGTATCGATGCTCTTCATCAAACTCAGTCTGACCTATTTCTACCCGCCCCTCACCAACCTGCCGCGGCAGATATACACCGTCTACACCATCAGTTTGTTGTACAAGACAGGCTACCTTTACGCCCACAACACAGCGGAATTTATTTCAGACTTGATCCTCTCCGCCCTTCCCATCTAGCTACTAAGCCACAACTAGCCATAGCTAGCTGACCTACCGCATCAAGCCCGCCGCTGGCCTGTGTCTGAACCTCGGACCATTGAAAGTTGACCACTCACTCTCCAACCGCTGCCGAGCTGACACATCCCACCACAGCGCCTCCATCGAACCCATCGTCCGCATCACCCAGCTCACCAGCTTCAGCTTCTCGACCAACTAAACCGTCACATCTTTATCATCCTCTGGCCCATCATCGAGAACGCTGTGGGCTTCTTCGCCGCCAACCTCGCCACCCTCCGCATTCTTCTTGAAGTCTCATTCTAATTGCAAGGTGCACCGATGGTCACATGATATATTCAGGGAAAACACGAGAATCTCATGCTTGTCGTGCAAGCGAGCATCCATTTCTTCTCATCATTGTATCGTTAATCGTAACCCGGACGCAAGATCCCGGCTTCCAATGGACAGTCCCATGGAACCGCGCGCCACCTTTAGTTGTCGCACCACAGTCCCTTGAAGTCGCCCGTCAAGTGCAGGGTGCACTTCAGATCACCGCAGCAGTCGTCGTGCGTGTTGCAGTCTCCTGAGCTGGGGTTAGCACTACGGCAATTCTATGCAGCGAGATGAATCACGAACTCACCCCACTTGTTGAAGCACCTCTTCTCCATCTGAGACTCATTTTCAAGGTTGCTGGGCGCGGCCAAAACCATCGAGGTAAAGAGGGCGAGGAAGGCGTACTTGATCTGCATGATTGCGGATTGTTCGTGAGGTGTTGGAAAGTCTTTGCTGTGATGTGCTTGTGGTGATGCTGATGATCGATACAGTAGGACTTGGAACGAACTTAAATAACCGGCGCAGAGCTCTAGAATCAACCTTCGGCTTCCCCAAAATGTGTTTTGAATGTTGTTCAACCATCAATTGACCCTATCCATGCCCTACCGAAGCCCTCAAAGCCCTTCGTGGTCACTGAACATGCACCACCTGTTCCGCATGATCCAAAAACGAGCATTCGGCCTGGTGGCCAAGACCAGATCCAAGGAAAACGAAGGCTGTTCTTGATGGCCAAGAAAGGATCAAAGGATTTCCGTGTTGTTGCGGACGCGGTGGGCTGAGCCCCATTCCAGAAGCTCGTTTATCAAGTCAGGAAACTATCATGACGATCAGACATGAGGATGCGCCGCTTATTGAAACGCTTGTCGTGTACCGCGGTGACTATAACTCTTTGGAAACGGAGCACTTCTGAGAACCGGAGAAGTTCTCCACACCTGCCCCAGCCAGCCTATTGGGGATTTATTTCAACTGGATCGTGCTGAGACAGACGAGCGGAGTTTTACTTGGCATTGATGCCCGTCGTAAGCAAGTCGCAAAGAAAGACAAAAATGGTCATCTGTGCGAAGGCATCGTAGGAAGAATCCGGGAGGCAGAGTAGCGTCGTAGGTAGTTGCTGGAACTACACAGCCCGGTTCAGAAAGCTACCTACTGAAACTCTGAGAGTCAAGCTCCTGAATCTTCCGCTCCATTTGCTGTAAATACTTGCCATATTTTTAGCATTGCCATGGAAGAAGACATCCTATTGGTGCAGCGTTTTCGCAAATGCCGGGATCCGAGCGCTTCGTCGTCTGTCTGTCTTCCCGTCCTCCCAATAATCTTTCATTATTCTGAGATTTTACACTACCGGCTCATCCACGGCATCCTCTGTTGCTGCCTATTGTAAGATTGTGTGGGGCTGAATCATCCGTTGAGCTCAGACCCCCCACATCCGAAAAGGCCCCCACGCCGCCGAATACGATGCTGTTCACTACCCAAAACAGTGTATTCGTGGGGCTTAGGGCTGGGCAGAATCCGCCGCTTCCTGATTGAGGAACTGCAGGGTCCACAGCCACCAGTTGAGATCACGCTGTCCAACATGCAGCCCCATCTCGGGGTAAGACCAGCCACGACGCCCCACCCGCGCAGGATCGCAACCCTGTGAGAAAAAGGCAGTAGGATTGCAATGGCGGTAACCACCAGGGCAGCGTTGACTCGAAACCAACACCACGTTCACAAACTGTTCGCCTGGAGCAGTATGCCAGGCCGGAGCTTGAGCGGTTCCGTATCCGGCTGACACTCTCAGTGACCATCGTGACGTGGGCCTTTGCACTGCCAGACCCCACAGTGCTGGCGACTGAATGTGTATAAAATGTTTCCTTCTGCCTTCGAATTGAGTATCACATCCACCAGCTCAGAATCAATTCACTCAGCTTCTTCAAACACTCAAACACTCAATCACTTTTCACCATGCGTTTCTCCGTCTCCATCATTACCCTCTTCCTCGCCTCCGCCTTTGCCGCTCCGGCAACCGAGGCCCCCGAGTCCTCCGGCCTTCTGCAGGCAAGGTGTCTCGCCAACGGTGGTAAGTCTACGCTTTGCATTCTCCAGCAATACTTGTTTTGTATATCTACTAACGGAACTAGTTGAGTGCATCAACGACGTCAACAACTGCTGCAGCGGCCTCTGTGCTATGGACAAGGGCAGGGCAACCTATGTTTGCTACTAAGTAGGTTTTCCATTCCAAGTTCAAGGTCGAGTATTTGGACTAACAAATATAATAGGATGTGGCCAAACTGCACGGCTAGGAGACGAGCCTAAAAGCTTCTGAAAAGCATTTTCTTTAGCCCTGGGCGATGGTTCGAGTATACGACTTTTAGTACTCGACATGATTGGAACGACTCTCATTACAGCGATGCCGGCTTGCTTAGATTTTAGCACAATTTATTGCATTTTTCCTTGACCAATTTGGGCTTCATAAGCTATCTTTTCACCATCGAGACCAGCTGCGACTCTTTTGATAGTGCTTGACTTTCTACGGGGTATTTCCGGTGCCAGGTTTCAGCCTCTAACTGCTCCTGATTATCCAATCATGCTCTCCGGAGTATTCCACACACTTTGCTGCGACTGAAAAGTCCAGGCATCAAGGCATGTGTTGAAAGGACGGCACGTCTTTACTATGGTGCTGACCCTGTGTAATGTGTGCAACTGTCCATCATCCGTCCACAGGTGGGTAAACCTAGACTTGTGCTCGGCGCGGGAGAGTGTATACCGTCGACCTTTTAGTAATTTAGATTGCAGTGTTTTGCACCCCCCGTCAAAACCGAGGCGGTCTTCTTAAACGGCGGCGTTCGAGGTTTCTTCGCCATCAGAGCTACAATAATTTTACGAGTATAAAAAACACGGAAGAATGTCGATTAGTAGACGCAGCGGGTAGTCGTGATATACTACTACCAACTGAACGAGCAGCTAAGCCTAATCTGGAAAGAGCAATGCCGTGGTGGCAACAAAGGAGCAAACCAGGCAAATAGGACAAGCAATCAGCAAGTCGTTTCCCTTGAGGCCGAGTATGCCCGGCGGGCTGCTTGTCCAAGAATGCACTTATTCAAATGCAGTTTTTGCACCATCACATTGTGAATTGTCGCTGGTGTTCCTCGCTTGCTTGAGTTGCCCCGACAACTGTCCGGCTAGATATATTGTTTCAGTTTCAGCCGAGGTAGGCCCTGGTGATTGGCTGGAAGGATTTGGAAGGAATAGCGCCATCCGTTTCTATGAAACACTACTTAACTTCCCTCCCCCGCCTTCAACGACTCATGAGGTCAAACCTTCCGCACCGAACCCTCTACTTGTCACTACTCAACACTTGCAAGGCACTATATCCATAAAATGACTGGCTGTAAGTGGTCCACTGCCGTCCATAGGTCCATCACACGCTCGCCGCCAATTTGAAGCATTCCGCTTCCTGTCCGTCCTCGTCCTGCATCCACATCATATATATGCAGGTGAACATATCTAATGACTCGAGTTTCATCTCCTGCTGCAGCCCGAACTACAGCTATTACAGCCACATTTATCAAGCCTCTCCCCGGCAATACTTCTGCAACTTCTGTCAAAGAAAAGGCCATCACTTTGCTGCAAGATCATGGAAATATGATCAAGCTCAATCCACTCGTTGTACGGTACGAGCAGATAGAAGACGCTACACTTTCCACCGACACAAAAGCGTACATTATCACCGACAAACTATCGTACTTGCCGTTCGGATTATGGGATAGTGAGTTGAACTATACCACAGAGTTTACGAATACAACCGACGGTGTGCGGACGCTGTCAAAAGCACCATTGGGCTTTGTGGTTGAGAGTAGGTGGGGTGTGCGTGAGCAGGAAGATGGCAGCGGCTGGGTGGTGGAAGAGCGGGTGGAGGGAAAATGTCCGTGGGGGCTCAAGTGGTTCGTGCAGGGGACGATGGAAAAGGCTCATGAGACGGTATTGGCCAACTTTGTCGAGAAGATGAAGCAGATGTAGGAGGTCGGGAACCGAGGATAGAAAATGTGTCCTGAATTCCACTTCTGAGTATAGTACTGTTGTGGGATCTTTTCTGGTTGCGGTGCCTTGTTAGATGGTATCGGAATGCTTTAAGCACTGGGCTTTCTTCAACGAATTTTGTTGCGTCTAAAGCATCCACATTCTCATGGTTAGCCCCGAGCCCTCCATGCTCATCCATTCCACTGCTCTCTGCTAACTCATCGTCCTGCTTGAAACTCATGTTGAGATTCAAGAAGCATAGCGCCCAGATTCAGTTGAATGTGCATGCAATAGAAAACGTACAGCAGCCCAGTTAAATAAGAGAGCAGGTGGGTGCGACTTGTTGCAATTGATATGGGTGTTGCTTGGCTGACTCGATCGTATGTGTGTGAATCACCCGCACGAGTCATGCATATGTCTCCAGCTTCAGCTACTGCCGGACTTGGTCTACACTGCGCTTTCAGGAATAAGTGTGCACGATAGTAGCAGCTCCCATAGGAAGTGAAAGTGAAATACTTTTTCATCTCACACGACATTAGGCTACACCTACAATTTCACCACATCTCCTTTCGCATCATGCCGCGTGTCTCCGCATTGCCGTCTCCCCACGCGGAGAATAGTCTACGTCTCATGAGCCAATATGGGAAATACCATTGCAATTTTTCCGTTTCAATCTGACCCTAAACTAAGAGGATTTCTTCGAGGTTCCGGTCTACCTCTACCCATGCTGAGAGAAGAATATGGCCAATGTTGAGCCGCCTGTAAGCGTGTTTGCGCTTGTGATCGTAGGTCCCTATGCTTTCAACCATCATAACATTGACCACTGGTTGATTCTCGCCCTCCCACTGAAAAGTCTTGCGAAGGCGCCCGGAATGTGGATCCAATTTACAACGTCCGCAGGTGCACCAAGATCGTTTAGACCACCAATTGACGTGGACTGCCGAGATTGAGAGGGAAATAAATGTGCAACTGTTAGAGTGAGAAAGCGGTTGAGGCATCTTCGCCACATGCTCTCCCGAGTAGAGCTCCCCAACCCTTTCCTCTTTGGTGTCTTTGATGAAGCAAAACGTGCGGTGATTATTGTAGCAAACAGAGGAGGCGCTGGAAACAATGAAATGTGCTTTCTGAGCGCGACCGAAAAGCAGGGAGGTTGTTGAATGCTTGCCTGGAATAAAGCTGTTGAAATCATGAGGCCGCAAAAGGATATCTTTTGTTTCATTTTCGACTTCACAACTGCTGGTCGAGAATGCCTCGACGTAGAAGTCCCTATAGGTTTGCCATCGTGACAGAGGCTCATCGCGAATATTCCCCACTTCTTGCCGGTTGAGAGGCCGGTCAAAGCACCCTAGCGTCTAGGCTAAGGCCATCAAGCCTGCCGATAGGCCATCCCATGGTTTTTCATCCACTTCGAAGGCTTCAATGGCCTGGAATGAATGTTTGTCGTCCCCCGGGACAATCTCCAGCCATTTGACGAGTGTCCCGCAGAAAGAAAATTCGGGGTGGACGACGTTGCTAATTGCTGAAGCCCAAGCCCAGCTGGGGAATAACAGTGCCGTGGACTGTTGGATGTTGGGGCGGCGCCCCTCTGGAATCCATAGTAAAGCCCGATCAAAGCTTGGTCGTGGCATTCCATATAGCGGTGAGTCTGACTCCGGAAACAATGCGTTTACAATGCCAACGAATGCATTACAAAGGTCTAACTCGTTCCCGAGAGATCTGGTACCGTAAGCCGTAAGGTGTCGCGTGTATGATGAAAACGGGTCTCTGTCGAGCTGCAAATAGATGTCGGAGAGGAGACCTGGTGTCGAGGAATTTGATACCACATTTCCGGTTTCGACCCAACTCTCCTCATTACAGATCAAGAAGGCCTGATCCGCGGTGAAGACAAGTTTTCTTCTCGCAAGTACGGCCTCCTGATAGGTCCATCCGCGCGTCATCCACTTTGAGCCAGACATGCTCGCTGGCCAGTCTGGCAATAGATTTGATAATGCTCCTAAGCCGGGGATGTTGAATGCTTTTGGTGTTGAAGTGTGGTAGCGCTGATCAGATATTCCTACTATCCCCGAGTTCATGTCCGTGCCTGAACCTTCTACCAGGACGAGGAAAGCTGCAGAATAAATAGCATCCATTGCATTGATCTGTACCGCCTTGCTTTTCCAATCGTCTTGGATAATGCACAGGCGGTCAGTCCAAAGATAACGATGTCCTAAGAACAGACAACACCACATTGCGTCTCGAATTGTTACTGGTATGGCGTTGAGGTCTATACCACCAGGCTTTCGGAGCGTATTAAAACTTAGGCGGTCTGCCTGAACTTTCGATTCGTCAGGTTTGCCCCAAACGTAGCTTAAAGCGACAAATCTCGGGCTGCCATGTGCTGATACTAATTGTCGATTAAGAACGTCAATCAGGTAGAATTGCTGTGGCAGAGACCGGGAGGGAAGTTGCTGGCATGTTCTATGGCTTTGAGAACAATGGTCGAGTTGTCTGTGGATAGCATGCCAATTGACTTCCTGTGAGACTAGCCAGTGATATCGTTGCTGACGAAATCCTAATGTCGCGTATGGAGCATTGAGAATATTTGTATCGGCTTTCTCTTTAAAGAATGCAACTTTGGGGCCAATCACACGGCCGTTGGCGCTTTCGCGTGATATCTGTAAAGAGTTGCTGTAAAGTGGATCGTTTCCTCGGGCAAGCTCCCAGGACCAGTTTACTAGGGCCAGATGGGTGAATAACTGGCAGAACGAGCATCCTGATTGTGCATCAATATATGTCATGTTCAATGGGATTGACTTCGGCGCCTGTGTATTGCACAAGAGAATATGATCCAGTCGCAGATGTCGACAATATCCGCAAAGCAGCAGAGGCTTCCCCCGCTGGGAACAGCCATTGCATCTGCTGTGGAAGGTTGCGGAACTCCATGGCCACTCGCAGAAGGGACATTCTACACGATCAAGAAGACGCTCAACTCTGGGACTAAGAGAGATGCGGTCGTTGCTTATACGACGCTCCAGTGATTCTGTCAAGCCAAGTGTAGCGTAGATTGGAAAAAGGCGGAGGAATAAACCGACGTTACGCATTGCTGTCCGAAACCTGGATTCGCCAGTCTCATCGCCTTGAGGTGGCTCATCCCGAGCTGCGTTCAGGATGATAGTCACCTTGTCCTTGCGACAGAACTCAGGATGGGTACGATTGTATTCGGAAAGTTTGACCGGCAGCTGAATAGAAGACCTTCGTCGGAGAAAGTGTAGAAAGATAAACGGCTTTTGTTTTTGGAAAGCGGAGCTGGAGCCAGGACATTGAAGAGTACGAGGAGTCCGAGTTTGTCGTGCCTTGGTCTCTTTGCAAGAAGCGGGAAGGTGACCATCCGCACTGTGCTCTGCTGGAGGTCTGGGCTCGTTGCCGTTTGAGCTGTGTGTTTCGACAGCATTGGGTAGGTCGAAGTTGCGAGATGCGATGTTGAAGCCGCCAAATGACTTTCGGCGTCGGGGTGGCATGGTTACACCACACGCCGTTCGGATCACGCAAAGCTGTAATAGAGAGGATAGTAGGTCAGTGCATGAGCTGATGAAAAGCAGGTACTTGAAGAAATGCAGAGATATAACTGTGGGGCCGCATTGAATTCCGAGTGCTACTAATGCCGAATCTTGAGGGAGAGGGAAGGATTTAATCTTAGGATGGGCCTGTGATTAGGCTGAAGTCCACATGATGACGCGTGTCCAGTGGGATTTCGGCTTATTTAATTGATCCTCTGATGGTGTAAGCGGTGGGGTCCAAGTTCAAAGGACCTGATTGGGGGAAAGAGGTAATCGGCTGGCGAGCCGACCCTTGGCAACTCAACTCAGTCCGATCAGCCTGGTGCTCCTCCCACTATCCACTACGCAACGTGTACCTGTCTCATGCGCTCCCTGCTGGCTTGCTTGCTGAAATTACTACCGCGCGCATCTATCCTTGCGATATTAGTAGGCATTGCACGGGAAAAGACCAGCCGCGACGACAGTCATCCGCTTGGATTGCCCTGAATTGCATTAGGCTTCACACAAGGTGTAGTGAGTAGGCTGACACGCGAAGCCTTAGCTTACTAGAACTGCTCTTGCAGAATATATAGTGCACAACCCAATGCCACGCTCCATTAGCCCCGGAATCAGTGTGAGCTGTGACGAAAAACTCTCTTCACTCCCGGTAAACGCATTCGTGTTGGAATCCACTGTTCTAACGGATTTCACAAGGTTGTTCACAAATGACGCTCTCTCATTTATCACTGATATCACAGTTCGCCATACAAGTAATGTGAGATGTGAAAATGTCGAGACCTTTCCCAAAGGGATACTCATCTCCAATGCCACGAGTCACAAGCCATATACAAAGTCTAGCTTCATAGAATACCAAAGCGATCTGTACTTTTACTAGGGACTGTTGGTCAAGAGGCCAATCAAGAGCTTGCAGTTGATCTGCGACCCCATGACTTTGAAGTGGCCGGTTGTCATCATTATAATTTCATCCTGATTGGCAGCATAGGAATTACACTCCATCAAGAGTGTGTCCATTTCTGTAGTTTCTGGGCGAGGAGAAGCTTCCCACGAGACCTTGCACGTCATGCCGCGGTTCTTCGCACGGACGTCTCCCCACGCGGAGAGTTGCCCGCTGAGCACGGCCCCCCAGATCTCATCCCGACTACGTCCACCATTGCTGCTACTGATCAAAGATGCTACTCGTAGGTCATATGTAACTGAGAAGAAGCGAAAATGCACTTTTACTGACTACTCATACTATTAAATGATAGTAAGCTGTTCCGCACTATGCAGGGATCGGCGCGATTTGTAACAGTCCGATTGCAAACCCCAGTACAACCCTTGATAGTTTGCGGCGCAGCATTTATGGCCCCCAAAATGCGTGGGGTGAGTGGCGTATTTTCCCTCTCATTTGCGGTTAATTTAAGCGATCGGCAATTATATCTATCTGTCGCTGGCCCAAGGTTTCAGCGCCGCTTGCACCTTGCTTCTCCCGTCGCCTACAACGACCATGGCACCCTCTTTTCCAAACCAACGTCTCGAGACAACAACAACTCAAAAGCAACTTGACCATCCACTGTGTAGCCTCATTCAAGAACTGAGAGAGGTAGATGGCTGTCGCTACCACCAATGCGTTGCCCTTAAGGCCAACGCCCCCTTCCGCTGCGGGAACGTCTACAAATATCGACCCCGATGGAGCCAAGATGACATCCATCGCCTCCGCAACTCAGAACCGCCTTTTACAACCGCCTTCGCAACAAGGCTCGCCCAAGTCCTTCTTTGCCACGCTCACCGAGACCAAACGAAGCACGTAAACCCTCTGGTTCTCGCCCTCACCGCCAAACACACCCCGCACTCAAACCAATCACCAGATGATGGCTATCTTCGAAATAATTCCATACAGCTAGCGCAAGCTGAGTCTAGCCGCTGGAATAGATCCAAGAGTGCTGAACCCCAGCTGGAAACATCGCACATGCCACCTAGACCGGGGCCGTGGACTTTGTTGGATGTCACTATGAGGCTGGCAAACAAAGAGAAAAAGGCCAGGTGCATCGCTTTTGATGGAACCAGCGGGCGATGCAGATGTCCAGTGGACAGGGCCAGGCTGAATCGATTCGCAGCCTACCTACGCCGGATGTGTTCTAACGAAGATGATGATTTTGAGATGCTTCGAATAGTTATCCACTATTGGCTTTGCGAGCAACATTCCCATTGGTTCTGGCTGGATTTCTACTATGACCTATGGGTTACGGAGATCGGATGCGATGACGAGTTGGATGAAAGTGTTGAGGACGAGCCAAACGAGAATATTGAGGACGAGTCAGATGAGAGGGTTGAGGATGAATCTGATGAGAGTGCTGACGATGAGTCGCATGAGAGCGCTGACGACAAGTCTCATGAGAGCGTTGAAGAATGCTCGAGCACTGAATCTAACTCCGCTGTGGCTGCTAAAGAATCTTCCAGCGAGAAGAAGATGTTTGCGTCAGAGCACGGAGGCCCCAATTCTCCGCCCATTACCATTAACATCGCGATCCAGGAATACAACTACTACGCTGTCTCAGCTCAGCAATCCAAGAACGAAATCATAGGTGGACTACCGGAAAGCCAAAGCACACCTCAAACTCCCCAATCTTTACACAATTTGGCACAAGGGGTTCTCCCCGCATCGGTATTGCGCCTTGTACCTGAATCCCGAAATCCCGGAGTCAGTGAGGTACCCGTCCGTTCAAGTACCCTTAATCGGAACAGAAGCCAGCAAGAAACACCAAACCGCGGTACCACACCCACCCTCGATGGTCTGGTAGCAGGTGTGAGCCGCCTGGATCTCAAAGATAGCCCCTTGGAGTCAAAACGAAAGCCGCGACGGGCGAAGAACGATGCAGAATCTTTAAACAGCCCTTTTGACATCTTCATCAAACGCCTCGTGCGTAAGCTTGAAAAGTGTCTGGCAAAAAATCTCGGAGAGAGGTTGTCAAACGAGATCAAGCTCGGCTACATTTACGTTCTTACCTCTACCGATAAGCCTGGACTCGTCAAGATTGGCTACGCCGGCGACGATCCTGAGAAGCGCATTAAAGGTATAAGGACGTTGTGCAAATTCAGTAACTTAACCATGGAACATCTAGCTGAGGATGTGCCTCACTTCAGACACGTTGAGAAGCTGATTCATTGTCAACTTGATCCGCTAATGAAGGAGTGGGATTGCGAACCCGAGAAGAATCGAACCCACAGAGAGTGGTTTCGATGCAAGCCAGACTTCGCGGCCAAGGTTGTTGACACTTGGGCTGAATGGATGAAGGGGGAACCGTACGCGCATGGCGTACTGCGGGAGAAGTGGGCCGCTAGAGTCTATGAGGAGTTGGAGCGGGATAAGCAGGGCCGGAAAGACGAGGTATTCGTGGACATGATTGCACGGCATCGAAGGCTATTGGAGCAAACGTAGTTCTGGCTAGTTTTTGAGAACAGCTTTAAAGATTCTGGGAATTTGTATTTCGTGACTACTTCATTCCTGGAGTTTGTGGTAGGGTTTCTACACGAGAGTCAAGGACGGACAAAGTCTAGAGTTGCATGGCACGGTTGACGTCGATTGAAGGTGCTCGGTAGAGAATTTGTAGATGAGTGGTTTGACCTTCATCTCACATTGCATTCTGATTCAAGTACTGCGACATTTGTCTGCATACAGCGTGTAATCTCTTATCGCTTTAGGCTACTAACAATTGGTACTGCGTTCTATCTGTTGGAACTAAGCCACGTTCATCAGTGCCGCGGAAGATGAGTAATCATACCTCGCCGTATACTTAAACCGCCCAACAGGCACGGTTGACCGAGAAAGGTAACGATAGACTTATTCCCAGTTCTTCAGATTATACGATTGAACGAACTTTCACTCTACCTCTTTTCAAGGGTCAGAACTACTTAGCACCTTCTCCGAAAATGGAACAAAAATACACCTTCGTGCATGTTTCCCCGCAATCAGTCGACCTCCCCAGTCTGGCTCAGAAATACAAACAACTCCGCCTCTCCGCCCTCACCCAATCACCAATGGCTTTCTCCTCAACATTCGCTGCCGAATCTGCCTTTCCCGATTCCGTATGGATCGAACGTCTCAGCGCAGATCCGTGCCGCCACAACTTCGTCGCACAGCACCAAGCTGGCGCAGGAAAGGATGGAGAGTGGGTCGCTCAAGTCACAGTGCTTGGGCCAGTCAGCGCGGAAGCATACACGCTGCCTGATGAAGCGGGGCAGCCGGCGGTGCGGACTGATCAGGTTGAGGAAAAGTGGCAGCTGCTGAGCTTGTACACCTTGCCGGAACATCGGGGAAAGGGTGTAGGGAAGGCTCTTTGCAAGGAAGTTGTCAAGTGGCTGAAGGAGAGGGAGACCGGTGAGGAAGGGACTGCAAAAGAGGTCCGGGTCCGGCTTATGATCAAGCCTGACAACACTGGTGCGGTGAGATTGTATGAGGGACTTGGATTCGAGCATTCGGGGACGTGTACGTTGGCGGAGGCTTTGAAAACGAATGAAGACGGCGATAGTGTGCCTGCTGATGGAGGCGGTGAAAAGTATCAGAGAAGGTCGGGCTACATTATGACATTACACTTCGAAAGGTAAAGAGGGTTGGTAGGAGCAGAGCGTTGAAGAATCGATTATCGTCCAAGTCGTTGCATGCTCTCAGTAAACACCCCAAGCAGAACTGATCCCAAAGATAGACTGCAAATGGATGATTTATCACCTCTTCTCAAACCCCATTTCACTCCATTGAGAAATAACCCTTTCCTGTACTCCGGTTGGATAGCTCTCTTTAAAACTCGCCGCCTCCCAGTCCTTTCCAGTTGTGTACTCTGCAGGAAGTAGTGCGTCACTTACTACCTTCCCGCCTTTGACCGGGCTATGGGCACCGTGACCGTTGTATGGAATCAGCGGGAAGGCACGAACCTCCGGATAGAAAACCTCATCGTCACCAGGACGGCAGCGCGTGCTGAAGGCCCACAAGACATCGCTACCTTCATAGACATCGATGTCGTCTCCAACCAGGACAAGCCGATGGATCGTGTAACCAACTTTGTGGTTGAAGACCAGATCGCCCACACGGCGGCTAAACTCCTTGGAAATCTTTGTGATGCCAAGCTTCCGTAATGCAGTCGTATCGACCTTGAGTGCTACCCAAGTCACCTGTGTTTCGAAACTTGCAAAAGCGTCGGTGATGGGCAAGCCATTCTCCTGGCATAATTGGCGAATTTCCGCTGCGGCGAGAGACCCGATCATGGTATGCGTCTCGTCTGTCAGGCGGCCGGACGCGCAGACGGGGAGAATGGCGCCGTTTCGGTAAGTGATGCAGTTGACTCGGTACCTGTGTCACGCATGGTCAGCTTCAGTTGGTGCAAGGTGTAGTCGATACGTACAGCGGCGACTGGCGCGCGTCCCCGGGGAAGCAGTAGCCGTGCATTTCTCCAAAAGGACCTTCGCGGGCCGTTTCAGTAACGGATAGTGTCCCCTCCAGCACAATCTCAGAGGACGCCGGCACGAGCAGGTCGTTGGTCTCGCACTTCACAAGGTCCATAGGGGCTCCGTTCATGGCGCCGACGTACTCGGCTTCACTGACCCGATCGGGAAGCGGCATCGACGAGGCCATGACTGCGGCAGGAGGTGCTCCAAGTGTAAGCGCCCACGGAATGTCGACGCCGGGCCTCTCCTTCTTCCAGAGCTGGTGGATTTGCCACAGGTGCTGCGGCTCGATGACCAGCCCGGCCAGATGCCTTTGATCGTGCACCATGGCGCGTGCTATTGACCAGTTGGTCCAGGTCCCATCCGGTGATTTGACTATGTTGATGCCGTAGGTTTGAATATACCTTCCGCCATCGCTCTGGTGGATGAGCGGCGCCGGCAGCTTGGTAAGGTCGATCTCGTCTCCGAACAGCTTGTTTTCCTTGCAGGGTCCCGTAGTAAGCGTACGCGGGGGAACTAGAGGGGCTGCCTTAGCGGATAGCATCTGATCGAGGATCTGCTTCATGCTAGCGTGCGGAGGGAGCGCAAGGTGGCGTGCTAGTCTGCCGTATTTCCCTTTGGATGTGCATCGTAGCGCACCAGGCCCGCCCAGGATACGAAAAAGACCTTGATGGGCACCTTTTACGTTATTGAAAAGGGGTGCCTTGTCGTTCAACTCATTGGATCGCCGAATAATAGCTGCAACTTCGAGGTGAGGATCTTTCTCCGAGTTTATCTCAGCGACATCGTGGTCAGCTTTCAATGCTTCTACGAAAGATCTGAAGTTCAAGTGCGGAGGTTCGGGGGTGGACCGATGGATATTGCGAGTTGATACGAAGGCTGGTCTAGGGATGCATCTGATAGAACGTTTGGATTCGTGCGCCACACGCGAGGACAACATTTCTGCGGTGGTAATGAGCGGTAGAGACTTGGGGGATACAGAAATTTGAAGCCAAAGGGGCTCAGCAGCTGGGAAGATGATCCTACGTAAACTTCTTGCAGACCGATTAAGTGCCTTTAATGATCCTACAGCGACACTTTTGCAACTTGTCAGCGATGCTGATTCGATGCGCTGGCAAAATGGTAGCTCATTCGCAATCCTTGGTCAATGCGTAGGAACGAGTGTTTATTCGCAAGTCTTTACTCCTCCTTCTTCCCTTCTTAGCTTAGTATTCTCGTAGATGGGGTTGACCCTGCATTTTGGCGAGTGCACCAGATGCAAGACCCACCATCGGAGAAATGTCGATCCAGCATGTTGATACGGGCGTACTGTGGTCGGAGGGCGATCTTTTGTCGGCGCAACGCTAAGTGGCGCAATGCCCTTTGCCCCTCGGTCATACTAGCGCCGCGCTAACACAGTATTACGACTCACGTAACGACCAATATAGCTCCTTGTATATGACGATCGTTTCTACACATTGTTGGCCTTACCATGTATACCTGACTTGCCAGAAGTAGCTAGGTGGTTGAATCGAGCTCGGGTGGCATCCGATTGGCCGACCAAAACAACACGCCACTGCCCCGTACCATGAAATAATAAGAGGGGAATTTTCCCGTCGATCCTCGGTTAGGAGATGCTTTGGGCAGGGTTTTCCGATCATGAAGGCGTTCCCAAGCTGTCCTTCCCGCACGAATTCGCCAGCTCCCCACGGGCCTGGGGTTCCCCAGAATTGCGGACGTGTCGGGATCAAAAGGAGCTCTGGCATAACGCTGGACCAACCCGATACCAGGAGATATACGCACTCGACTCAAATGTGGCCGATTTGGAGATGTTTGCGGGGGCCAAGAAGGACTGATTCATGTGAAGCTGTGTTTTATGCTTGGCAGCGCAGGCCACGGTTGCAGGTCGGCGCAGTCGACAACAGCAGTTATTCCAGTTCCCCTTGAGACATTTAGGACGCAGTCCAAAACCGCACTTCATTCCGGTTCCCCTTTTAGACTTTTTCCATATCGCGTCGCTTAACAAAATCCCCGAGCTTGCCGTCTTACGTGGCGAGGACGAGTCGTGTTCCGAGAGACCAATCATATCATCAGCACGAAGAGATCCAACAAGGGATTCTGAGCATTGGCGGCTATTCCGAAGCTTCGGCCATGGATTCCAACCACTCAAAGATTGGAGTCTGGGGTAAAATCGGTTGACCAAACACAACTCCGCAGCGCCGTAACTGCCAGCAGCCGTGTGCTATGAGTCATGCACCGAAATCCCTAGAAATCAAAGGTGACAGCGACCGTAGTGGAGTCATTTTCGCAAGCGCTATGCGTTGTCTCTTTCTCTACCCAAGAGTATTATTTAAGGAGGCCAGTAAAGACAGCTCATCTTGACAAACGGGCTGATTGGGATTCACAGAGAAACGATAACCTCACAACTAAAGTTCTGGTACAGCTGGAGAACCTTGCATGGAGGGAAAATCAGCCGAAATGACTGGTCGCAGATACGAAATCCCTGAAGGATTGCCCGCAGGAGCCGAAGTACCATCCTACAAGGAGTAATGATTCAGCCGTCCGGTCGGCTATTGTCAATGCGCATTAAGAGCGTGGAGCATCAGCCTCTTAGATATTCACACTCGATGTTTCTGACTAGCTTAAGGTTACCAAGCATGGGAGATGACCGCGCGATCGGACGATGTGCGGTCGAGAGCTCAAGAACTGCCGTGTCTGCTTCTCCTTCCCCTATACTGTGGTTGTCTTACATCTCTTTTTGAGTCCAAGCACACGGGAACGACGACAACGCGGAGTGGGCAACGACCAGCTTCTCATTTTACTCTGCGCATTTAAAAATCAATTGACACCTCTCTCACAGTCTTTGGAAGGATCCAGTAACACTATTCACCAGCCATGGCCGACGCCGCAGTTATTGAGACATGGACGTTGTACAGCGTTGGAGTACTGATCATCCTCGCTCGAATATATTCTCGATGGCAGATGGTCGGCCCGTCAAACTTCAAACCGGATGATTACATGATCTTTTTTACTTTGGTGAGTAGATCCAGCGAAGCTTTCGCCAAAGCTTTTTCCTGTCTCCCCAGACTGTCGGCTCTAACGCACATCGAAACTTTCCATAGGCCATCTACACCGGCATGACCGTTGCGGCCGAAATCGTGGGCGAACACGGCGATTTGGGTGCCATTCCTACCGATCAGCGTTTGAGCCTCACGCAAGAACAGGCTGATTCGCTCATCCTCGGAACCAAGTGGTTCATGGTAGGGTGGTATACATACGTTTCCCTCATCTGGTCTCTCAAATTCAACATGCTGTTCTTATACCAACGGGTGGTCAACGGGCTGTGGGTTGCCAAGTTCATCAAGCCGACCTTGGTGCTGGTCATGACCACATGGATAGCAATCCTCCTTCTGGTCTCATTCGTATGCAGACCCTACGAGAGAATGTGGCAGGTGTGGCCGGACCCTGGAAGTGAGTATCGCACACAGCCCCATTGCGACTATTGCTAATCCCACAATAGGCTTCTGCAAGGCGCAAGGCGCGGCACTCTTGATACCAACTTTAATCTGCAACCTGATCACAGATCTGTGCATTATGCTTATTCCCGCACCTGTTATCTTCCGGATCAGGACCACCATATGGCGTAGGATCGGACTGTACATCCTTTTTGGGGCTGGCGTATTCGTCATGGTAGCAGCGGTGCTACGCGTTGTTTTCGTGCTTGGAGTAAGACTCCTCCCTCTTCACTCCCAATATCTCTTTCACGATAGCTAAATATCTGCAGCTCAAAAACGGCAAGACTGCCGCCATCTGGTCCTGCCGTGAGGATGTTGTGGCCATTTTCGTCGGACAATCAACCATGATCCGTCCCGTCTTCACCCGCAAATTTTGGACTGGCGAGGACGAATCGACGAAAGGTGTCTCCAAGCGCAGTGCCAGCTCGAAGAATGGGCAGGTCTCAATCGAACTGGCTCAACAAACCATCGGCGGCGGCAACAGGAAGGGGTCGGCATTCCGCAGCAAGAAAGATCCGTACGCCATGTCAGCGATGATGGCAACAATGCAGGAGAGCGATTCAACGGAAAAGATTATTGAGAGTGCAAGTGCAATCTCGGGAGGTGCGGGTGGCTCCATGGAGAGCGGTCGGCCTGTGGATGTCGAAAGTGGAGGACACCGGGGAGATTCCGAAGCGAGCAGGCACGGGGAATTCCTGCAGCCAGGTCATCAACATGCGGGGAGATTTTGAGTTGTGGTCATGTCCAGCAGCAAAAAATCATATTAATTCTCAATGAACTGTTGTGGTTCTACAATACGCCAGCCTTAGTTTAACAGATCGCATAGTGATTGTATTTCAGCTATCTACCGGTCTTTTATAGACCTACTGACTGACTGCTGGCTTGTTTGCCTGGAATCTCCTGGAAGTTTGCCTGCTGCTCAGCTTGACTTTCCGCTGCCTTGGACGTCAACATACGAGCACCGTCCCATCTGTGAAAAGTATCCACGTGGATGTCCAGCGAGTCCAGCATCCTTCCCACGCTCTGATCCACGATGTCCTGGATCGACTTTGGCCTGGTGTAAAATGCCGGTACGGGCGGGAAGATGACTGCTCCGGCCCGTTGTAGAAAGGCCATATTGTCTAGATGTATCGCGCTGAGTGGCGTCTCCCTCACCGCCATAACAAGCTTGCGCCCCTCCTTCAGACACACGTCTGCTGACCGCGATATCAAGTCATCGCAATACCCAGCTCGGACTGCTGCTAGCGTCTTCATCGAACAAGGCACGACGATCATGCCGTCGTGGAGAAAGCTGCCAGACGAGGGTGGCGCGGTCATGTCCTTGACCGCATATGCCCGTGTTGCCAGCGACTGGACGTATTCGATGGGGACGTCCGTCTCGTACCGCATTGTGGCGATGCTCCATTTGCTGAATATGAGGTGGGTCTCGACGTCCAGGGCGCGGAGGATCTCGAGCAGACGGATGAGAAGCAGAGCACCAGATGCTCCTGTTGCACCAACGATGAGGCGGCGTTTGCGTTGGACGACATTCGGGAGCTTCGCCGCTTCCGCGGCCTTCTTCAGGTGGATGGCGCGCCGACCCGAGGCAGAAAGGACGCTCGAAGCCGCAAAGTGCTGGCCATCTTTTGTAAAAATGGTAAAAGGGGCCGAGTTTGTCAAAAAACGAGAGGCTGCGCGAAATCCAAATGGCATGTGCATGTCGCCGACTTGGTAGTGGAGTTTTTGATGTGGCTGTAGGCATCCGTAGACTTCCATGTCCGCTCTCTATATCTCTTATACTCAAGTCTTCTCTCTGTACAGCGAAATGCTCAAGACTCATGCATCCAACATCTCGGTTCCGGACCACTGTTTCGGGCATATCTGGTAGGTTTGTGCGGTAGGATTCGGTCTTTTCTTTCTAAGTAAAGCCGACGAAAGTCAGACACGCGGAGAATTAATATTCGGATCGCCAGTGAGTCTGCAAAGTCAATGCTTATCATGCGCGTTTGTTGTCTTTACTATCTGCTTCCCCTTTAAGAAACCTGTAGTATTTCTATTTTATATAAGACTTGGAACCTTATAGTTACATCGTTACTGTTGTTTCTTCCCTCTCTTTCTGATATCTACTTATTGATCTTCTTTGCAAGTCTTCGAGAACTGTCTATTTTTAGGGGAAAGCGCCGTTTGTCCGACAACAAACAGGGGTTGTTGAACGTTCGATGCGTGGGCCCTAACGACTCGAACATGCGGTGTGTTCTCTGAAGTCGCCAGCTTTGGTAGCGAATACGAAGACCCGCGCGGGGCGCAACGTTGACTGCAGTCGGAGGAATAAGTCGTGTTGGCGCAGATCTCTTCGCAGAGTCCGTGCAATGCCAATTGCCAAAGCTTAATTGGCTGGACACCGCCCTGCTGCGAGAACCCCGCTCACATTACTTATCGCTCCCCCAGTAGATAACTGTGAGCGTGTTCCTTTCTGCAAGACCACAGGCCGGTTTCGACGTTCCGCGCACCATGGAGGGTTTCACGCGTAAGAGCTTCACCACCTCCCGATCGCTTACCTACACCTACTTTGATTCTGGCGCCGCTGCAAATGACAAGCCGGCGCTCCTCCTCCTGCACGGCTTTCCCGATGGCGCGAAGCTGTGGTTCAAGGTGATCCCGCACCTCCTCCCCCTCGGGCGACGCATCATCGCTCCCGACCTCCTCGGCTACGGTGGCTCTTCCAACCCCACCGATGCCGCGCTGTTCAACTCCAAAGCCATGACGACCGATCTCGCGGAGCTGCTTGCAGCGGAGAAAGTGGAGAGAGTCGTCGTGATCGGACACGACTGGGGTTCGGTGCTCGCGACGCGCATGTGGCTGTGGCAGCCGCAGCTCTGTGCGGGCGTGGCCATGCTCAACGTGCACTACATCCCGCCGGGCCCCTTCGACCTCACCGCCCTCAACGAGCTGTTCGAAACGGCAACCGGCCTGCCGCGGTACGCGTACTGGGACTTCTTCGCCAACCACGAGGACGCGCCGAGCATTATCGAGAAGAACCTCGAGACATTCTGGACGGTGCTGCACGGCGAGAAGGACCACTTGATGGGCGAGCATTGGTGCCAGCATGGCGCCATGCGGCGTTTCGTCGAAGCCAACGAGGGTCTTCCATTACGCGAATATGCGAGGGCAGAGAGCGAGGGGAAGCTGAAGGAGGAGTGGTTTGCCTTTGTGGGCGAGAGAGGCATCGCAAGCTCGCTGTGCTGGTACAAGGCGCTGGCGCATGGCCATCATTGGGACGTGGAAAAGGAACTCCCATCCGAGCGGCTTCCTATCAAGGTGCCCAGCTTCTTTCTCGGGTGTACTGGCGATGATGTCTGCCTGCCAGCGCTTATCGACCAGAACAAGGAGGCGGGCTTGGTGCCGGACTTGACAGTGCAGGTCATCGATAGCGCCCATTGGTCTCCGTATGAGAAGCCGGCTGAGATTGGAAAAGGGCTGAACGAGTGGATCCTGGCGAAGTGCTGAACGAGTGGATCCTGGCGAAGTGCTGAAGCACATGTAATGTACGAAATGCTCTATCACATATATACAAGAGAATCTATTCAAAGCTGCGAGATCAAATTCAGTGTGGTGCAAGTCAGGAGCTAAAGATAGTCGAAGTTTCAGAGGTAAACGCGCGGGGCGATGGACAGCGGGCTTATCGCGGTTTCCCTTCCAAAATCGTAGTTCAACGGCGCACAGAGAATTTCATGGCAGATACCATATATACGCAAGAGATTCGTCCACTTGGCGGCAGGCGCGGCAGAAGCATTTACTGCATGGGTAACCCCTGTCGCCAAGTGAGCGAGTTTCGCGGGTGTATACGGTATACGGCCCCACTCAACTAACTATGGCAGCCGCTGAATGTCTCGGCGTGCCATGACTTGACTTCTTCCTTGTCATGCAAGTCGGCGCATCATTTGGCCACGACCTTGCCCCCGCTGCCAAACCTGACTCCTCTACAACAAACCGCTTTCTATCTTCGCATGCTTCCACCTATTCCCACTCGCCAGCTCGCCGGTCGTGGGCTAAAACTCTGTGACAAGGGGTGGTAGGAGCGAACGGGTTGTAGACGCCGCAGCAGACTTCCTTTCTCCAAGGATATTGGTAGTGTGAGAAAACGGCGTTGCCAAGTCTCTTTGCGCCGGGTCCGAATTCTTTCGGCCGGTGGTTTTCCATTCACTTCTTTGTGGGACGGAGGAACTGGCCATCCTCTCGCTCGTTGTGGTTTCTTTTCGGCGCTTCCCTGCCCCTGAAATTCAGGTTGCGTCAGGCAAGCTGATTCATGTCCGCGGCTCCGGCTGCTGTGCCGTCGCCGTTGCCAAGGCTGCTTCCGGCAGAACCGGCGACATGCCATTGGGTGTCTGCGCTCGAGCATTCGGGGCGATCCGTAGATCCAACTAAGTTTGGACCTCTTCTGAGTCGCGGCTCTATCTGCAACATCTTTCTGTTAGGCCGACGGACTTGATTAATTATGTAGTGCAGTGTGCAGAAAAGGGTTAAGGAGAGCTGGGACATAGACTCGGGATTGACAACATCAAAAGTAAGAGCTCTTCTGCCCTACGCTAGAATAAGCTTCTATCCTCAACATGCAGGGCGTTATGGCAGCCGAAGGCTAGCGTGAAGAATATCAAGGCCCGAGGCATAACTATGGTCCAGCTCTTTTCTTAGAAAAATAACATTTGTGGGTGGTTGAAGCTATCGTTCGGACGTAAATGTGGGGTTTAATTTGCCCATGACATGAGCAAAAATCCACATTTACATCGGCTTCAGGAGGACACTGTAGCACTAGAGATCCTTGCTGCGCGCTTGGTTTAGGACGTGAAATGCAGACGTGATAGCGGAGTGGTCTACTACTGACTGCACGCCGCGTGTTCGCTTTCTGTCGTTGCAAATCAATTACATCGCAATTGAATTTACCCACATCGCACAGTGGAAGAAATGCGGGACAATGCGACGCTTTTCGAGCCCGTCAGACATTGGGTGATTCATAGAAATGCGCAGAATTTCCGTCTACATTTGCAAGTCGTCAGCTTATTGAGCACCTCAGGAAGGCTGCCGTGTCTTCCGAATAGCCCATGCTTTGCCGCAAACAGACCAATCGAAGCTACTCTTTCTGGCAGTCGGATGCGGTTAAGGCTTGGGCATGCAACAATGGCAGAAAGCGGGCAAGTAGATTTTTAAAAGCCGATGCTCATTAGCCTATGAGAGGTCGACACATAACAGCGCATAATCGACCTTCTCGCCAAGGGTTTTGTAAGCTGTCTTGAGTGTTAGTAACAATAAGTAATGTGACACTAGGTCACGAACTGCTCCGCATTGAAAAGGCACCGCATCTACCGCCCCGGATGTATTTTGCGTAGTAGCAACATTACTCGCATCCTGCTTCGAACGAGATGAGCACCGTCAGAAAAATTGCCTGGAGATGGTCACAACGTTTACTTCTGAGTTCGAATCGGCCAGTTCCTTTCGTCCGTAGACATTCCACCACGCCTACTCATGATGCACAACTGAATATCCGTTGGAGTGGGATTCGCGGAATCGTTAACGGACTCGGCATGATTATGGCTACCACCTATGTCGTAGTGAATGCGTGGGTAATCTCAACCGATCTTGCATTGAAATGCATTGCTCTTCTGCAGGTCCAATCCTCTTACGAACAACGTGTCCGGTCCTATCTCAAAGCGACTCAAACACACAACTGGCGCGGAGGAAACCAATCACGATTGTACGAGGATATCAACGCAAGCGAATTCCGCCTCTTCGTTCTGGAACCGGGGATTGATGGTAAAATCGAAGGTCACTTCATCCTCGAAGTTCGTGAACGACTTGTTCCGCCGCCTTACGAAGCACTGTCCTACCACTGGGGCAGCAAGGAGGATCAAGCGATCATAGTCTGTAACGGCCACGAGATGAAAGTTCGGCAAAACTTGTACGACGCTTTGGTGGAGCTTCGATTACCTCATGCGCCTCGCTTGCTATGGTGTGATGCTCTTTGCATCAACCAAGAGAACAACGAGGAGAAGAATCAACAAGTCCGACATATGAACAGCATTTACGAGTCCGCACACAGGGTGCTGATATTCCTTGGCGCGGAAGCTGATGATATCAAGGGAGCATTCACGCTTCTCCGGTACATGCACAGCTCGGCCGAGTACACCGCCCGGCGCAAATTCGACTTCATCACACACTTCCTGCCCACCAGCTATACGGCAGCGCGCTCACTGGGCCAAGAAGGCATCTCCGAATCGGCTGAGCAGGCATGCTGGAATTGTGCAAACGCATTGTTATGCCGACCTTGGTTCCACCGGCTTTGGGTGCTACAAGAAGTCTTGCACGCGCGCAAGGCAACGATTTTCACAAGTAAGACCAACGAAATGGACTGGGACCATTTTGTCATCGCAATGCAAAGCCTTCATCGTATCCCTGCAGTGGATAAGAAGCTCTTCAAAAGGGCCGCGGCCGCCTCACATATGGCGATTGAAATTCAAAAGGCGCGAAAGAAGCATCTTTATGGGCATTATCTTCATGAGTCTGACCGAGAACTTCCGTTCTTTCACATGCTTCTTATGGCGAGTTCCTCAGATTGCGAGAAGGCAAGAGACAGAATCTTTGCGGTGCTCCACCTTGCGAATGATCTGGACTCCTCGGATCTAGCGGGCCTGCTAGCACCGGACTACAGTAACGAAATTACTGCAGACGAAGTATACCGACGCTTCGCGGAGTGGAGCATCAAGCAGAAACGAAATCTCAACATACTGTCCTGTGCTAATGCAACAGCCCCGGGCCAGATCCTACCTCCGTTCAGATGGATTCCTGTAGATCCAGGGGCGACATACGCTGTCAAACGAAGACTTCCTTCGTGGATTCCAGACTGGCGAAATATTCCGAACCAGGACATTTTCGTTCGGTACAGTGAGAACATACCATTCAGTGCCGGTCTCCCAGGTCTATTTGGATCAAGAATGGATCCAAAACCCGAGATTCGAGGAAACAGCTTATTATTGAGCGCAAAACGGGTTGACGTGGTTCATTCAACTAAACACCCAGATCTCAGTATGGCAGAGAGCCATAGAGAAGGATACACAACCACTTTATTCAACATATTCAAGGAGTTGCGGGATCAATCGAAAGCTTCAACGGCCACATTGGATGATAGCAGTGTTGGAATGTTTGAAGGGCACAACAAAGTTTGGAAAATGATGATTTGTGGGCTCACCTGCGATGGCTATCGAGCATCGCGGCTGTACTATTTCCACTTCGACAACTGGGCACGGAAGAATGAGCCAAGCAGACCACACCACAGAAGAAGACGCCGCGGTCGTAAAACCGGCAGAAGACAGAGCGAAGGCTATCTCAGAGAGCAAATGAAACAAGGGCGCGGATATTACTGGTACTCTGTCGGTCTCGTTGAGAAGTCTTTGCAAAAATGGTCATCGCAGAGAATGGTTGGGTTTACGGCAAAACGCCGCATGTGCTGGCTGCCACCAGGGACGAGACCAGGTGACGCCATTTACGTAATACCTGGCTGCCAGGTTCCATACGTATTTCGGCCCTGGAAGGACGGAACATACACGTTGGTTGGCGAAGCATACGTTCATGGAATAATGTGGGGGAAGGCAAGACCGAAAAAAGCATCGGAACTCGAGAGGATAACTATTGTATAATTTTGTCTTTTGTAAAGTTGCGCGTGCATGGCAAACTTCCTTTTCAAACCATACTCTAATTAGTTTCAACAGCAATGACGGCCCCAAACTATAAAATCCTGTGCCCAGAACAACCGTCTGCAGATATCTGTATTGATCTTCTCCGGAGCAGAGCAAATTACGTGCGATCTTCTATAGATTACCCCCAGAAGATGGCAAAATTGGATGTGTTCTCTACCATACATCTCGCAAATAGGTGAGAGATATTGAAACCTCTTACCTGCCACTTGTAGATTTTCATTTCAGTAACTATATTGCTTCAGGTAAATGATTGAATGCACGTACGTCTTAGACTGGGCCTCCACGTAAGCAAGAGGGAATTTTAATAAAATTAGGCCCCTCAATGCAATCCCATCCTCTATGATGATGCTATAGCCTGATAGTATCCGGAGAACGTTGCAATGGCTCTATGCGTGAACAGCGTTGACTTGGTAAATCTCATTCAAGTAGGTCGGAGGACGCCGAACATGATCGGGTGAAACCCGGACCAACCCGATCTATCTCTAACAGATGCCGCAGATGCCGATTAGCCGGCCGGAGCAGGCCGCACATGCAAGCGCACTTCCCTCCACTTGGCCCGGCACCCATTTGGCTAAAAGTTTACGCCAAAGTGGTCAACAATGGCGAATCGCCTCGTACTTATACTTCCCTCATACCATCCAGCGTCTCGGCCGACAGTCATTCAGTCGGCCGAGACTTTGGCTACGGCGGAGAGAACAAACCCATAATTCACAACGGCTTCCTATGCGACATCTGCTTGAAGGACTACCTGCCGAAATGCAATTCAGGGTGGGACCTCCAAGCCTCTTGGCTTTCTTTGCTACCGTTTGCTGTGTTTTTGGGATTCGGGTCTGTATTCATAATCATGTTTGCGTTTTTTCCATCTGACAGAAGATCTAGATCGAATCATCACCGGAAGCGCTCAATCCACAACTCAACAACACCATCTCCAACAAAGATGGACCCCCGCTGTATTACAGCGGGTCAGGGCCCACCCCAGGATACAATGAAACGTCACCCGCGCCGCATCCCCTTCCGGTTTTGCCAGCATCAGAGGTGAAAAGCTTATTTATTTCTGACATTCAGACAATCCTCAGCAGTCCCACCTATGAGACGAACTGCTCCAAGTGTGTTACGTTTTTCGAGGCAATGCATCTTGCTGCAATAACCCAGCCCGAAAGTACTGTCACCGAGTTACTTATCGATGTGTGCGAAACAACGAGCTGGATCAAGAAGGGTATCAGCGCCTCCAGTTGCTATCAGGAATACTCCGAAATTGGAAATACTGGACCATACTTGGCTCTACTATTCAGAAAAATGTCTCTCGCAACTGGAGATATGGAAGCGTATTGCCACTACAAATACTCATTCTGTGACGAGCCCGGGGTCATCCAAATTGATGAGGGTAAATACTTCACACCAAAACCAGAAAGCAAGTCAGTGGCGCCGGAGCCATCGGGTACGCAATTATCTCATCCCTACTCTTGGAATCTTCACGCTGACGAGTAATTATAGGCGAAGTTATCAACGTACTTCACTTGTCAGATTGGCACCTTGATCCCCGGTTCGTGATTAAGTCCTCCGCCCGATTTGGAACATGCATTGAACGTTATTTAGCTATGACATCGGTTCAGAAGGAAACTGTAGTACCTATCTCTGCTGCCGGTCCTACCGCACAAACAAGTACCTCAATACCACAGCAAGCAACCCATCTTGGCCAGCTTCGCGGTTTGGAAACCTCTACTGCGATACACCAGCAGATCTGAGCCTTTCGCTTTTCTCTACCATGGCAAACTTCGTCAATCTCTCCGATATTGCATTCTCACTTTTCACGGGAGATGTAATTAGCCATGATGATAAAGACCAACAATCTCGGGCATACGTTGAATACGAAGAGACAGTTGTCTACGAAACCTTTAAAGCACATCTTGGAAACATTGTCAGAGCTCCCCCTTGCCACCATTACGACGCTGTTGGCTGACACGGTTGATTCAGCCAGTTTATGCCGCGCTTGGGAACCATGACAGCCTCCCCAGTGATTTCGCGACGCCGTACAGCCTTTCCAACTCAACAAATGATGACAACTTCTCGTGGAACTATCAACTACTGGCTTCACTTTGGGGTGAGATGGGCTGGATCGACAACACGACCGCAAGGAGTGCCAGCACGCATTACGGTGCATATGCCTACGTCACACCACAAGGCTTGAAAATCATCTCCATCAACACCGACTTCTGGTACACCGCCAACCCGTAAGACTCCCTGAGAACCAATTCACCCTCAACATTCCCCCGCTAACCGTCGCGCCCCCCAGCTTCAACTACTACAACTTCACCAACCCCGACCAATCCGGCATCCTCCGCTTCCTCATCCGCGAGCTCGAGGCCTCCGAAGCCGCCGACCAGCGCGCCTGGATCATCGGCCACGTGCCGAGCGGCTACGGCGGCACGGGCGTCAACGGCAAGGCGCTGCACAACCCGTCGGCGCTCTTCTACTCGATCGTGCGGCGCTTCTCGCCGGCGACGATCGCGGGCATCTTCTGGGGCCACCTGCACCAGGACCAGCTGATGGTGTACTACGACTACAATCTGTCCTCGGGCGGCGGTAGTGGTGGCTCGCTGCGTAATACCACAGACGTCGACTACGCGCGGCCGCTGGCGTGGGCGCACATGGCGCCGTCGGTCACGCCGTTGACTGGGCTGAATGCGGGGTGGACGCTGTACCAGGTCGATGCGCGCACGTTCGAGGTGACCAACTGGCAGACGTTCATTGCGAATGTGTCCGAGGCGAATGCGTGGACGGAGCCGGTGTGGCAGTTCGAGTATGATGCGCGGGCGGAGTACGATGGCGAGGGGCGGTGGCCGAGGGGCGCGCCGCTGAATGCTACGTTTTGGCATGGCGTGACGGAGCGGATGGTGGAAGACGGCTCGTTGGTTGAGAAGTACAATTTGTTCGAGACGAAGAGTAGTGTGGTGACTAAGAATTGTTCGTCGAAGGCTTGTGCGGAGCAAAAGGTCTGCTATATTCGGAGTGGGAGCACTATGCTGGGCGATTTGTGTTCGCATGGAAATGGCCCGTTTTGAGTCTCGTTTTTTTATCCACTGGGGAGTATAACAAATGAAAATTCTTTGAGCAACATTCTTACACGAATGCAGCTGAGCAGCATCCTCAAAAAAGGCAGGTAAGATTTCAATTTGTTCCAAGATGGCAGCGGTCAGACAAACCTGCACGCAGACGCGAAAGGTATGGGTACACGACGCTGAGCTGTAAAAAGAAATGCAGAAAAGGGATCACATTTAAGCTTCTTGTCCTTATTCCAATCAGCTTTGCATACGTCCTCTCCCCCCATTTAATACGACTTCCCACTCACCACCCTCGCCACCGCCGCCTGCAAAACCGCCTCCTCATCCCCCTCCAGCGCCTCCGCCCAATCCCGACCACTCCCCTGCCGCAGCCCCACACGCAAGCCACCCAGCCCCTTCTCCTCCAAGTCATAATAATCATCACTCGCATAGGACCCCTTCTTCCGCATCATCCCCGAACCACCACTACACGGCCTATAAACAGGCTCCGGCGGCGTCAACGATGGCGTCAGCGTGCTCAACGGCCCCGCCATAATCGCGCGCTGTTGCCTGCCGGCATCGTCGCCGTCACTCAGTACCAGCTCCTGCACGTCGGGCATGTCGCGGGTGGCGCGGCGGTTCCAGATGAAGAGGGTGGCGGCGATGCAGAAGACGAAGACGAAGCCGCCGCAGGCGCTGAGGGCGGCGACGGCGCCGTTGGAGAGGCCGCTGTTGCCGGTGGAGATGGAGTTGGGGTCGATGTGGTCGGAGGGGGACGGGGTGGTGGTGGAGTGGGACGTTGTTGTTGTGGTGGAGGAGGAGGTGGGGGATTCTGAGGCCGAAGGTGTTAGTCTGGGGGCTTGTTGTTGGTTAACTTGGGGAGCAACCCCTTCTGGCAACTTACGGGCGGACACGCAGGATGTGCAGGCGAACAGGAGAACGGCGGCGCATGTGCTGGCGCGGAGCGTGTGCGGGATGTGGGAGGAACGCATATTGGCGAGGCTTCACGCGCGCAGCGTCCCGTGGGGTAGGTAGCGTTTTCGACGAAGAGGGTGTGTTTAGGTAAAAGTGGGACGAAAGGCCAAGGCAGAGGTAAAGAAGTCGAATCTAGGTATCAGAGGGTAGATCTTTGATGATACTGCCCCGTGAAGTTTTTCCCAGGCTGATAATGTGCCACTAACGACTAGGACGAGGGGGAAAACGAGAAGTCAGGAGAATCAGGCGTTCATCATGATGTGATAATGAATTAATTAGGTGCGGGGCCGTCCGAGGCGGAAAACCCGCAGACGTCATTCGAAAGCAAAGAAAATATTAAAGGCCTCACCGCGAGGCACTCAGCGCGAAGCTGCTCGGAATATTACTACTCTCTGCATCGCGGGATACCTGCTGGCTATTTGTGATGTGTAGCCGTGGCGATTTACTGGGTGGTGGTTTCCAGACTAGAAGGAGCGGGAAGAAGGCCAGAAGGTCTGGGCGACATTAGAACACAGGATGACAGGCACTAGCGGGGCAGCCGACCATTCTCGTTACATGTGATTCGCAGTAAGTACGCCCACGCGGGAGTCCGTGGTGCGGTGGCTTTGCCGTGCCGTCAACCCTTTCCTTTTCCAGCTAGTCAGTCACGGCTGACAAGTCAGCTCCACACGAGACAGCTATCATTATTCCTCCTTCCACTCCCTCTACCACTCCGGCATTCACGCCGCAGATGACGGGCCGTGGATAGGCGGATATGTCTAAAAGTAAACTTTCAGCCATTGAACTCACTATAGGCCCAGCTGGACGATCCCAGTGTCTAGATCTCCACGTGCGAGATATTCGGCAGTTCGCCAGCCGCTCCCACGAGCTTGAGGATTACCAGACATTCGTCTAGACCAGTCAGCAGATTCAGCTACGTTCGAGGGAAGCAGCACAGTCGCCTATTAAAACCTCAAGCGTGGCCTGTTCTTCTTCCGGAAGCAACAGCCGGGCCAATAAAGATAGGTCATATCGTCTTCCAGCAGGATTCGCTGCTGTCTGTAGCTTTTTAAAATAGTGACAACCAAGAAAAGACGTTCCAAGTGTCATTGCCAATGTCACCTCATTAACCGCCCTGGCCTGAGATGGGGAGGCCACTGCCGACACATACGGCGACCATTATTGAAGAAGGCGAAGTATCCTCCGCCCTACCAGGGAGATAATCCACAGCCCGAGCCGAAATATTGTCGTCAGAACACGATCAGGGTCACCTTGCGCATTCCTCTCTGCGATCAAAACCAAAGTTGTTGCATCGTCACCACTTTCCCCTTACGTCACGACACGGCACGCCACCCCACGCGACGCTAGAGGCTTACTTGCAAGCCAAGCACTAGCTCAAGCGGCCCCGCCATCAGCCAAAGCAGGACCCTCGCTCCGGCCACGCGACCGCCCGCCGTCGTCTCCGTCCCGTGCCGTCAGAATTCGCTCTAGAAACCCTGCCGCCGCACTAGTATTATTCCCGCTTCACCCGATGCTTCCCCGTCGCCGCAACCTAAATAGGATATGCGTGTGTAGGATAGACACACACGCTCACGACAAAAATTAGAGATGTCTTATTGCACCTGGAGGAAAAGGAGATTCGACATCTAGTCCCGCTCCTGCAGATTGCAGCAGTCGAAAACTATGGCGGGATGGCGGGGTGTGAAACACGCTAGTGATTGTGGCTTGCTTGCCCAGCTGCGGCTGGGGGACTGACCTACGGTTCAGTCTGCTTCTCGGGTTTGTGATGGCTACCATTACGGCGGTGAGCTAGTGTGAGGCGTCATAGAGGGGGGGATGGAGATCCTGAGGGCTGGTTCTAATGCGTCCGTGTTGGATCATGGTCGTGAAGCATCGGCATCGCAGGGAGCAGAGAGCTAATTCAAGGCTTTGGTAAGTAGTGCAGCGAGATGGCCGCTGCTGTACGAGGAATGAAGGAGAGTAAAATTATAGCTGGCTATGTAGACTACTAATCCGGATGCCCAGAAAGACCCTCACCGCTCATGATCCGTACACAGTCACCTCGTGCAGGCCGGCAGCCCAGTCCGCCTCGTTCCCATTATGAATGTTGATGACCTTATTCACATTCAAGCGGACGTACCTGTAGCTACCACTATCGGTAACCTCCTCATTCAGGAACCCAACAGCCGTATTCGCCGTCCCATTCACGAGCAGCGTCCAACTCTCCCCATCAGTACTGCCCGTGACGTTGTACTGCAGATACGTCTCGGACCCACCGACCTGTCGGGGCGTGATATCAACCTGCGTAAGGCTGTGCGCATCCCCCAGATCGACCTGCCACCAGAACGGCACCGCAGCCGGCGTGAAAAGGTTGCTCGGATCGTCCTGCGTGCCGTCGTTTGCCACGCTAGCCGTCGTCGACGCATCCGAACTGGTGGCAGTCTTACCAACGCTCAGAATCTTGCCTGACTGCACTCCCACCACAACTCCCGCATCATCACTATACCGCAGCGTGCGGTAGAAGTGGTACGACGCCAGCCCGTCCGCAAATGCGATGGGCAGCACGACCTGCCTGTTGCTCGCCTCGGGGATCGCCCACTGCGCCGCCCACCGGTTCGCGCGCTCGACGTACGTGTCGCCGATCTGGGAGACGCCGCCGGACTGCGCGCCGAAGGTGTTGACGTTGCCGACGTTGCGCGACGCGGTCCAGGTCCCGTTGCTGCTGCTCAGGCTCGCCTGCGTCGACACGTACTTGCCCTGCGACGGGTACCACCCCGCGGCCGTGCTGGAGAAGAGGTAGTACGACTCGCCGTCGCGCACGAGCGCGGGCGCCTCGCGGTTCTCGCCGGGCTGGATGGTGGCGACCTTGGCCGTGACGTTGGTCCAGTCCGCGTTGAGGCTGTACAGGCCGAGGTTGGTGTTGGTGTTGATGGCCGTGATGATGTAGCCGCTGCCGTCGGTGTCGGCGAAGAAGCCTAGGTCGCGCGAGTCGTCGCCCTCCGGCCGGAAGGCGCCGCCGAAGGTGAGCGTGTCGCCTGGGTCGCCGTAGAGGACGGCGACTTCGCCGAGCGTGTAGTCGGCGGCGTTCTCGAAGTGCGCCCAGATGACGACTTGGTTGGTGGTGGGGTGCTGGTTGATGGCGATCGACTCGAGCTTGCAGAAGCCGTTGGCGATCGAGGCGCAGACGGTTTCGCGCGTGATGGCTGTTGTGTTGCCGGTGAAAGTGTAGCCGTCGGTGGAGGTCTGGATTTGAAAGTAACTGAAGCCGTTCGAATCGGTGACGTAGTTGTATTTGTAGTAGGTGCTCCCGGATACTAGAGTGCTTTTGATGCTCAGGGACGACGCCACTGTGTTGTCATACGTGCTTAGATCGCTCGCCAAAGTAGATCCAGGGGCGACAGTCACGTCGTCTGAGCTGTCGATGGTAGTGCTGCCGTTTACACCGCGGATCTGGTACGTCTGGCTGGCCGTGAGACCGTAGATATCCCAGCTATCCCCGGGTGCAGTTGCCAGTACATCGTATGACCCTGAGTCGGAGAGGAGAAGTACTTCGTAAGATGCGGCGTCGTCAATAAGGCTCCAGGTGAGCTTGACGTTGTTGATTGTGCTCTCGCCGGCTAATACGAACAGTTGCGAGGTAACATTGATTCGCGCAGCTGCAAGGAGCGGCAGCAACGAACATGCCGTAAGGACGGAGGAGGTAACCATGATTGTGTGATGATGAAACGGTTGTGTGCAGAACGAGTCCTTTTAAAACTATCATGGGCCGTGGCAATACGGCTGCATGCTCCTGGACAGGGGAGCGGAATTTACCGAGCTCAGGAGCATGGTGCGATGACATGGGCTGGATGAATTGTTGTTTTGAATAGTACGCGTGTCACCGGACGCTTTAGGCAACAGAACATGTCACGCGCCGCTCAATTACCAAAAACGCGATTTATTCTCTCGGTTGCCCCACTTGCGTCGTTCGATTTTCCACTCGTATATACCCTGCATGTCTTACCCCAGCTCAGGTAATGGTCCACTACTTTAAACGATTCTCCGTCCAGTGGTAAAGGAAAACTACAATTCCGGTATTCAGCCTTGTAAACACACTATTGAAGTCTAACTTTAATGGGACTTGGCTACAAATTAGACGCAGGGTATCAGGCGACAAGAGACACTGAAAGGGCAAACATCGCGAAAGATCCGGTGGATCGACTGCTGGCGCACACCAATAGCCCACCGGAGTTCTAAAAATATCTAATAACTAATGACGGGCCGCTTCCAAAGCCGGAAAGACTGGGCTTCCTCCATGGAATTCCGCAGTGCTATGCCTTGATTTTTTTTTATTTGTACGGTGACCTCGCTTCTGGCTGGTGGTGGTGGTGCCGCTTCTGCTAGTCCTCTCCATCCTCCACGGATAATTCCATATTCTTCTTTAGCCTCCGCTGCTGCCGCCGGATTACCATGCTGCGCGTGTGGAAAACATACCCGATAATCCGCTATCAATTGGAAAGTGGTGCTGGCTGTCAGTGTCGACACTCTGATGGCCGGACATCGTTGCACCGTGCAGTCCTCTCATACCAATTGTGCAACATCAAAGTATTTGCAACCCACAACAACAGCCATTTACTCAACATTCAAGATTATTCAAGGCTCTATATTACATTTGGCTATCCGCGTGGATGATAGTTCCAGAGGAAGAGGTTTGGGAATGGTCCGGCTCTTCAAATCAAAGGTGTCAGAACGGACGTGTGCAGCCTCTTAAAAGCAAGTCCACTAGATGAGGCCAGAAGAACCAAGCTCGAATTGCCGTTGAAGATTCCGCAGGCTACCAGCGACTACCGTGGCTGACACGTAATCCTTCATGTATGTCCTCCATACATATTGTCGACGGAAAGTTACAAGTAACATAACCGTGCACTCGGAAAGCATTAATGAGTCCAGCAAGCAACCTGAATATCAAGGAAATCAGCAGTCGCATGAAAACACTTTTAACGGTCGACAAATACAATGGCCCGTAGTACATGGACGTGTGGTAGTGAGGAATTCCATATTGCCGTTTCACCAACATATACCAATCTGGTCTGGTGCAATTCACAGAATTGCCAAGCTGAGGTGGGAAGAATACGGAGACTTGATCTTCTCTCGATTCAAAACCAACCTCGAGGACAATGTCAAGAAATGTCACAATCCAGCTGCTAGAAGGTCCGGTGATGATCTTTTCTCTTCGTACATTCGGCAATGGAACAAGTACCTCAAGGCGGCAGGACGTTTTAGGTGCACTTAAAATGTTTGAATGACCAATGGATTGGTTGAAAGCGCGATGAGAGAATACAGGGGATTTTCTTTTACGTTTTTGAACTTCACCTTGGTTGCTGAAGGGACGGCTTTTTTATCCATGTCCAAGAAGAGGGCGGCTTTTATATGTGGCAGTCTCTGCTGAGAGCTACGAGTAGATGCAGACTTTCTAGCAAGCATTAAAGTTAGTTTCCAGGGCACTGGCAAAGGTGCGGCCTGACGTCGGCATCGTGTAGCAGACTCTGACAGTACCATCCTTTACCAGAACAAATTTAGCTGGACAGATCCATTTCTCCCCGGTCATTCCGCGGAATTGATCACGATGTCTGGAAGATTGAAGTAACGAGGTCGATAACATGAAGAGCGTTTACTAAATTCTATACGAGACGGTTATGTTTCTCGGTTGGGAGACAGGACTAGAGGTACCCGACCGAGTAATTTATAGTCTACTTAATCATTCATGAGACTCTCTGAAACGCCGTTCCTGATAAAACCGATAACCCAGACACCCGCGAGAAAACGAGATCCCAATTTTCTAGTTCGTCTCTCTCGAGGCCAGCGCAATGGCGATGGCCACAGAGTCGGAATGGGAGATGCTCAGCCGAATATCCTTGATATTCTGCATCTCCAAAGCCTTCTTCGCCTCGCCATGCAACTAAAAAGACGTCAGCACAATTCGGGAAACCGGGGGACAAGTCAAGACTTACCTTCACAATCGGAATGCCGTCCTCACTCACAATCTCAATCTGCCGCATGGCCGCGCCAGCGCCCTTGGACGAGACATTCAGGCTCTTGAACACAGCTTCCTTCGCCGCCCACCTGCCTGCCAACGAGGCGTTCGGGTCGGGCGAGGCCTTGCAGTAGGTCAGCTCGCCCTCGGTGTAGTTGCGGGCGAGGAAGACCGGATCTTCAGTGTTGATGTTCGCCACGCTCTCGACATCAATGCCGACGGTCGTCGACGGGCCGAGAGCGCACGGTGGCACCGCAGGGCCCATCATCTTGACCATCTGGCTGGCAGCTGCCGCGAGAGACAGGCCAGCAGAGGCTTCCTCATCGCCGTCGCTGTTGTACCCGCTATCGAGCGGGCTGATGTCAGACTCGGAATCCGAATCCACACCATGCAGGTTCGCCGGGTCGAACTCCAGCACACCATCCTCGCCAACGCCAATGCGAGCATGCGGATCCAGCAGCACAGCCGCCTCGTCCTCAGGCTTCCACGGCGGCGCCGCCTTGACGCGGAGGAAGTCGTTCGCGATGAATCCCTCCGCAAGGCGCCGATTCGCCACCTGCTGGCGCACCACCGCCTTCTGGCAGTACTCCTCATACGCCCTCTTCTCAACCGCCGCAAACAAGTACCTCGGCGCGACCCCCAACACCAAGCCCCCCTTCTGCCCGAACCCAAAACTCGTCAGCATAAACGCCCTCACCCCGTCCCTCCCCAACCGCACCTTCCTCCCGGGATACACGAGGTGCCCAAACCCCCTCATCGCCCCATCCACATCATCCGCATTCCCGTTGCCCGGCACCACGCCCGACGCCATGGCCTGCAAACACCCGTTCAGCATCCACGCGCCCGCCGCGCCCTTGGGGTGGCCGGTCAGGTACTTCTGCGCGACAATGAGCAGCGGGTTGCCGGGCGTGCGGCCGAGGTGCGCCATCTGCGCGTTGACGACGTTGGACTCGTTCTTGTCGTTGGCTTTCGTCGACGTCCCGTGGAAGGACGCGAGCGCGATGTCGTCGACCGTGAGGCCCCAGGCTGCCAGCGCGGCGCGGAGGGGCGAGATGCCCGGGTCCTGGCGGCGGATGTCGTGGGTCCAGAGGGATTGGGCGGCGCGGGTCTTTGCGGTGGCGGCGGCGTCGATGGTGGCGCGGATGGAGGACGAGGCGGGTTTGTGGGAAGTGCAGGCCTGGCGCAGTTGGGTCTTGCGCCATTCGCGGATGGCGGCGAGGTCGTCTTCCAGGTGGCGCCGGCGGTAGTCGAGGTCGAGCAGCGGGGAGGTGGCGGAGCGCGGGTCTTCGCGCGCGGCTGTTAGCACGCCCTGGCCCGGCGCGGGGACGGAGCGGCCGATGCGGTCGCCGGACATTTGCGTGTGGGCGACGATGGCGTGGATGGGGGCGCCGATCTGTGTTTGGGGAGGAGGAGGTGTTAGCGGTGGGGGGATTTCCTTGGGGGGAATCGGTTGTGACTACTTACTTTCAGCGCCAGTTCGGCCGTCATCAGAATCTGCACACCGCAGCCGGCGGACTCGACGAATCCAGCGCGTGAGCTGGCCATCGGGCGTGACATCTCTCGCGGCAGGCGGCCGTGGGCCATCTCAGACACGGAGCTGGCGGTGGCCTTCATGTTGCCGAACTCGTACGACAGTTCCTCCTGGAAGTCGTCGGAGCCGCCGACCACGGCCATCTTCGCCGCTCCCGTGCGCAGGGCTTCACAGGCGATGTCGAGAGACTCGAGGGCAGTGGCACAGGTGCCCGAGGGCGAGCGGATGGGGCCGGCCGACGAGAGCAGCAGCATGTTCGCCCACGCGTCCATGGCGTTGCTGAACGACTCCTGCAGCACGTCGTTCTTGGCCTCTTTGTCGAGGTAGCGGTCGCAGTAGACGGCGCGTAGAGCAAGCAGGCTGCCGCAGCCGGTGCCGATGCAGTTGGCCAGCTCCGAGACGTGGATGTGCTGCCAGATCTCGAATGGGTCGTTGAAGCCCGCGTGCACCAGCGCCTCGTTGACGCAGCACAGCGTGTAGATGGTGATGGGGTCGACCTGTGAGATGATGTCGTCCGGCACCCCGTAGCGCTTGGGGTCCCAGCCGCGCGGCAGCTGGCCCGCCACCTGTCGGTCGAAGCTGACGGCCTTGGGCACCAGGAAGTGCGCCCCCTTCTTGACCTGCACCGTGTACGAGTCGGCGTCGGCAGGCCGGATGTCGACAGCGTCGCCGTGGCGCTTCTTGAATGCCTGCGCGGTGGCCTTGTCGGCGCCGAAGGCGGGCAGGTCCTGCTCGACGACGACTTCGTGCAGCAGTTCCTTGGAGGTGGGGTCGTAGCCGGAGAGGCCTTCGGGCTCGATGATGCGGATGCCGGCGTGCTTGTCGATGTGCTCGCCGTAGCGCTTCTCGAAGTCGATGTCGCGGACCGGCTCTCCTGTTGCTGCGTCGAGCCAGCCCACATACGGCTTGCCCTTGACTTCGCCGTCACAGAAACGTACCTGTTTCACCATCATTAGCTTCAATCAACTGGAGAGAGAGATTAAAACTTACCAGACCCATGAGCCAGGCCATCTCAACATAGCCTGCCCACGATAGCTTGCCATCTTGCTCCATGTCCCACCTGGTACGCGCGCTTCCCCACGGGCCCAGTTCCGAGTAGCCAACAACCACGACGGTGCGGCTGAGGTCAATCATGTTCTGCAGACGAGGTGCTCCAGCCAGCACCTCCTCGTAGGGGGCAAGACTGGGATAGCCGAACTGCACCGTGGCGTGGGGATCAGACACTGTCGTCTCTTCCTTCGGTGCAGCAACAGCGCCGTGGAGAGCCTGCTCCTGCAGCTTGCGTTCGGCAACGAGCGCCTTACACAGGCGACTCACATCCAGAATGCGCTTCCTCGCGCCGACGATAGCCTGCTTCAGGTCGGGCACGAACTGCAAGCCGCCGTTGAGGTCCGCGTAGACGGGCGCGTGCTCGCACAGGCCGCGGACGGCAGGGCTCAGCAAGGCCAGGATGTTGAAGGCCATCTCGGGCGTGTTGAAGGTGATGCATCCGTGCTCCTCGATGGCCGCGGCGACCATGTTGTTCCCGCTCATCAGGCCGGTGCCGCGGGTCCAGCCGATGACGGCGCCACACACGGCGAGGTAGTCGCCCCAGTTCTCGCTGTGGAAGCGGTTGAATAGCGTCTCGAGGCCGAGCTTGGACTCGGCGTACAGGCCGTCGCCGCCGAAGGTGCCGTGGTTGGGCGAGAGCGGCAGCACCACCGTCGTCGGGTGCGTGTCGAGGCCGCGCGCTTCCTTCTGCTGCTTGATGGCGCCGAGCATGCGCAGCACGTTGATCAGCATGATGCGGTGGGCCAGCTCCGACTTGCCGTCGATGCGGTCGATCTCCTGGCCCGTCTCGCTGATGGCGGCGAAGGGGACTACGAAGTCCAGATCGCCGCCGTAGCTGGCCTCGTTGTAGACGTGTGAGACGAGCGCCGCCACGTCCGTTGCGCTGCCCTGGTTGAATGGCAGCACCACCAGGTCTGACCCGGCTGCTCCGTGCTCGCGGTACATGGTGCTGTAGAACTCGGCCACGGCGGAGGCGGCACGGGATGTTGTGACGATGACACGGGCGCCGCCGGCGATCAGACCGCGCACCACTTCAGCGCCAATGGATCCAGGCCCGGCACCAGTGACCAAGGCAGTCTTCCCTGCAAAGCTTAGCCCAGTTGTAGTTCCCTGGACAAGAGCTTCCAGCAGCTTTGCCGTGGTTGTGCTGTCGTAGGTCCACGCGCCGGCTTCGTTCTTGCACAGGTGCACGTACGGGACGCGCTGTCCTGACGAAGGATCCTGCACTCCGTGGGCAACGAGTTCCGGATAGGTCTTGCACTCAGTCTCCCTTGGCACCTCTTCGTAGTGGATGATACCCTCATCATCGACTGTCGACCGCGGCGCCACGGGCTTCGCCGTGTACCTGAAAACCGGCGCACCCTCCTTCCTCTCCTTCGCCGCATCAAGCAGCTCCTGCGCCACCGTCGCGCTCACATCATCTGGCGCCAGCTGCTCGACCTTGGCGAAGAACTGGGCGATGAGCTGGCACGTGCTGTCCCAGCGATTAAGCAGATGCATCTTCTGCGCCTCCGTCACGCCCTCACCTCCCCGCAGCACGCGCACCAAGTCCTCCCGCGCCCAGTTCCACGCCGACCGGTACCGCCGCTCCTTCGCGGCATCAAACGCCGGCTGGATGCCGTTCCAGAACTCCTGGTCAAACTCCTCGCCCCACCGCTGCAGCCTCGCCGCCAGCGCCTCGCGCACCTCTTCCAGCTCGTCCAGCTGCGCCCGGCTCGCCGCTTCCCCACCAGCCATGCCGAGCTGCGAGGACAGCAGCTCGTACTGCCTCCTCAAATAATCCTCCTGCTTCGCCGTGATGGCGCCCAGTGTCGCGGCATCGATCAGCGCCGCGTGCTGCTCCGCCGCTCCCCCTCCCCCTTGCTGTCCGCCAGGCGTCAGCGCGACGCGAGCATACGCCCCGTACCGCCTTACCACGTCGTCCACGAACGCCTTCGCCGCCTCGACGCTGGCCAGCCGCGCCGCCGGCTCGACGCTGACCGCGAAGCCCAGCACCGCCAGCTGCCGCTGCGGGCCCAGGCCCCAGTACGCCTCCAAGTGCCCCTTCAGCGCGGCTGCGCTGTTGAACCCGGCCGGCATCTTGGCCGACAGCAGGCGCGCGACCAGCGCCGCCAGCTGCTTGCCATGGGAACCAGCAAACGCGCCTTCGACAGCGGCGGCGATGGCGGAAGCCGACAGGTCCTCGGCGCCGTCGGGGAGGGAGCCGTCGAATTCGGCGCCGAGCACGCCGATGAGTTCGTTTTGGAGGGTCGATTTGCCGGCGCAGAGGTCGCGGATGGACTTGTCCAGGGGCAGCTCGTCGAAGGCCTTTTTGAGCTTTTGCGCGCTGAGCGCGACGACGACGTCGAGGGCGGTGAGGGGCGTGTCGTCGACCATGGCGGCGGGTGCGGATGGTGCTGCTACTGCCGCTGGGGCTGGGGCGGGAGTGGCTGCTGCTGCGGGTGCGGAGGCTGGGGTGGAGGCAGGGGCGGCCGCGGCCGGCGCTGCTTGTGTTGCGGCTGGCTCTGGTGTGGCCGATCCCTCGTACTTGTAGTAGATTGAGGAGGTGTCGTCGGCTGAGGACAGGAATGAGCGGTTCGTTGAGCTCAGTGCGTCTTTTGCTGAGAGTTTCTTCTTCCATGTCTTCTGAGCCATGGTTGAGAGCACTTTGGATGGCCCGACTTCGACTATCCGCCGTACGTTGGCCTCTTTGAGAAGCTCATCCTGTGTTTCAATCCTGGCGGTTGATCAGTTGGTTTTTCTGTATCGAAAACAGGAATTCTTTAACGTACCATCTCACTGGAAAGGCAAACTGGTACCTGTGAAACAGTTAGTCCTTATCGATTTACACTTCATTTCATACTTACGCGAGAAGCTCGACAAGCAATGTTCTTGCCAGCTCTCTATCCGTAGTGCCTGCGTTGCCTGCCATTTTGAACACGAAGTCTTGGTTGAATGAGTTGACCTTTTTAGTGTCAGCAGAGCTATCAGGTCATATTTCAGAGGCATTGGAAATACTTCGGTATGGTCTTTGACACCTAAAGGTTTAACGAAAGCTCGTTCCTTGAGGGTGCTGAAGTTGGAAGAAACGATGCAGGTCGGTATATATCGACAAGAAGGGACGAGGACCTAGTCAAAGACCAGACTACAGATTCCAACATCCAAACCGCATTCATACTCCCTTTTGTCAAATTGATTGTTTCACTGTGGACTTCTACTTTGGTGTGTTTCCGTTTGCCCGCTCGGTGTTCGGCCGCCGGCTGCCGCAACCCGCCGTCGGAGCCCGGCTCACCCACCCCGGCAGGCGGCCTGAGTCCGCAGCCGCAAGCTCGCCAGAGAGATTGGTCCATTTGAATATGAGATATCTCCCAGAGTCACGCTCGATCCATCCAACGGCACAAGCGAGCGGCTCCTCGATTCGTCAATCACAGAAAAAATGGCAACCGTCACCTTCACTGCTCCCGCCAACGGCCATGTGCCTGAGAATTCGCTCACCGTCACTGATAACAGGACCGGCCAGACCTTCTCATTTCCCATCAAGCACAATGCGGTCAATGCGTCCGAGTTCAAGAAGATCAAGGCCCCGGAGGATCCCGCCAATCTCGCAGACCAAAACGAACAGGGGTTGAGAATTTTCGATCCTGGCTTCGGCAACACCTGCGTCAGCGAGAGCAAGATAACTTTCATGTGAAAATCCCACCGCCCTATCTTCAATCCGTTTCGCTGACTTACATTTTCCTCAGCGATGGCCTGAAGGGCATGATCCAGTACCGCGGCTACGACATCAACGACCTCGTCGCCAGCAAGAAGGGCTTCGTCGACACAGCGAACCTGCTCTGGTTCGGCACGCTGCCCACCCCAGCAGAGAAGCAGGCGCTGCAAGACCGCCTCAACGCCGTCCCACTCCTCGACGACCATGTCTTCAACGTGATCCGTGCCATGCCGTATAACGCCCACTCCCCATACCCACACCCTAGCCCCTTCCACTAACATCCAAACACAGCCCCAACGGCTCGCCCTTCGGCATGATCATCGCCGGCCTCATGGCCGTGCAATCATCCGACATGTCCCTCATCCCCGCCCACGCCGCCAAAAACCTCTACCTCGGCAACGCGTCGCTCGTCGACTCGCAAGTCATCCGCGCCATGCAGAGCCTATCCCAAATCACCGCGGCGGCGTACTGCCACCAGACGGGCCGCGCCTTCACGCCGCCGCGCGCGGACCTCTCCTTCGTCGAGAACTTCCTGCTGATGATGGGCCACGTCGAGGCGGCCACAGGCCTGCCGAACCCGCGCTACGTCGGCTACTTCGAGCGCCTGTGGCTGCTCATCGCCGACCACGAGATGACGTGCTCGACGGCGGCCATGCTGCAGACGGCGTCGGCGCTGCCCGACGCGTTCTCGTGCCTGGCGTCGGCGGCCTCGGCGCTGTACGGCCCGCTGCACGGCGGCGCGATCGAGGTTGCGTATAAGAACATCCAGGAGATCGGGTCGGTGGAGAATATTCCGGCGAAGATGGCGCGCGTGAAGGCGGGCAAGGAGAGGTTGTATGGGTACGGGCATCGCGTGTATCGCGTGCCGGACCCAAGGTACAAGCATATTAAGGAGGTGCTGGAGGAGTTGACGGCCGAGATTGAGGGCGATCCGCTGCTGAAGGTCGCGTTTGAGGTGGATCGGATTGCGCGTGAGGATGAGTATTTTACGTCCAGGAAGCTGAATCCGAATGCGGATTTGTTCGCGGCGTTGGCGTACAATGCTATGTGAGTTGTTCTTGGTTTTATTGGGGTTCGGAGACTGATAATATACAGGGGCTTCGAGCCGGAGTGGATCCTTCCCATCTCATTGATGTCGAGAACGCAAGGTTTGTTGGCGCACTGGAAGGAAGCCATGTGTAAGTCGATCTTCCTGTCATAGATGGAACGGCAGACTGACTTCTTGACAAGCGGGTACGGCTCGTATCTGGCGCCCAGGCCAGATTTACACTGGAGATCTTAACAAGAAGATAGAATGAAGATGAACGGACTGGAATAGGGCGTGGGGAGCGCCGGGGTTGATAGAAACGAATATACTGTGCCAATGCAATTCTACAGCTGCCAATATGTCTTACAATCCTACACTATTTCAAGATCTTGATAAGGTCCAGTCTGAAAATCGATGTCGCCAACTACATAGCAGGCTCCTACTACTACGTAGTTCCCATCGACCTCTCGTAGTACAATGGGGAATCCACCTCCGCTTAGAATATATATCAGATCCCCTGCCTGAGCGCTTGCTGGCACTAGGCCCGCAATTTTCTCATCCACAAACAGTCGGCGGCCCTTGCAGCATTCTGTGATTCGTTTGGCACTTGTAGAATTCAATTGCTCGATGCGTTCTTGTAGGCTCAGATCTGTCAAAACCTTCCCCTTTTCCAGACGGTTTAAGGTTTGGTCCATTATTTCTCTGAATAAGTCGTATGGTCCCCAATGTGGACCGTTTCGACCATTGTTTGGAGAGATAGGTTGCGTCATTCGCTTGACCGATGGGAACATACTGGGGAATTCGAGAGAAAACCGCATCCGTATGAGCGAGGTGATGGCTTGGCGCATCCGTTTTCCAACGTCTATGACCTTTTTCGCGACTCGCCTTTTTTTTCGTACCCTCGGCAAAGGAAGGGTAACATCTGAGAGAGGGGTGTTTTCGTTGTATTCAGGACGCGGCGCGTTGATGAGCCCAATGGTTGAAGAGTCTGAATGGTTCAGGAAATTCAAATGGTCAGGGGAGTCCAGAGGTATAAGGGGTTTCGAGATTCCAAGAGAGTCCAAGAAATCTGGTTTGCTGACCCCTTCCCCGAATTCTCTGAGCATTTGCACAGCGAGAGGAACGGGAGGTAAATGAGGCATACCATCAGAAGGTTGATTTCCATAAAAGTCCCACTGATGAATCTCATAGATGAGTTCATCCTTGAGGTCGGTAATAATTGAAGGATACGAGACAGTTTGAAATCTCATTTCAAATAGCTCCATACAAGCCTCAGAGAATTTCGAAGAACATCCCAGTAGTATTTCAAGGGCCGTATGACGTTCGAACTGGGAATCGTTGAGACGATTCAGAAATTCGTCAATGCACAACAGTTCTGAATTGTGCGAATGGAATGCCATCTTCGTCGCGGATTGAAAATCTTTTCCGGTTTCCATAATTCTCTGTAACGTGTGTGCGGCTGACAGGGTAAGGCACCTGAATCCTGTTTTGAGACTTTCCAACCAATCGTATTTGTTTAGTTCCGACATGTATAGGACGGGGTCTAAGCTCGCGATATCGGCATAAGGATGGTATTTAGCGAAAATCTTCCCCCAGTCGACTATGCAAGCTTTGTTCCAGCCACTGTTGTCTGGTTGAAAGACCTGCCCAAGATCATTTATGGCCCCAACGGATTTGCCGGCTATTCTCAAGGTTGAGCCATGAGCGATTGAGTAGTTCTCAAGAGCCGAACTGGTATATCGATCGATGAGTTCCGTGATCGGCGTGCATGTTGGTCGTCTGCTCCAGTCTGGAACCCACGAAGACAGTTTGGACATGTTTCGATGGCCGTGATCGACCATTGCAAGAAGTTTCAATCCTATCTGGTTTAGGAAATGTTTAGCTGCTTTGGTGTAAACTTCCTCGACTGTGGCCGTATAATCCGGCTCTATTCCGCGGCATGAATCTTCCGAGCTCATAGAAAGAAGAGCGAAAATCCGGTCTCGAGGGTCCGTGCAGTGATGAAATCTAGTGTTCACCATCAAGTCCAACAGATTCAAGGGTTGTAACGTATTTCGGTCGCGATCCCGCATGTGTAAAGTGTAAGGGATTTCGTTTCTGACAAAGCTTTTCGAGCCCCATTTGACAAGAAGGCGAAAACACGGATCCCATGGAATGACGTGATCGCCGCAAATGACAGCCACTGAGCATGCTTTGTTCACCTCTTGCAGCACCCAGATTCGCTCGAACCAGGAGCGCTGCATCAGTTTCCGTAGAGGAATCATCATGTCCGGGTGGCTCGGCTGGAACCACTTGTAAAAGCGTAGGATTTCCATGGCCTCGTCTCCGTGATCTTCGGCTTCCCCTAGATAGACAAGAACCTTTGCCGCGGCTTTGTAGATCGCGGGCATGTTTTTGACTTGATGACCGCGTTCGAGGTCGTTTTCTTGGTCAATGCACACAGCGTCAATCCAGACAACCAGCGAACCGAGTCTCTGTAGGCGTTTGATGGCAGTAAAGCAATTCCTTGTTACCGCAAGCGCTTCACTTTCTCCACAACCAATCTTGCAGGGCTTCTCCTCACTACCCCACACGTAAGAGAGAGCCTCGAACGGCGGGCAATCAGGTATTCGATGGTGGGAAAGTATGCATTGAGGGTCGGACTCCCAGGATCCAGGTTTGATACGCAGTAGGCGTATTTCGTCCACGTGTTGTAGAGGTTTGTGTCCATATTGTGCGACGGATGTCTCGGATCCCGTGCTCGGTTGGCCGTCAAGGTTGACCTGCACGGCGTCTGGCAGCGCGAGCGACATCGTGGGTTGATGGGTCATTGCATCCTTGAACCTGGTGGTGATGACCAACCAGACCGAACGCGTCAGTGGGATTTAAAATCGTCAGCTTCGGCCGTATCTACGTTGCAGGGAAAACGATTTTGGATGTGGCTGCAGGGGGGCTGTGTCCAAAGCTCGCCTTGATACGTGGAAATAATGTTAAGGCTTCGAGAGAGCTGTAATTCGTTGGAGTTGAAAACAAAAAGGCGAGTCCTTGTTGCACCATTCAATTTTTATGTAGTACTGAGAACCCATTCAAGCTTGAGAGGAATACCAGAATGCACTCAGAGGTTTCCCGAGCAGCCTTTAATGCGGCGAACATCACTAAGACAAGACTAACAGGTTACAGTAGGTAGGTTGAATCAGGCTGTGTAAGGATGTGGCAGAGTCGAGCATGTGAGACTTGTGTGCCTATTATAAACGGACACGTGGCAGGAGCTCTCCACGCGTCGTAGCGATGTCGGCTGGAGGGAGATGGGTGCGGGGCAGGAACGGCCCACCAGTCGCAACACGCGATGTCCATTTGACAGTCTCGGCCTCGGCCAACTTCTCACATACGCTAATGACTCAGTCCAAAAGATAAGAAAAAAAAGTTGAAAGGAAGCCGGGATGAGCTGTGTGACCGCTGATGTCGCAGGAATTCGCATCGTTGAATGCCCGGACCATCCCCAGCAGCCGTGAATATTAAGTCTTGTTCCCGACCTTTACGAGTGATGCTTCCTCCAATGGCTTACCTCCTGCCTGGTAGACTGCTACACGACGTATCCTGTCGCATGAGTGCCTGCGGAGAGGCCTACCAAACCGCCCACCTCTTCTCTCAACATGGGGAGTCTTGGTTCCGTTCAAACGCTATGGGCGTCCTATACGCTGCCCAGAGATACAGCCTTAACGGAAAAAATTAACGACCCCCGGAACGCCCCGCTTCTGCTTCCTGATCTTCACATTGCTTTCGGCCAGCTCAGGTTTGTCTTCGTTTCGAAGCCTTCCCCCGACAAGCCATGTGTCCCTTTGTTATGCATATTGTCAATGGCTTAGCATACATGCTTCGCCAACTCTACCACAACGTCACACTACAGACTCCGCTAAACAATACCCCCGAGTGTCCCTTCGCCCGCTTTTCCTGGTCCATTTTCCCTAAATTGGAAGAATTCCTTAGCCGTCTAGGAAGTCGAAGGTAGTTGAAGCTATTGTCCATACGTGGATGTGAAACTAAGACTTATACGTTCACATCTAGACGACGAGTTCTCCTACCCCGACCTTGCTTCCCTTCTATTTAGGCTTTCCTTTTCCGGGAGAAGGTGAGTGGATTGACTGGGTTACGTCTTAGGGGGCGTGTTTCGGCGCACATGGAAAGGGCGTGGAGGCTATTACTCTTGGATGAAACCTGGTCATAACGAATTCTAACAATCAATAGTGCTGAAAAAATCTCGTCGGCCATGCTTTGCCAATCGACCCAACTGCTTATCGATTAGATTTAGCTTAGCTCGTTCAGCAGATCATTATCATCATTCTTTCACAATCTAACGGCAATGCTGCCCTTATCTTGTAGGCGAGTTTTCCTCTGCTCTGAGGCCGTAGCGCGTCTGCATTAGGCAAGCAGGTCTGGGATTCCTAGCTTCTTTCTTTCCCATGATGCTCTTCACATCGAGCAGCCAAGAACTGATTAATCCGCTTATACAAGCCTTGCGCAAAGGCCGTGGCAAGTCGATCATAAGCTTCCGGAATGCACTCGGCGGGAATGATCCCGTGATGGCCGAGGATGGTGCAGGCACGCATCTCAAAAAGGCAAATCAACCGCGTATAAGGCGCCCTTCCTATCTCTCTGCTTCGAGGGGAGGCTTTCAAGGAAACACGGCATCACTGGTTCATAAACGCGAAGTAAGCGCTGGAATTGACACACAATTCGCATCTTCTCTAATTTCGCTGCGTCGTGGGCAGGAATCGTAGCAGGCTAGAGCGAGGGAATAAATTTGCAGCTGAACATTAATATTCAACGGTTTTGTCACTAATTTTCTTTCCATTAGATACATAAAATAATATTTAGCCGAGTAAGCCAGATACCATCGATGAATTCGCCAAAATAAAAAGGCTGAACACTGCGTGGCAAAGGTTTGGGCTCCTAACAGCTTACCAAATTCCGACGGTAACACAGAAAAGGACGCCTCCGCCACGAAGTATGGGGTAAGGCGTAAATGGCGAGGCTCCTCAGCCTTGTTTGTGTGATGGATGCTCAGCCTCGCTCCGTGACTGACTCGGTGTAGGCTTAGAGCTTCAGGAATATGACTCAGAGAAGCATAAATACTTGCGTCTGCCTGATTTTTCTCCCTTGGATCTTCTTGGTGGCACCGATCTTCAACACTGCGTGATGAATGGAAAGCTGTCTCAGCTTTGGCGCAGGCGGGCTGAGGGGAATGTTCATTCACGGTTGAGCGCCACGATTGCTTCTATTGAAGGCGCTGGTCTCACTCAGAACTCTCCACAGTCCCCGGAATCGAACACGTCTCCTGCAAAATCATACACTATCGACCGACCCTCTTTCTGTCAACGATGCAACGAATATAAATATCCAATGCGCGTCCTTGATGTCATTGAAGGACGAACAGAAAGCGTTTTGCTATCCTGGCTGGCTTTCGACCCAGACATGGACCTTTCTTGCCCATTTTGCAAGATTCTCGAGTGTGCTCGTCGCGACTTCAAAGAATACCCGCGATATGACGGCGCCTACTTCTACCTCTCAACAGATTCCGGCCTATTCGCTACGAAGGATGATCGCTTGCGGGTCCTCAGGATCTCGATGGATTTTAGAATAAGCGTTCGCGAACCGCCAGAGTCCTCCGCATTGTTCGCGTCTGCATTCCAGGAGGCCAAGGAGCGAAGTCACATCGATCTTTCTGTATTCCAGAGGCATATCCAAACATGCTTGACTACGCACGAAACATGCAACCTACCTAATCCTAAACATAAAAGAGTGGTGGGGCTCAAGGTCATCGACTGCCAGAGCGGAGATGTCGTTTCAGCTTCCGATGATTGCCAATACGCCGCCCTCAGCTATGTTTGGGGCACCCAGGCCACGGGCGATCTCCGCGACCCACCAAAGACGATATCAGATGCCATGGCTGCAACATTAGTGCTGGGCCTTCGATTCCTATGGGTCGACAGATATTGCATCAGCCAAGACAGTCAAGAGGAGAAACACGCTCAGATTCAGCAAATGGGATTGATCTACGTCCAAGCTCAGGTGACTCTTGTCGCTGCCGCCGGAAAGGATCCAAGCCACGGACTCCCAGGTATCACAGCCAGAAACTCAAAGAGAGATTTTGTCGCGCGCATCGGACGATTCGACTTCAACATGATGCATAAAGCTCCACACGAGCTTTTACTAAATGCAGTCTGGAATACACGTGGTTGGACCTACCAGGAATTCATTCTTTCTAGACGCATATTGTTCTTTACCGAAGAGCTCGCATTTCTCGAGTGCCAGACATCTATGATCGAAGAGTGGCCCGCTTCGACATGGAAGTATTCTTATGTTTTGTTTCCACCTCCGGATATGAAGGACAACTCGGACCGTCTGCTATCTTTGAACGAGGATCTCATGAGCATCCGGTCGGCATACACTGCTATTCAGCGTTATTCAAAGAGGAAGCTCACGTATCACTCAGATGCCTTGAATGGCATCTTGGGAATTTTGGCAAGATTTGAACATGCCTCACCTCCAGTATACCATCTATGGGGTCTTCCATACGAATTAGAGGGAAGAAGATCGCGACTCCCACTCGATTGGTGGCGCGCCATTGATGATGATAAGTATCGCCATTGTGCAAAAGCTATTGTTTCCCGGCGCGAAAATCTGCCCTCCTGGTCATGGACGGGATGGGAAGGAGTTCCTTCCTTCGATGGTCTTGAATATCCTCATCTTGCGGAGCCGGATGATGGCCGGATGAATTTTTCTATGGACATCGAAGCACGCCTGGAAACAAGCGAACAGCCTTTGACGTTGGAAGGGTTCGTGGCCCTTATGAAGGTGACCTCATTTGGAGCCCGACAACGTGTGTCACAGTGTCTTCATATTAATGGTTGGACGCACCCTTTGGAGATTGACAAGGAATATAACCCGCTCGAAAGCGACTTTTATGGTCCTCGTATTCGGCTCTTGGGCACTGATTATGACTTCACGGCCACGAAAAACGCTGCGTTCTCGGCAGGAGACATACAGAAAGGCATAGTGGAAAGACGCAATCTCAAAGCACTCTTCATACATACAACGAGAATTCTGGTGATTGGAGACACTCCGATTGGGACAGAACGGCTTGGAATAGCAGACATATGTATTGGCTTTCCAAGGGAGTTACGATACAGTGGCGCTGCTGTAGACTTCATACAACAGCTGCCACTCGCGAAGATGGAGCGCATTCGACTTTACTGAGAGCTATTCAAGCCTTTAGCTGCAAGGCCAGGTACAGCCTGGGTGTATTATTAGACGAATCAATACCATCAATGACAATAGAATGAACTCCTTAAAGCTACAAGCTCGAGTCGACGGTTTTTTTCTGGATATAATCGACCATGAAGTTGATATAAATGTGTAAGAGACGTTCTCGAAAACAGCATTCAAAGCCCCATAGATTGACGTCACCTGCCTTCTTGTAGAAGTCTATGAGAGAGCAGGAGATAGCCGTAGGCAGTGGTCATTAGGGTACAGACATGATATTTGAAGTATTTCAGGGAGACTGGTTTACTCTTGTCCAAGTGCTCTCTTAGCAGCATTCAAGCTCGAAGGGATATCCCAATTGAGCATGATCTTCACATTTTTAGGATGATGCCTCACCCGCTCGATAAGTTCTTCCAACAACACAGCGACCTTGGGACTTGGATGGCCACGCATGCCATATCCAAGGATGACGGCCTTGCAGTCCTCGCATTTGTCCAGAGCGTCAATCACGGGTTGGGTGCCCAGCTTGAGCGAGCAGAGAACCACTTGACATAGCCAAAAGAAAGTCAGTCGAGATGGTTCAATTCTTTTTCCTCCTTGTAGAAGATCAACGTACAGTCGAAGTCGAATCCTGCATCTACCATGGATTGCTTCATCTTCTCTATCTCGGTGCGGGTGTACTCGGGATCCATGTTGAAGACTTTCTTGATCTCGTAGTCGGTCTGGTTCATGTCGTCGGCAGGCAGGGCCGCGATGATAAAATATGGATTAGGAGACATGGTGATTAAAAGAAAGCAGAAATGTTGTTTCTTTGTCGCCTCTTGAGATGTTGCTGATCTGTGTGGACTCTTTTAGGACTGAGTGCAGGTATGAAGAGAATATTAAATATACAACCATTAAGAGAGCCGAGCTCCGATTCGGAAGCTACGAAATGCGAACTCCGAAAATGCTTATGAATCAAGTTGTTGAAAAGAGTTCCGCCATTCCCGCGGGTTTGGAGCAGAGGCTTCACATATCATCCGAATCGAACCGAGAGATACCGAGACCTCTCCCTTCATACTGGCAGATTGATATTGTGCTGAGATACTCTGTGCTGAGGATTAATCGGGAGTGAAGAAGTGTGGAATTGGTAAGTTGCTTAATTATACTCACATGCAGGATACCAGTCGAATATATAAACGGAGTGATGCTGGAGTCACGTGACATGACTTCCGTACCCTGACGCTCAATATCAGAACTTTCGAAATCCAAGTTGCCCGGTCATACGCTTTAGCCCTCCTGAGAAACATCAACGCAATCGAGGGCCACGGAAGGTGACCATTAGTATTGCAACCCAGGAAGACGGACAAAGCGATGCGGCAGGATTAAAGGTGGTGACCGGATCTCGCGCCGACCCTCCCGTTCATTCTCCGCTACTCCTGGAACAGCCTAGCGCCTCCGGAAGAAAGGTGGCCCGGTCGCTTCCCGAGCGCCCACCTTCGCGCCGACCGCGATGTTCCACCATCAATCTCCAGGCCATCAATCGTTAACCATCTTCGCTGTTGGGTGCGGATGATAATTTCCATCGCTACTGTTCTGAAATTCGTCTCGGTCCCGAACTAGAACCGTAATGACCATCACCAGAGTTCGGCGGAGTTTCTGTCGCGACGCGTCGTGCATGTACCGGCCTCGGTCTTATTCGAACACGCAACAATGTAGCCTCACAGAAGAATGCTAAATGACTCTGGAACTGCAAAGTGGTCTTTTTTCTATTTTCTAACGATACTGATGAAATAATGCAGCGTAACAACTAAACAACAAACATGTCTAGGAAATCGTTAACCGGCGTAGCAAGGAACTTCTCATCATCCTCAGCCAGCTTCAGCACGGCATCCACCTTCTCGGGCGCCAACTTCAACCCAAGATTCCTCCTAGCCTTCTCATACACCAGCGGCACCGACTCCGGGCGACGGAAGTGGCCAAGCGGAAACTCGACCACAACATCATCCAGCGCCGTCCCATCCTTCATCGTGACCTGCACCGCATTCGTCAAGCTCCTAATCTCGGTGTTGTGGTAGTCCCTGGTAAACTGCTCATCCTCAACCATCGTCGTCTTGGCCCTCAGCTCCTCAACCCTTGGATCCTTCGCCCACGGCGACGCATCCTGGTAGTCCTCCGTCTCGATCTGCGCGCCCTTCAGCAACACGACCGCAACCATGTACTTGAGACAGTGATCGCGATCAGCCGGATTATGCAGCGGGCCGCTCTTATTAATAATAATCATGCCCGCCTCCTGCGTGCGCACCCTTACAGCACCAATATCCTCGGCCCGCAGCCCCTTCGCCCGCATCTCCTCCGCAATCCGCAGCGCCGCCTCGACCGCCGTCATGCCGTGGCCCTCGGCCGTGTTGACCTTGAACAGCACCGTCTCGACCACCCAGCTGCGGAACGGCTGGAAGAAGTCGAACTCGCGCCCGCCGAACAGCACGTCGTAGAAGCCCCAGCGCGGCGCGCTCAGCGCCGTTTTGAGGCCTGGCTGCCCCGCGCGCGCCAAAAGCGCCAGGTGCACGGCGCGCATGCACGCGTCGCCGGCGGCCCAGCCCTTGCGCGGGCCGGTGTTGGGGGCTTGCCGGTAGGCGCGCAGCGGGTGGCCGTCGACCCAGGCGTGCGAGACGGCGGCGAGGGCTTGGTCGCGGGGGAGGTTGAGGAGCTTGCAGACGACGGCGGTCGAGGCGACTTTGACGAGGATAACGTGGTCCAGGCCGACTTTGTTGAAGGCGTTGCGGATTTGGAAGACGCCTTGGATTTCGTAGGCTTTGATGAGGGCGGTGAGGATGTCGCGCATGGTGATGGGGAGGCCTTCGGCGCGCGCGAAGATGGAGGAGGCGCTGAGGATGGCGCCGAGGTTGTCTGTGGTGGTTGTCAGTCATGCAGCCAATTGGGGGGAAGGGAGAAAGAAGAAGGAGGTAGATGTACCGGACGGATGCCCCCACTCGGCCCCCGGAAACGCGTCGTTGTGGTCGAGGTAGCGGATCGACGCGCCCATGTCGAACGCGCCCTTGTAGACGTCAAGCTGGAACGAGGTGCCGGGCAGCTTGAAGCCGCCGGGGATCTGCGCGGGGCTGCCGACGTGCGGGCCGACCAGCCGGACGAGTTCGGCACTGGTCGCCAACCCTTCGCAGGCGCAGCCCAGGGCGTCGATCAGCGTGGCTTTGGCGCGGGCCCAGGCCTCGGGGCGATCGGGCACGAAGTCGTAGGCGTAGTCGACGATGGAGGCGATGACGGCGTCGTACGGCTTGGCCGAGTTGTCGTCGCCGGAGGGAGCCATGGCGGGGAGGGATGGTGGTGGCAATGACGGGGGAAAATGTGAGAGTGGTAGGTGATGTGTTGCTCACTGCTGCAGCATGATTGAGGCTTGTTTAACAAAAGTTCGAATGGTCGGCACGGCGAGTGTGGTTGGCGGGCGGCGGCTACGCATTCGGGACTCGGCGGCCGAGCGCGGCGGAAGTCGTGGGCGAGCTCGGCAGCACTCCTCCGCCTCCACGGCTTTGCATCGCCGTCGTCCTGGATAAGGTATGTGTACTGGTAGCAAAATACTGATAATGTCTAGTGCCTGCATGAGTCTGGATCTCGGCTGTGCCACAACAGACTCCTCAGACAACACCATGGCGGCTACCACGACTTCCCCCCTGCATCTCACCTCCGGGACCATCAAGTGCGCCCTCGAAGTCGACTCGACGCAGCTGGCCTCCCTGATCGGCCATCGCGATGCCTTCCAGGCCAGTCTGCCCAGTGACGACACGCCGCCCTCATCACCAGGCGAGCTGGCATTACGCTTCGTTGCGTATTTGGAGTCGTCCTCAGTACCTCCCTCGGTTCTCACTGCCGCCTTGAGCGCCTTCGAAGACCAATTCCTCTCCACCACCGACATCCACACCCTCGCCCTCTCATCACCAAGCGGCGTGCAGGCAGGGCGCGACCTGCTGCGCAGCTACTACGACGCTCTCTCCCGCTGCTCCAAGCAACCCACCCAAACTCCCAGCGCGCTCGTTTCCGCCGCCGCCACCGGCTCCAAGCAACTGCACCTCATCTTCGGCGGCCAAGGCGCCGCGAACCCCGCCTGCTTCACCGAGCTGCGCAGCCTCATCTCGACCTACTCCCCCCTCCTCACCCCGCTCCTCACCGTCGCCTCTGCGGAACTCTCCACCCTCTCCCGCGACCCCTCGACGCACGGCTTCTACGCGGGCCGCGAAATCGACCTCGCCACCTGGCTCGCCGACGAGTCCGCCGTCCCGGACTCCTCCTTCCTCGCCAGCGCGGCCGTCAGCTTCCCGCTCATCGGCCTCGTCGGGCTGGCGCACTACGCCGTCACCTGCCGAACGCTCGGCAAGACCCCCGGCGAGCTGCGCAGCCTCCTGCGCGGCGGCGTAACGGGCCACTCACAGGGCTTGGTCGTCGCCGCGGCCGTCGCGCAGTGCGGGACGTGGGACGAGTTCTTCGCGGCGGCGCGCGACGCGGTGCGGCTGCTGTTCTGGCTCGGCTTCGAGAGCCACGCGGCGGCGCCGCGGTCGGCGCTGGCGGCAGCGGATGTGCAGGACTGCGTGGATGCCGGCGAGGGCAGGCCGGGCATGATGCTGAGCGTGCGCGGGCTGAGGCGGAAGGAGGTGGAGGAGCTGGTGGCAAGGTGCAATAGGGACTTGCCCGGGGATGGGCAGGTGTACGTCGCGCTGCGGAATACGACGGAGAATTTTACGCTGTCGGGCCCGGCGCGGTCGCTGAGAGGCGTGTGTTTGCACGTCAGGACGATCGCGGCGGAGGAGGGCGTCGACCAGGCGCGCGTGCCGTTCCGGAAGCGCAAGAAGGTTGTCAGAGCGTCCTTTCTACCCATCAGCGCGCCGTTTCACAGCCCGTACTTGGCCGACGCCGCGGCCAAGGTTAAAGAAAGGATGAAGGCGGCTGGCTGCGGCCTTTCGACGGCCAGCATGGCGCTGCCGGTGCACCACAGCAAGGACGGCCGCGACCTGCGAACAGTGACGGACCGCTCCGCCACCGACACGCTCATCGACGCCATCGCCCTGGAGCCCGTCGACTGGCCAGCGGCGCTGCAACTGCCCGGCGCCACGCACGTCGTCATGCTGGCCAGCGGGCGGCTCGGCGACGTCGTGGACATGGTCAAGCAGGGGCAGGGCGTCATCGTCGTCAACGCCGCCACGCTCGCCGCGCCGGACGCCACCCAAACAACCAAAGTCGACCTCTTCGCCGCGCAGCTGCCGGCGCACAAGCTGCACGCCACATCGTGGAGCGAGCAGTTCCGGCCGCGGCTGGTCCGCGACGCGACGACGGGCGCCGTCCAGCTCGACACGCGCCTCAGCCGCGTCCTCGGCGCGCCGCCCGTCTTCACGGCGGGCATGACGCCAACAACAGTGCACTGGGACTTCGTCGCGGCCGTCATGAACGCGGGCTACCACATCGAAATGGCAGGCGGCGGCTACTTCGAGCCGTCCAGCATGGCCTCTGCCATCGAGCAGGCCGCCGCCTCCGTCCCCGGCGGGCGCGGCATCACCGTCAACCTGATCTACGCCTCGCCCGAAGCCATGCGCTGGCAGATCACGCTCCTCGCCGACCTGCAGCGCCGCGGCGTCCCCGTCGACGGTCTGACTATCGGCGCTGGCGTGCCGTCGCCCGACATCGCGTCCGGCTACATCACGACCCTCGGCCTCAAGCACGTCGGCTTCAAGCCGGGCTCGGCCGCCGCGATCAGAGACGTGCTCGCCATCGCCGACGCGCACCCGCGGTTTCCCGTCGTGCTGCAGTGGACCGGCGGCCGCGGCGGCGGGCACCACTCGTACGAGGACTTCCACGAACCAATCTTAGACCTGTACGCTGAGATCCGCAAGCGCAGCAACGTCGTGCTGGTCGCGGGCAGCGGCTTCGGCGACGCGGAGGGCGCATTCCCGTATCTCAGCGGCGAGTGGGCGCGGCAAGCGCCGTACGAGAGGCAGGCCGCGATGCCGTTCGACGGCGTGCTGCTCGGCAGCCGCATGATGGTGGCGCGCGAGGCGCACACGTCGCCGCAGAGCCGCGAGTTGATCGTGGCTGCGCCTGGCCTGAAAGACGAGGCGGAGTGGGACAGGACGTACGAGAAGCCCGCGGGCGGCGTGCTGACGGTGCAGTCGGAGATGGGGCAGCCCATTCACAAGCTGGCCACGCGCGGCGTCAAGCTGTGGGCCGAGCTGGATAAGACCGTGTTCAGTCTCCCCCGTGCGCAGCGCGCGGCGGCGCTCGCGAGGATGCGGGATACGCTGATCCCGCGCTTGAATGCGGATTTCGCGAAGCCGTGGTTCGCGGTGGATGAGGCGGGCAGCGGACCGGCGGCCGAGGTCGCGGATATGACGTACGCAAGAGTGTTGGCGAGGTTGGTCGAGTTGACGTACCTGCCGCACCGGAAGGCTTTCATTGATCCGTCGTACGCGGTGCTGCTGAGGGATGTGGCGCAGCGTGCGCGGGACAGGCTGAATCCGGAGGCAAAGGCGGCAAAGCTGCCGGCGAGCAGCGATACCGAGGCGCTGGTGGCGGCGACGAGGGATGCCAGTGCTGTTGCTGCGTGGTGTCCTGGGGCGGAGACGCGGAAGCTGCATCCGGAGGACGCGCGGTGGTTCGTCCGCCGCTGCAAGTCGCGCACCATGAAGCCTGTCAACTTCATCCCGACCCTCGACGAGGACTTTGAGTACTTCTTCAAGAAGGACTCGCTGTGGCAGTCGGAGAACGTCGATGCTGTTCTTGGTCAGGATGCCGGCCGCGTGTGCATCTTGCAGAGTCCTGTGTCGGTGCGCTACTCGCAGCGTGGTGATGAGAGCGCCAAGGAGATCCTGGATGGCATCACTGGAGGCCTGGTTGAGATGGTGAAGAAGGCGTTCTATCCCAATGATGCTGACATTCCGCTGGCAGAGAAGCAAGAACAGACTGCCTCGTCCGCCACTGAAGAGGTGCTGCCGGGCGTACAGTTCACCACAGAGGCTGGCAAACAGATCTTCCAGCTGACCAGCGGCCAATCACCGGCCTCAGACGAATGGCTCAGCTTCATGGCAGAGCGCACCAGCGGCTGGATCCACCGCCTCTTCGCCGACGGCTACGTCGTCCAGGACCACGTCAGGACGGCCAACCCCTTCCACCGCATCTTGCAGCTGCGGCCCGGCGAGAAGCTGGCCCTGGACCAGCCCAACGAAGCCATCTCCATCACTTCTTCTACGACCGGCCGCCCGCTCTGCAGCGTCTCCCTCGTCTACGGCCCACGCGTGCGCGCCACCATGTGGGCGCCCTCCTCCGCCGGGGAAGACATTGACTACTCGCTCGAGTACGTCTACATGCCCGCCAGCAAGCACTGCAGCCTGTTCTCCGACTCGGAGGCGCACGACGCCACCGTGAAAGACTTCTACCGCCGCCTCTGGCTGCCGAACACCGATATCGCGGGCAAGACGGTGCATTCGACCTTCACGGGGCCCGAGCGCGTCGTCTCGGAGCAGGCAGTCCGCGACCTGGCCTACTGCGTGCACGCGGCGTTGCCCGACCTCGAGCTCAACATCCCCTCGTCAGGCGATGTCCCGCTCGACCTGTGCATCGTGCTGGCCTGGGAGCCGCTGGTGGCGCCGCTGATGCTGCCCGAAGTCCAGGGCGACATCCTGCGCCTGGTGCACCGGTCGAACAAGTTCGAGCACCTGTCTTCGGCCAGGCTCAAGGTTGGAGATGTTGTGACAGCATCTTCGACGGTGCAGGCCGTCGCCATCGAGAAATCGGGCAGATCCGTCGTCGTGCGCGCCGTGATTTCGCGCGATGGCATCCCGCTCGTCGCCGTCACGTCCGACTTCCTCTTCAAGGGCGCCTTCACCGACTTCGCCAGCACCTTCAAGCGCACCGCGCACCCGCCCTTCCAGCTGCGCCTGGCCACCGCCATCGACGAGGCCGTCCTGAAAGCGCAGCCGTGGCTGAAGCTGGACGACCCTGCCGCCACCACCACGCTCGCCAACCGCACCCTCACCTTCGACCTCGCATCTGAAACCACCTGGAAAGACCGCACCACCCTCGCCACCCTCTCCACCACCGGCGCCGTCTACCTCTCCGACTCGCCCACCACGCGCATCGGCACCGTCTCCTGCACCGCCCGCGACTGCCTCGGCGACCCCGTCCTCGACTACCTAACCCGCAAAGCCGCCGCCGCCGTCGGCGCCCCGGTTCCGCTCACTGAACCCGGCTGGATCGACGACGACAACGGCACCAAAGAGTTCCAGGTGCCGCCGTCCAACGCCCGCTACGCCCGCCTCTCCGCCGACACCAACCCCATCCACGTCGCGCCCGTCTTCGCCGCGTACGCCGGCTTGCCCGGCACCATCACGCACGGCATGTACACGTCGGCCGTCGTGCGGGCCGTGCTGCAGCATTTGGCGGTGGAAGAAGACGCTGCGGCGAGGTTCCACAGCTGGGAGGCAAGGTTCGTGGGCATGGTGTTGCCGGGTGATCGGTTGAGGGTCAAGTTTGCGCATACGGCGATGGCGGCGGGGAGGATGGTGGTGAGTGTTACGGCGAGCAATGCGGAGACGGGGGAGGCGGTGTTGGAGGGCGTGGCGGAGGTGGAGCAGGTGAGGACGGCGTATGTGTTTACGGGGCAGGGGAGTCAGGGGGTGGGGATGGGGATGGGGTTGTATGCTGAGAGCGAGGTGGCGAGGCGGGTGTGGGACGATGTGGATAAGGCGTTGAGGGAGACGTATGGTAAGTCTCTGTTCTTTCTCTTTGGTGGTGGTTAGGATCATGGTTAACTGACTGACACGCTACCCGCAGGCTGGTCCATCCTCGACATCGTCCGCACGAACCCCAAATTCCTCACCATCTCCTTCGGCGGGCCCAAGGGCCACCGCATCCGCGCCAACTACCTCGCCATGACCATCGAAAAAGTACTACCAGACGGCACCACCGTCACCGAACCCATGCTCAAAGACCTCACCCCGGACTCGTCCTCGTACACCTTCTACGAGCCCCGCGGCCTGCTCTTCTCGACCCAGTTCGCCCAGCCCGCCATCCTGCTGCAGGAGATGGCCACTTTCCTCGACATGCGCGCACGGGGGCTGGTTCAGGAGGGCGCGCCCTTCGCGGGGCACTCGTTGGGCGAGTATGGGGCGTTGGCCGCCATGGCGGATTTCCTGCCCGTCGAGACGCTGGTTAGAGTTATTTTTTACCGGGGCTTGACGATGCAGGTTGCGATGGAGAGGGATGAGTTTGGGCGGACCGAGTACGGGATGGCGGCGGCGAATCCGGGGAGGGTGGGGAGGTGTAAGTGCTCTTTGCTTCTCTTATCCTAATGGAGAAAAACTAACGCATGGATGCTACTACCAGGGTTCAACGAGGAAATGCTGAAAGAAGTCGTCGGCATGATCGCCGAGACGTCGGGCTCGCTGCTCGAGATCGTCAATCTCAACGTCGAAGGCGAGCAGTACGTCTGCGCTGGCAAGGTTAGTCTCCGTCCCCCCTCTCTCTCACCCCATCCACCAAACTAACACGAAACCCCTAGCTCGAGAACCTCCACGCCCTCAGCACCCTCCTCACCCACCTCTCCCGCACCAAAGACGCCTCCTCCCACCTCCTCTTCACCCCCTCCTCCCGCCCCGCCCTCCAATCCCTCATCGCCACCCACGTCGCCACCGCATCCACCCTCCCCCGCCCCATCGACCTCGAGCGCGGCGCCGCGACGATTCCGCTCAAGGGCATCGACGTGCCCTTCCACTCGTCGCACCTGCTGCACGGCGTCCAGCCCTACCGCATCTTCCTGCGGCGCAGCATCGCCGCCGAGGACGTCGACCCGGCGAAGCTGGTGGGCCGGTACGTGCCGAACGTGACGGCGAAGCCGTTTGGGTTGGATGAGGAGTATGTGGCGTTGGTGGGAAGGGTGACGGGGAGTCCGGTGCTGGGCAGGCTGGTGGGGAGGAGTGCGGAGGTCGTTGCTGCTTGAGATTCTGTGCTGTAGTAGATGGGCTTTTTGGCTGGGATTGGGCTGGGTGGTTTCGTTTATGTGTATATGTCTCTTTTTTTCTTTTAGAGTTCTGTATCTACGAATTTCAATGCAAACGCCTGCACGAGGCTGTTTTTCTCTTCCTCACACAGTACCACTGAAGAGTTGGAGACAGTATCATCAGTCCGCCTGCGCTTGTAGTCCTCTTCTATTATAGCTCTCTTTGTATACCTCCATTTAATTTCATGAGGTTGTATAAAGACGTGCGTGAAGAGAGACTGAGTATAGAGGGAAGCCAGATGTAAACAGTACAAAACAACAATTAACGATCCACGCTCCCGTAGTACTCAGGATTAGCGCAAAGCGCTTCCTAGCCCTTTAATGCTTCACTTTAACCATAAGCTCCTCCACTCCCTCGGGCACTTTCTTCCACTGCTCTTCCTCATCGAGAAACCCCGCACGACCAGCCTCCCACTCGGCCTTGATGACGGCATTCCTCCCCTCGCTGCGCGGCTTGATATCAACCGCATACTCTGCCAGCGAGATGACGCCCCCCGGAGCGAATTCGTCCGCATCGATCGGGACGTCGACTCCCCGTTCGTCCTTTTTCTGGCTGATTTCGCACGCCCACAGGATCTTCGAAACGGTCAGGAACAGGTTCTTCTCGGCGAGGTGCTGGCCGGGGCAGATGCGGCGGCCGGCGCCAAACACGAAGAGCTCGTTGCGCGCGCCCACGCTCTCTTCGTCCAGGCTGTGGTTTGCGTTGAGCCGGCCCTCCCAGCGCTCGGGCTTGAAGTCGCGCGGGGAAGGGTAAACGGCCGGGTCGTTGTGCATGTGCCAGGCGTTGATGATGAGGGTCGTGTTGGCCGGGATGGTGTAGGAAGCGTAGGTGAGATCGCGAGTCGTCGCGTGCGGGAGGCAGAAGGGCGTGACGCTGGACCAGCGGTGGAGCTCCTGGACGACCTGCCGGATGTAGCTGAGGCTGGTGGAATCGGCGTGCGTGGGGATCCTATCTGGACCGATGGCACGGTCGAGCTCTTTTTTTTTTGAAGTGGCCATGTCAGCAAGGAAAATCGAGGTGTTGGGCGATTGGGGATGTTTGTGGTGTTGGTTTTTGCGGGATACCTTCGTGAGCTTTGCGTTGGACTTCGGGGAAGAGGGCCATGACCGCAAAGAGATTTACAAGAGTGTTGGACGTCGTGTCGGTAGCGGCCTTGATCAAATTAGCGTGGGGACAGCTTTCGGGGGAAATCATGTCTCACTGTGAGGAGGTCCAAGCCCCATCTGGCCCCCTGAATGTCAGGAAACCCTTCTTTCTCTTGCTTTTCCGCCAAGGCCTTATTGAAAGATGGTAGAACGCTCCTTGGGTTGGAAGAGTCTTTGGCGGGGAGGTAATGCTTCAGCGCAATCTTTGCATCCTTGACACAATGTTGCCGCGCATGCCGCGCCGACGGGAAGAGCCAATCCGGCAGTTTCCTGAGTAAAGGAAAGTAGTCAAGCAAACCACCATTAATCTGGATCATAGCAAACTCGTGGAAGTTATCGCGAATCTCCTGGATATTGGGGTCGTCGGCGTTTGGCACGCGGCGGCCGGTGGTTAGTAGCAAGCCGATCGAGTTGCTGTAGCGGAATACATGGTGTCGCCAGCTGGCTGGGTTCTGGAGGATGTCGTAGACAAGCTTTGCCGTCTCGAGCTCCTGGTAGGGGAGGTACCGGCGGGTGGCTCCGACATTGAGGATGGAGTGGTAGAGCTTTCGGCCCTGACGCCAGCGCGGGCCAGACTGCTGGAAGCCAATATTATAGCCGTTGGACGCTATCTCCGCTGTAAGGTACTCATCCGGACGACTCGATGTATGGGTGCCCATCTTGTCGAACAAATCGCGGGCGGCCTGCGAGTCGCTAACGATAACGGTAGGTTGGTTACCGCGCATTACCGTAACGAGAGGCCCGTATTTCTTGGCCCACTCGTCGAACTTGAGGTGGAGGTGCCATTGGGGATACTACATATCGTTAGTACTATCGCCTTTCTGCATTATTGGCATGGTGCTGACGCGCCTGGTGGTAGTTTCCGTAAATTGGTATGGTTGGCGGCCCTGGAGGCATCCCCGCTGGACGGCTTCCAATCCAGAGCAGGCGCCAAACAACATAAGCTAAGAGTGTTCCGATAACAACAGCTGCTGTATACGAGGTCGCCATGGTGACTAGAGTGCAGGATGAAGTAGTGAATATATCGCATCAAACATAGGAAGTGCTGCTGACCTATATAAGTACGTGTTTTGGTGCAACCTGCACCGGAACGGTATTCGGCTTGTTTCAGTCCAATTTTAGGCGGCCAACCAACAGTCGATGAGATACTACAAAATGCGGGGATACCGGGTCAGAGGCTCCGTACTAATCGCTTGGTTACAGCAATCGAATTTCTAAAGAGCTTTTTTGCCTTGTCAGATCAGACGCTGCAGGCTTACCATCGCTTGCTCGGATAGCTCGCCCAACCACCGATCATTGCAGCTCATCCCGCCCTAATTTGGACTTCACCTATATCTATAATCGATGGTAGTCCCGGCCTCTATAGGGTCACAATACGATAGTAGCTGCACGGGAGAGGAGTCATCCGGTGAAGCAGGTGCAGCGGACCGCCCGGAATCTAATCATCCGAAGATAGCAACAATTGCTCAGGGACATGATGATTTCTAAGCTTCTACGGCTAATTAACACCCGAGTCACTATAATCGCCTTCGGTCGTAAGTGTGTCAAAGTGGATCTCCAGCCGAGATCGAGGCCGAGGCCGAGGCCGACCTATACAGATGACTAGGGACTCGGATACCATCTTCTTAGGGGTCTCGGGACCTCCATCTGCTCCTTCATGACGCTGGGGCAATGGCCCGGGATAGCTCGGTTCCTTTCGGAAAACTACGGCGGTTCTGCTTCTTTTCTTGAGCTTGTCCGAAGTTCGCCCGAAGCCGTAAATGAAGTCCGGACAGTCGCCGGCAACGAGATCTTGTGCCCCGCCCTAAGCGACTATTTCGTTGCCAGCGGGTGTCCGAACTTGCGTGTCCACAAGCCTGACACAGAATAGCCGCGGACAAATACTGCCTCAGCCAGGCCATCAGCCGAATAATACAGGAATAAGGAATCTCTAGCTCTTTAGCGCTGGGAGGGAGAGAAATGACAGGCTAACAAATCAACTGTGGCGGACAAAATATTGGTGAGCAGGAAGGCGAGCGTTTTCTGGTAGTTTTTGGCCCACGAACTTTGCGCGCTCATCGCTCCCGATTCCTCAATTGATCCTTGTTATAGGACATCTAATGACTTTTATTTTTCTCTCTCTCTATCTATAAATATATACATATCTTGCGCTGCACGGCTGCTTTTGCGTCATCTATTTCCTACAGCCCCCTCTACGGCACTCGGAGCAAGTACGGTCCCCCCGTCCCGTGATCAGCCATCTCGCTCTGCCCTCCATTCCATCGTGAAGATTCAGACCTACTCGCTACGAACATATACAACCCTCACATGCCAGGGTGATGCATGCTCCGAAGCGAAAGTCTTGATCCTGGTTCTCTCCTCTCCCGACACCACCGGGCTCGCGTACCTAGCCAGCGGGAGCGCCCACGCGGCGTAGTAGACGGCCGTCTCCATCGCGTGCTCGGAGAGATGCGTCGACCAGACCAAGATGCCCTCGTCGCCGTCCGCAGAAGTCAGCGACCTTCCGGCCCTCCCCTACAATAGTCCACCTTGCACCATCGCCCGTCCAGTGGGTGCGCCTGCCGTTGCGTATGCTAAGTTTCTCCTTCGCCCGGCACTCGTCACGCTAATAACCCGAAATTAGAAGCTTACCCTTCCGGTCTAGTGTAACGGCGGGCCTCTGCCTCTAAGGATCCAAACACCAAAGAGGGTGGAAACCTGTCTAAGGGTTTTCCTTGAGTGGGTACAAGATGAGGATTGGGAACGTAGTGAGTAAGACGCGACGGAGCACTGCATGTGCGAAGGCCTTGTTACCAATAGAGTCCAAATTCTATTGTTGAAGTTGACCACGAAGGTCAAAGCTATCTAAGGGGTGTGGTTTATATACATGTAGGAAAGGTTCATACAATCTGGTATGCTGCTCTGTATGCTCTGTCGTTCTTGGCGAATGTTCGCCACAGAGCAGAGAGGGTAGGTTTGTTTGATCTGACTGCTCTGTGGTGGCTCGGGCCACCGAGGGTGAGAGCAGACAGAGCACCTTCTTGGCGTCACGTGGGCCACGTGACCCACGTGGGTCCTTTTCACGCCGTACGAGTGCACCCCACTTCTTTCCTTATTCCGATGTTCTCTAACCCTGTAGAGGCTGTGCCGTAACATCTAGGTCGTCATCATCAGTTTGAATTCGCCAGTCTAGTAATACTTTTAGATAACCCTAATTTTGTTTCTGTATCTTCTTCGAGGAATAACTCCTAATAGAGAAGGTTATTAAAGAATATTAGCGGCTTTTATAAAAAGACTTTAAAAGAAGTGTATTTATATACGGGTGGGTTTATTTGGGTTTTTTTCGGCGAAAAAGAGGTGGATTTGGTAATTGCCCCAAGTAAAAGCGATGCAACTTGTCTCTCGCTGCTTATGACTTGCTCGAAAATACATTAAGATGGAAAGGTGATCTTTCAAGATTTAGCAGCAACTGGCACTATTTTTAGTGTCGGACCATCCCGGACTAGATCCGTACAGTCTCGAAAAAAAAAGGTATTATTGAAGTCACTTCTCAAACACGAACTCCAGGGAAATCAAGAACTCTTCACCAGCGAAAATACAAGATTGATAAAATTGTTGATATTGTAGAGCCAAGAGTCACCGCACAAGAATCTCTCTTTAGTACTCTGAGTCAAACATCCGCTGATTAGAACTACATCCTATCAACTCCGAAGAAGAAAATAGGAAAGAGGTGTTAACATGTTTCAGTCCACCCTAATCAAAATACGCCGACACCATCTTCCTGGAAAGCACCCATCCGCTCAATGCCGCTTCGGGTCTCGGCCGCCGAGGTCTTCGCCTAACAAATGAGCTCGGGCAGCGTGATCCGACGCCATCATGTACGATAGAGGCTCTTCACTGGTTCATTATTCTAGCAGCTTTCTCAAACCCCTTGCAGTTGCCGGGCCCACTCAAGCTCTTGATAGTCCACACCTAAGCGAGGCCCCCCGCATCACAAATCCTCAGGCCGAAGAAAGGGTACTATTCGAACTCACCATGACCACTCTAATTTGGAAGCTGATGGAACCTTCACGCAGCATGGTCAAGGGGGGAAAGAAGGGCACTCGGCGATTGAGAGCATCCTGTGATCGGTGTCACCACGCCAAAACGCGGTGCATCTACGAGGAGGACCACCAGGACTGTGTCCGGTGCACAGCGCGCAACTTCACCTGCCAGCGGAGCCTATCAATGCCGAGGAAACGGACTCCCAAGCAGCCACCGCCGCCGCAGATCGAGCCGTACCCAACTCCGCCAGAGGAGTTTCAAACACCTCAATCGTCAATAACCCACGATGCTCACACACCGCGCACATCCGGGACGGACGCCGGCACTCTGGCGAGCAGTCCAGACGAGCGCATGCCATCTGAAATCTCCATGTTCGACTTCTCCCAGTTCGCTGACTTCGAGCCGTCCTTCTCTCCGGTGGACTTTGGCTTCTTCGGATCGCCCGCCACGCAGCTGCAACATCATCCCGACGCCGCAGCACAGGAGCCACCAACCAACATACTGGCGCCAGCCCCAGTCCTGGAAACACCACGAGCCGCGCACATAGCAGACGGCCACAACAACAACAAGCACGGCTGCTCGCCGTTCCAATCCTCATCCAGCTGCCTCGACGTGCTCAACCGCACGCTGCGCGACCTGCAGCAAAGCCCCGTCGAGGGCAAGACGCTGGACCACGTGCTGCGGCTCAACCGGGCGCTGCTGAGCGTGGTGCGGACGGTCATCGAGTGCGACGCGGCGCACCACCCGTCGTTCGACTTCACCGTCTACTTCTGCCTCAACAAGCTCATCACGACGTACCACGAAGCGCTGTACATGCCGTGCTGCGCGTCGTCGGTGCAGTTCGGGTCGTACGTCGTCAACGTCGAGGACCAGCTGGCGTTGAAGTGTCAGATGATCCTGATCGACGTCAGGAAGATAACGGCGCTGCTGGACCGGCTGCAGGCCAAAGCGCGGCAGCGGGAGGAGGAGGATCGGCTGGGGCAGCAGACTGGTGGTGGTGGTGCTGTGGGGAGGACAAGTAGTCGTTGCAGGCGGCAGTGTCAGTTCTTACACCGCTTTGCGAGGAATGAGGTGGATCGTGTCACGAAACATATACGGTTATTGGGGGGATGAGGTCTTTCATTTCGCAGCGACTGCCTATTTTTGCTCTTCTTGTTTTTTTTATGGGATTAATTGCATTTCGTCACACCCGTAGGGATACAGAAACACCACGTTTCGAGCGTTCAGTAGTCAATATTCCGGTCGAATGGATTTGTCGAAGACACTGGAAGCAGAGATCTCCAATTCGACGGTTCGCTGCGTCGATCATCGGGTGTGCGTGTCATGGTCGGGCATCGGCAGCCGAACGCCGCAGCAGGAACACTACTGCGCCGCCACACGCCGGTTATCAGGGTGGAGCGGCCAGCCGATAGCACCCTGGGCCGCGTTTCGGCCATGATTGGACGCGTTTCACTGCACGGCCAAGGGGGCGTCGCGCCCATCGCGCCGCTCAAAGTGACATGGCAGCCGCCAGGTAAGGGCCTGCCCTGGCGCCGTGATTTATCAGCGAACGTAGGCTGCATTTCCTAAAGCGACAGTGCTCCGCCCGAAAAGAAAAAGAGCCAAGGGAAACCAAGCTCCGGATCCTCGATGCTTCGTCCAATCCCTTGTTGAATCCTTTTGTGTTTCGAGTGACTTACCACCCACTTCTGAGCAATGTCGTCAGAACAGAGCCCAACCGGCAAGGACCTGGAGTCAAGCGCGGCGCCATCCACCGACTACTCCAAGACGGAGGAGGCAGCGCTCGACGATGGACCGCTGGTGACGTGGGACGGGGAGAGCGACCCGCACAACCCGCAGAACTTCTCGTTCGCGCGGAAGCTGTTCATCACCTTCATCTGGGTGGCGGGCAACCTGGCGACGTGCATCGCGAGCAGCATCTACAGCAGCGGCTCGACGCTCATGGCCGAGGAGTTCGGCGCCAGCACCATCGTCATCACGCTTGGCATCAGCCTCTTCCTTGTGGTGAGCAATTAGCATTCCTTCTTCCCCCCCCTTAAGACCCACCAATCCACCCATCCACCCCGCCCTACAGCCACCATAGCCAATGGAAGAGCCATCATCTCACCAACGCTTCTCCAACAACAGGGCTACACCATCGGCCCCCCCTGCTGGGGCCCCATCTCCGAGCGCGTCGGCCGCAAATGGCCCACGACCTTCGGCATGCTCCTCTTCACCATCTTCTGCATCCCGGTGGCGCTCGCGCAAAACATCCAAACAGCGCTCATCGGCCGCTTCCTGTCGGGCGTCTTCGGCGCGGCGCCTTTGTCCATCGTCGGCGGCGGGCTGGTCGACATCTGGAACCCGGTGCAGCGCGGCGTGGCCATGGCCGCGTGCATCGGGACCATCTTCGGCAGCCCCATCGTCGCGCCCGTCATGGGGAACTTCGTCGCCGCGAGCTACCTCGGGTGGCGGTGGAACCACTGGTTGATGTGCATCTTCGGCGGGGCGGTGACGGTGCTGTGCGCGGTGGGGTTGCCCGAGACGCACGCGCCGACGCTGTTGAGGCGGAAGGCGGAGAGGGTGAGGAGGGAGACGGGGAATGTGAAGGCGCATTCGCTATATGATGGCCAGGCGGTGGGGCCGAAGGCTATTGTGCAGATTTACCTGATGCGGTCGTTCAGTACGTGGCGCGCCACCATCACCACCATCCACTCTGACCGCGAAGCTAACCAAAACACAGGGATGCTCATCACCGAACCCATCCTCCTCCTCATCACCATCTACCAAGCCTTCGTCTACGGCATCCTCTACCTGATCTTCGTCTCGTACCCCATCGCCTTCCGCGAGGTGCGGCACTGGGCGCTCGGCGTCAGCGGGCTGGCCTACCTGGGCATGTCGGTCGGCGTGCTGCTCGGCGCGGGCGTCGTCATCGCCCACACGCGCACGCGCTTCGTCGCCAAGGTGCGCGCCAACGGCGGCGTCGTCGTGCCCGAGAACCGGCTGACGCTGATGTTCGCCGGCGGCTGTCTGATCCCCGTGGGGCTGTTCATCTTCGGGTGGACGTCGAGGCCGGATATCCACTGGGCGGGGCAGATTGTGGGGAGTGTCCCCGTGGCGATGGGGATGTATATGGTGTTTGTGCAGTGCTTCAACTACATCATCGACACGTACATGAGCACGGCGAATAGCGCGATTGGCGCGAATACGTTTGTGAGGTCGTTTTTTGGCGCGGGTTTCCCGTTGTTTGGTCCGGCTATGTATCATCGTCTGGGCGTTGATTGGGCGAGCAGTTTGCTGGCGTTCCTGGCGATTGCAATGATTCCTATTCCTGTTCTGTTCTACAAGTTCGGTCATCAGATCCGCTTGAAGTCCAAGACGGCGGAGAATAAGAACTGAAAAGGTTGGAAACGTAAAAGGTGGAAATTCGAAACGGAGTAATGGTGCTCCTTGGGAGTGCCTTGGAGTGCTTGGGAGTTGCCATGAGGTACTGTGGTACTTTGTGTGTGATGACACTCTCAGTAGATAGAAAACAATGACGAAGAACTTCCTGGCGAGTCGAACAAAAAAAAGACAGTGGTTGAGAGAATTCAAGACCTTAGAGGCTGTAGCATGAACCTTAATTGGACGAATGTTTTCCAGTATTCTCGAAGTGATGTAATCTGTACACTGAAAAGCTGTCAAAGTTTGTGTATTCCATTTATGATCAGTGTAAATCGACAGCAAGCATTGTGAGGAGAGGAAACACTGAACGAAATAAGTGCTCGGTGATGCAAGTGCAGGATGCTACTGTATTACGAAATCCAACAGTGATGCTGGAATATGTAATCTGGACTTCAGCAATCGAATGGTAAGAGTACACGAATTTATTCTTCTATGCGTGGTATCTACAGGATTGATTCACTGCTGCTGTTCCCAAAAGATTCATCCTACTGAAAATGTATCTCTATTCTAAGAAGAAATTGGAAAGAAGAGGTGAAATCGGCGGGCTTCAAGCATGAAATATCTTCAATGGCAAAATGAAACAACTGAATGGTTGTGCTCATGCCATCGAATTTTTAACTGGCAGAGACAACAACTCGCCGAGCTTAGAAATAGCAGTTTCATCAGCAGTATCCAAGCCGAGAATGAGGTCCTCAATCTTCTGCATGCGGTCAGAATCAGTGACGGAGGAAGCCAGCTTGCGCCACTTGGTGCGGATGTCCTCGTTGGAGATGGGAGGGTCGTAGCCCTTGGGCCAGGGCGTCGACTCCTCAACGGTGAAACCATCGTCAAACGTAATCCTGACACGGCAGCCGGCCACTTGGTTGGGCTTATCGAACTCGGGATCGTGGAAGCACTCGGTCTTGCCAATCAACTCCCAGACCAGGTCATCGTCAAGTTTTGCCGCGCTGAACTGCTCGAGGAGAACTTGGCGGTCGGTGAGCTGGACGGCTCCGATGTACTATTTTGGAATGTCAGTTTGTTTCGAATCAGTGAGAATGCAGGTGTTTACGTACAGCAGCATTCATCTGGCCGCCGGTCTCGGTTAGAGGACGGGATTCAGGAACCCAGCCATCGTGAGCGTAAATGGCGTGGCTGAGGTACGTGTCGATCTTCTTGATGTTGTGTAGCTTGTCTAGCGTGAAGCGGTCTGGGTATTGGTTCTGCAGCTTTTCGAGAACCTCAATTTGGCCGTGGCTGCCGCCGACGCAGGCGTAGAGTTTGATGCGGATCAGCTCAGTGTGCCAGGTCTCTCCCAAGCCAGCAACAACCTGAATAGAGGTGATCATTTAGCTTTACGTGCCGGAATATTCATCACGCGGCGAAGACGTACCTCGTGGATTTTCCATGGTGGATTGCGTTCGTTACCGGCGCTGAACATGGCCAGAAAGCCACCATAGGGGCGTTCAAAGACCTTGCGCATACCCTCGTAGCCGCCGCGAGCCAATAAGGCGCCGAACAGGCCATTACGAGCAGCAAAGGCATGCTGAGCGCGCTTGATCATGCCCTCGTACTGTGCACTCATCAGAGCGCCAGCTTGGGTGCAGGCAATTCCCAATGCGCTCTCGGTCTCGCGCACACCGAGGCCAAACAAGCGAGAACAGGCCGCTGCAGCAGCGGGACAACCTGTGCACAGTCAGAATCATTGTCGCGAAAGCACAGACTTCGGCATCTTCTACCGAAAATTGGCCCGGAGTGCCATCCGCGGGTCAGCATGTCCGGGCCGTAAAGGGCCAGGCCGGCTCGCGGGCCGGTTTCAAAGCCGGCCACAGCAGCCAAGAGCAGATCCCGGCCAGTGACGCGGGCGCCGGCGGCGTTGATCGACTCGGCGCCGGCCAGCAGCGCAGGGACCACGATGCTGGCCGAGTGCAGCGGCGCGCCGCTGTGGTAGTCGTCGAGCTCGGTGGCCTGGACGAACGAGCCATTGAGGATTGCGGCGGCGAGAGGGCCGAAGCGCTGGGTGTTGCATGTCAGCAGGAAAACTTATGGTGAGAAAAAGGGAGTACCTTGGTGGTGCCGATGACGCTGCACGGCCCGTCGGGCTCGTAGGCGCTCACGGCATGCAGCATCTTGTCCGACCACGGCACGCGCGCACCGACCAGACCGCAGCCGATGCCGTCGAGGATCAGGTGCTTGGCCCGGTCCAGCACCCGCGGTGGCACGTCGTCAGCCTTCAGCCCCGCGATCCAGCGCGCCAGCTGCTCCGTCGTGCCATCGCCCTCGACCTCGGTCTCCAGCTGGTGCTTCATCTTGGCTTGTTTGCGCGTCTCTCTGGCTTCTGTTCCGGTCCGGCCCCCTGTCCTCCTCTGTCACCGCTCTTAAGTGTCGCCGTCTCGCGTGTCGGCCGCCGAGCCGCGACAACAACTTTCTCAAAGATGCTGGCGTCGCCTTTCTGCTGCCGCGGCCTCGTCCGCCGCCCATCTCGCGCCCGTTGTTGTTGTTGTCGTTAACCATGCGTCCCCTGGCTGTTCCACTGCTCGCCTCCGCTGCGCTTCTGGCAGCATCCCAGCAGGTTCCCCTCGAGCTCGATGAGAGCCCGCTCGCGGCACCATGCAGCGGCGGCTACTCGTTCCCCGCCATCGTCTGCATCCGCAATCGAGGCGCCGTGATCCGAGGCGACTGGGAGCGGCCCGTCACCAACGACCTCGCCCACGCCGACACCTTCCGCTCCACCAACATGCCGCACGAGCCCAGCTTCCGCCACGTGCAGGACGCCGACTTCGTCGTCTGGGACGAAAGCCGTGGCAGCCACGTGCTCGGGCCCGCGCCGGCCGTCGACTTCGTCTTCACCACAAAGGGCCTCCTCTCGCACGAAGCCCCCGTCTACTCGCCCGAGACGAACGAGCTGTACTTCGCGCGGCTGGAGCACCGTTTCCTCGCGCAGCTGGCCGTCGACCTGAACGCGGACCCGCCCGTGCTGCGCGAGAAGACGGCGAACCCGCCCATCTACGGCGCCACGGGAGCCCGCTACCGCAAAGGCCTCATCTACTTCTCCACCCTCGGCGGCGACGACTTTGGTGGTCACAGCTACCGCCCCGGCATCTACACCCTCAACGCCACCTCGGGCGAGTCCCGCGCCCTGCTCAACAACTACTACGGCTACTACTTCAACGGCGCTGACGACTTTGACATCGATGCCGACGGCCATATCTGGTTCACCGACAACGGTAAGCATCCCTCTCAGCCCCCAAAGCCCAATGTCAATTCCCAGCTAACAAGCAAGCAACAGACTACGGCCGCGCCGTCCGCCTCAACGCCGCCGCCCCGCAGCTCAACCCGGCCACCTACCGCTTCGACCCCGCGACGGGGCTCGTCACGGTCGTCGAAGACACTCTGCGCGAGCCGAACGGCGCGCAGTTCTCGCCCGACGGCCGCACCTTGTACCTGACAGACACGGGCGCCGGCGAGACCGTCATCGACGCCGCCGTCTCACCAGCGCCGCCCATCCAGTACAACAGCACGGGCAAGAGGTCCATCTACGCGTACGACGTCGACCCCGTGCGGAAGGTGCTCGGCAACAAGCGGCCGTTCTACCAGAGCATGCAGATGGTGCCGGACGGGATCAAGGTGTCTGAGGATGGGTACGTCGTTGCGGGGACGGGGGGTGGCGTGATTGTGTTGTCACCGGAAGGAGAGCCGGTGGTGCTGGTGCAGACGAATTTTACGGTGATTAATATCGCGTGGGCCGGGCCGGAGTTGGATGAGTTGTGGGCGGTTGGGAAGGGGGGTGTGGCGAGGATTAGGCTGGGGTTGCATGGGCCGGCGCTGTATTAGCAGGGAATCAGTAGAATAATGCATACACGGTGTTGAGCAATTAATCTCCATTGAACGGAAAACTCGCTTGCCGCAATGCATTCTCCACTTGACTGTGCTTCACTGAGTGGAGTCTTGGTAACCGAAAATCTCGGAATCAGCCAATGCAGTCAGGCTGGGCCACCAATTGCATCGACACTATTACGAACAACCCGAGTCCCTCATTGACAAGAGCCGCAATCTGATGGGCGAAGGCGACCGAGGCCCGTCCGGCCACAAGGAACCGTGACCATGACTCGTCGTCGCCTCCCGGACGCCGAGTGCCGAATTGGGCAACTTTGACGTTTCAATTTCCAATCTGTTGACAAACGCAAATATGCTGCTTTAAACGGCAGGACAAATGCTCCTTTTGTGGCACGTCTCTGACCCTTAGCCAAGCATTGAAGCACTTTCTGACAATGACGGCTGTAACTCCTAATGAACGCACGAGGCTCCTTGAAAGCCAGAGCTACGTGGTAAGAAACGCCTGTACGCATGTTACTGCTCTGAGATAGCTCACTGACAACTTTTCAGGCAGATCCCCTCACGCTGGTGGGCAAAGAAGATCCGAAAGCATGGCATACGGAGAAGAAGTGGGCGGTGGCCATAGTTGTGTCTTGCTACGGCCTCATCATCCCGGCCACTGCAGCAATGGTGGTGCCCGCATTCACCCAAATTTCTCACGACCTCAACATCAGTGGTGACGGTGAAGTGCAACTGGTCATGTCCGTCTTCTTGCTGGGATGGGGCATTGGACCCATCCTCGTTGCCCCGCTCTCCGAGGTGTACGGCAGGCGACTGCTGCTGAACACTGGACACACGCTCTTCTTGATCACAAATACTCTTTGCGGATGTGTCTCAAACAAGTCACACTTCATGTTCTTGCGCTTTATCTCTGGGCTCTGCGGCAGTGGCCCCATGTCTGTACGTATATTCCTTCAATGCTTAATCCAGCCCACAACTGACACTTCCCATTACAGATCGGCGCTGGCGTGCTAAGCGATCTCTGGCACAAAGAAGAGCGAGGACTCTCCCTATCCATCTACGCCCTCGGCCCCCTCGCCGGGCCCGCCATCGGCCCCATCGCCGCAGGCTACATCGTTGAAAAGCTGTCATGGCGGTGGATCTTCTTCAGCGCGTCCACCTTTGCGTTCATAATGCTGGTCCTGGGCTACTTCCTGCTGCTCGAGACCTTCCCACCCGTACTTCTCCGCTGGAAGAAGCAGCATCTGCGCGCGAAGGGATTTTTCATTGGCGAAGACGATGAGGTTGAAGAAGCCAAGGGCAAGACGCTGTCGTCGCTCAAGGGCGAGCTCAAGCGGCCCTTCGTCATGCTCGGCACGCAGCCCATCATCCAGACGGTCGCGCTGCTGATGGGCTTCCTGTTCGGCCTGAACCAGCTGACCATCGCCACCTTCGAGACGCTGTGGGAGGAGCGCTACGGCATGCCGCCGCGCAAGGCGTCGCTGAACTACGCCTTCATCGCCGCTGGCCTGACGTTCGGGTCGCAGGTGGGCGGGCGCATCAACGACAAGGTGAGATAAACCACCCGTCCCCATCCCCATCCCCATCCCCATCCCCATCCTCAATCCCCCCATCATCTACCCGCCATTTTCCCACTCCTCCATCCCCTCGTCTTCTTCTCTACCCCCCATCAACTAACCCCCTCCCGCACAGATCTACGCCCGCCTCAAACGCCGCAACAACCAAACCGGCCGCCCCGAGTTCCGCGCGCCCCTGATGCTCGCCGTCGCCCTCCTCCTGCCCGTTGGCCAGCTCCTCTACGGCTGGTCCGCCCAGTTCCGCCTATACTTCCTCCTCCCCAACCTCGGCGTCACACTGTTCTCCACCGGCATCATCGTCGGCTACCAGTGCATCCAGGCCTACGTCATCGACTGCTACCCCGTGTATGCGGCTTCCGCCATGGGCTCGCTGACCCTGCTGCGCTCCGCCGGCGGCTTCGTGTTTCCCGAGGTGGCGCCCGCGCTGTACCGCGCGCTGGGGTACGGCTGGGCGAGCACGCTGATTGCCGGCGTGGCGGGTGTGGTCGGGGTGGCGGCGCCGGTGGTGTTGTGGGTTTGGGGCCCTGGGTTGAGGGCGAGGAGTCCGTATGCGTCGGGGGAGGTGGGGTTGTGATTGTGATTGTGATGGGGTTTAGAGGGGTTGTCAGGTCAGCGAGTGTGCTGGTAGTGGGATTGTGGATTGTTGTTGTGGTGGGGGCTGAGGCAGTGTCAATGCTGGAATAGATCTGCCCAATATGAAGGGGCCATTGTAGAGTAAGTTCAGAGAGGAACAGTTGGAGAGGTTTATGGTACGGATACAAAAATTGAGATTGATGTTAGATACTCTTTGGCTTTTGCTATGGAATATCTACTGCGTTTTTGGACTACAGACAGTCCAAGACTGGTTCAATCAACAAAAAAAAATTCAAACAGTGTGGGAAGTCAGATGTCCGCTTCAATACTAGCACCCGTATTTCCCAATCTGAATTTTGCAACCAACACTTTCAAACTTGAAAGTAGATTTGAGTATATATAATGCGACCACCTGCGAGCTAAGGACTAAAATCCTTCGAAACTCCTGTTGCCACATGTAAGTCAGTATATGCCTTGTATTACTTTAGATGTGGAAACTGAAAATTCGTGTTTGATACCTTGCACTCCGCTACGAAATGGTAGGAAAGTGAACGACAGGTACTCTCAACGTGAAAGCAACTTCACTTCCGCGTTCGCTGAAGAATTGCTCTCTCTCCATGAGACAACGGCCATCCGAATCTCCGCGTGGTTTGTAACTCCCCGATTTCGGCTTATAGATGATGAGGGGATGTTACGGGTATCGGCGCCCGAGAACCGAAGGGTCAGCTGTCTGTAACCTGACATGTCTGGAGAAGGCTTCTTTCACAGCTTCACCATCGGGCGCCGAAGGGCGTTCACGTCTTGGAAGTCTACCTTTTTGATATGCTTAAAAGAATGAAAAACTCTCACTACACTGACTACAGGTCTCCATCAATCAAGTCTTTGAATATCATTCAACAAGCTTCATCCTCATTCAGCAATCATGCACTCGACCTACATCAAGGAGCCGCTGAAGTCGTCTGGCACCCTGGATGGTGTCAAGATGAGGCATGTCACGCCCCTGTTGGGAACTGAGATCCTGGGCGAAAACCTCAAGGAGTGGATCACCGGGCCAGACTCCGATGCCAAACTCCGGGATCTAGCCATCTTCAGTAAATCGCTCACACCCACAACTGCATTGGGATCGGCGACGCTTACACACTGACACCACAGTTAGTCAGCGCGGCGTTGTAGCATTCCGTGCCCAAACGGACATGGACCCAGAGCTGCAGAAGCAGCTGGCCCGCCGCCTGGGCCTGCTCTCGGGCAAACCCGCCGAGTGCGATCTGTGGAAGCACCCGATGTCGCTGGCGCGCGGCGACGACCCGGACTGCGCCAAGCTGGACGCCAAGGTGCAGCAGTCGACGCACTGGACGTTCGAGGAGGGCATGCCGCGGCAGACGGCGGCCGACGAGTGGCACGTCGACGCGTGCTTCGAGACGAACCCGCCCGACTACACGACGCTGCGCATGACGTCCATCCCGCCCACCGGCGGCGACACCATGTTCGCCTCCAGCTACGAGCTGTACGACCGGCTGTCGCCCCCGTTCCAGAAGATGTTCGAGGGGCTCAAGATCCACTACCACAGCGCCAGCCTGTCCAAGGCCGTCAAGGCCTCGGGCAAGCCGTATCCACACCCCCGCGGCGCGCCCGGCAATGTGGGGTATGAGTTTGAGAACTCGCATGTAAGTTGGTTTCTTCAGGCTTCTCGCGTGCTCGGCACTCTTACTGACCCGGCATCCGTGACCCAGCCTCTTGTGCGCACGAACCCCGTTACCGGCTGGAAGGCGCTATACTCGGGCGTGCTTTTCGCTGAGCGCATTGAAGGCGTAACCGAGATTGAGAGCAAGCAGCTTCTCGAGAAGATCCAGCGTCTGATCACGGAGAACCACGATCTCCAGATACGTGTCCGATGGGAGAACCCTGGAGATATTGGTAAGCCTTGCCCTTTTTTTCCCTGTGGTGTTTCTTTCTGTTTCTTCAGGGCGCTATCTTTCCATTGTCTTACATGACTCACTACACCATTTATTGCTACCGCTGACGCGTTTTCTTCATGCAGTGATATGGGACAACCGATCTGTCCTGCACGCAGCCACTCAAGACCACCACGGTCAAGGGGATCGCATTGGCTGGCGTGCAACTTCGATCGGCGAGAAGCCATATTTCGATCCGGCAAGCGTGTCCCGCAAACAGGCGCTGGCTGCAGCTAAGTGAAGTGATGATCTGTTTATTGGTGTGTCGGAGTGGGGTGGTGCGGTTGTAGCTGTACCGTTGGCACTGGAAGCGCCTTGCTCGTTCGTTTAAGATTAGCAAACACTTCATCCTGCGTACAATCTCCTGTTCCGTCTAGTTTCAATTAAAGTACAAGGAGTCGATGTTCAATAGATATCGCCCGTGTAGCCAGATCTGTGATGCATAGCGGAGGTCTTCATTTGATGAAAGATAGCATGACTGCGGAATGACCGCAGTGGCGTCCCATTTGCCTTTTCTGCTCCTTCCAGCGCCAATCCTCTGCGGCAGCACGACTCGTGTGCCGTCGATAATCGAGATCGGCAATTCTTCGGCCCTGATTTTGTCCTCTCAGAGGTGGGGGTTTATGCCGAACCCCTTTGCCCCGCTGCAAGTGTCTCAGAAAAGACATGCGGCTTATCTTTGCGCTCGGGTTCGCTCTCGAGTACATGGTCGGATGCGGCGTTTTTAAAACCAAACAATGACCGTGTCATCTCGAAGATACGCGAAGCTGCACGCATCAGCGTCTGGCCAAGGTTGAAGAAAGCTTCTGCGGCTCGGAACGGCCCGGCAGCCACGCGTGCGGTTGATTATACGTGTCGAATACGAAGCACGCCATTGGTCCACCATCTTGCCACCCTTCTGCCAAGGGAGCTGCTTATCACCGGATCGAATCGTTCCAATGGGATGGCTTTCAAAGAGATGTGCGTAGCGTATTGCAGCATCTGGAGGTGCGATGAGCGGGATTCATATACTCAGGCGTACCATGAGGTCAAGATAAGCGGCTAGCGGCGCTAAAGCTTGTGCGGTACAAGCAATTGCAACGGCTTCGGGACAGCCGTGCCGCCTCGCGTAATGTTTTTTCGCAACTACATACCCTTTTCCAGTCCAATAGTGGGCCGGTCAATTGTCCGCCCATTATTGAATCTTCATCCCCCGATCCCCCGTTGCACCCCGCGCACACGGAGATCGAGATAACATGTCGGCGATAACAAGTCGGCGGCCTGCAACTCCGACCGCGTAGTTCTGGTTGATCTGATAACCGTGTAGCACCACAACCGATCTCAATCTATCATTACTCGTGAGGATACCACTTGCTTCTCCTCACGGTGGCCGTAAAGTGGCCCTACACCTCCCGAGTTTCTCGTTTTGTGGATGAACACCCACCCGGATATTCGCGGTCACTACCGCTTCGGGCAACCAAGGGTCTCAACTCCACGATACGACGCGTATCTTCAGCCCCACTTCGCCACCGGAAACTCCACAGCTATCGGTCGGACCAGCGGAAAGCGCTCCGTATTCGTGGCGCTGGGGGCCTAGACACTCGCACACAAGTGACAATTGGGGGAGGAGGGGCAGCGCGACTCATTGCGAAGTGGGCAGCCACTGGACACAGAAGCGGAGCCTGACTCACAAGCCCGGCTGGCAGCCTTCCGGCCTCCCATTCATCCAGCGAGGCCGACTGCCTTGAAACTGTGCGCCGAGGATAGAGGCAAGCGCGGTGCCGAAACGGGTCTGTGGCCAATAGGACTGGCTCCTCAGCTTCGACCGCCATCTCTGGACTCGCCGTCGCCATGGAGCAGCACATGCAACGTCGCGGTAGGGCAGGTCGGCGGGCGTCCGTTCTTAAACAGCAAAAGGCGGCGGAGTGTTCCTGCCAGAAGGAGTGAACACCCACACCCACCAAACATGTCCGACACCGAAGAGCGAGCCGACAGGCCTTCTGAGCCCTCGACCAACCCTGCCTGTGACCAATGCAGGGCCAGGAAAGTGCGTTGCGATCGACGACGTCCCGAGTGCTCCAACTGCAGCAAATCTGGCGTGTGCTGCGGCTTCACCAACCAGTCGAAACGGGTCAATCATATCAAGCAGCTGTGGGTAGTGGGTAACGCACGTCCGTGGGGCTGGTGCTAATGGAAGGATTATCAGGCTCAGCGACTTCTCGTCGGTTACGTCACGCCTGGAATCCATCGAAACTGCCATCGGAAATCTCTCGCACCAGCTGGTGACCATCAGCCAGCCCAGCTCGAGCTCGCGCTCGTCGAGAAGCGGCTCCCGCTCCTCCTCCGTGTCTGGCAGAGAGACGCTGCGCAATTTTCTCGAGGAGTGTCAGATGGAAGAAGCCGACACCATCGGCGATGACCCTGCAGAGTTCATCCACCAGGGAAATGCATGCTGCGGGTGCGAACAGTTTTTTGGGGAAACCTCTGCGCATTCCCAGTTCAAATCGGCCAGGGAGCGCGTGGAACAGCTGCTGCGGGCCGACAACCAAGACGGCGGGACATCTCCTCTGCTGCGATTTGTCAGCGAGCGGCCTGCCTTGCTGCCTGATCTCCAATGCGCGTATGAAGCCTTTCCCACCGTGGATGAATGCCACAGGCCCTTTTCCACCATGATAGCCATGAACGGAGCGAACGGCAGGCCGATCGCACTACCCCCGAAAAGTTTCCTTCTCTCAGCCCTCGACATTTTTCTGTCAGAGATCAACGTTTACAACCCAATTTTCGAAGAGTCCAGCCTACGAGAAGCCGTGGAACTAAGATATTCGATGCCCCCACTAGACCCAGACCCAGATCGCGAAGCCTGGAGCCTTTCTTTCAACAACATAATTCTTTTGGCCATGTGCCACAGTGCCCGACTCACTCACAACGCTCTAGGAGATTTCCAGGGCATCGAGCATGACTTACTCCAGTCATTTCTGAGAAATACTTGCAGAGCGTTCTACAGCCTCGAACGCCTCTCCAGTCCTCGATTTGTGAACATCCAGGCCCTTGCCACACTCGTGAGTCTTGTTGCCGCTATAGCTCGGAAATAAAGAAACTGACCCACATGACCAGGCTCTGGTTGGCCGAGATTGCTTCGAAGGTTGCTTTTTCTCCCAGATGCTGCCCAGGGTGTTTCAAATCCTTCGATCCACTGGGCTCCACAGGGCCCAGGCCCACAAAAGCATTGTCGGGGCTTCTTCCGAAGAACGGCGGATGCTGTACTGGACGCTTTACCGGCTGGATAAGCAACGATGTTTCCTCAAGGGGCAACCCTGTGACCTCTACAGCTTCGATACCGACATACCCATGACCAACTCGGAAATAGACACCCCGGAATCCCGCTACCTGTTTGCCATGAACAGTCTCATGGTGGTCTGGGAGAAAATCTACCTGCTTCTATATTCTCCTCAAGTCAAGAAACGAAGACGACGGGACGTGGATCAGCAGGTGTGGGAGTTGCGGTCGGCGCTCAAGTCTTGGTGCCGGCGGCACAGCGACTTGTTGGAGAAGCCAGAATCCGACGGGTCTTATATCTTCTTCAGAGCGGAGCTGAGTTTCTGCTTCGCCATGAGCTCGCTTCTGATCCACCGATGCATCGATTCTGCCGCCAGCCGGCAGAAGTGCTTGGAATCAGCACAGACCGCTCTGAGAGTCATCACGAATATCCACAAAGCCCAACCCAGATCCGGTAGCATTGCTTTCTTAGCGAGGTAAGCCACACCCTTGCCTATAGTGCATGATCTCAGTTATCTCACACATCCTGCAGAATTTTCCAACAATACCCCGCCTTACCTTTCCTCGAAGTCTACCACAACATTCTCTACAACCCCACCCCAGAGCGATTATCGCAAGTAAACCTCCTCTCCTCAGCCGTGCAGGCCGTCGGCGATCTCGTGAACCCGAACTTCCCCCGCGTTTTCTGCGCACTCCTTTACGCCCGCATGACCTGGTGCGTCGACTTGCTCGAGATCTTTAGGTCATCAGTCTGCAGCCCGCCGCATGCATCGCGAAAAGGGTCTGTGGCGAGTTCTGCGCTTCCCTCGCGGAGCGGATCCGTTGGCAATTTGAATGATTTCAATTTGGCTGCTCTCGACACTGCATCGGACAGCGCCTTCTTCGGGATTGATGATATGATGGACAAAGTGCAAACATCAGATCAAGTCCATGGTTTTGATGACATGTTTGGTCCTGATGGCCTCACTATAGGTTCCGGCTTCCCTGAGGCCCAAATCCCAGTCGACCCGGTCCTGGAAAAGGGCTCCGATTTCTTTAAGTTAAACATGGACGTCGATGACTCTCTTTGGAGTATGAGCATATAGACGGGTGGAATATGATAATTATGCCATACTTTGAATTTTTCCTGGGTCTCCTCCGACTGCTCCCAGTCAGATTTCCGATTGTGCATCTATATATGTTATATCCCAATCGCTATTCTGTTCACTACAGTATGCAAATGTACCTCCCATTTTCGCGTTGATTATACGACTCTACGAAACTCCATCAAGACTCGCTTTCAACACTATTTCATTTTGCCCATGCCCACAGCAATCCAAATTACTTATTTGTAACTCAAGTAATAATCCTTCTATGAAATTGAATCTCCTCGGTGATCGGATTGCTGTAGACCAGTGGATGATGTGTGACAGACCCGACGGCGCGGCTACTTTCAGGCACACCGCCTGTACCGCCCATGCAGAGTGCTTCATGTGACGGGGCCCGAGTGCAGCGGGCACCCCATTGAGTAACAATGAGTAATGGACCGGGAAAATGTGGTCTGAAGCGGTTTGGGGAATCTGACGTGAGCCTGCTGTGCAACCAAGCTGTCACTCCGAGTTCAGGAAATGTTTCACAGAAAGCAGCCTCGCCAAAAGCAAAGCAGTTAGATTGACAGAGATTTCAGCATTCACATGTAGGTATCATAGCTTAAGGTCAGTGCAATTTTCAGGGACAGAGACGTCGGAATTGTCATGCGCCATACCACGACAGGAGAGTAGAATATGGTAGTTGATTGATACACGGGGTGGGGCTTTACCCGGAACGTCTGATACACAGAAAAAAAAACTCCGTGAGCCTTGGCTGTAGGATCCCTCAGTGCTCCCATGATCCATGATCTCGGGTCGGCCCGCTGGCTGGTTTCCTCGTTGCATTCAACAACGAGAAAACAGAAAACTGGCGTTATTCTACCGGGTGGATGGACAGAGATCCTACACGCCAAGGACGCCCCAGAATGCTGGCACCAGATATGGCAATGCCTACCTCAGCCCTCGTGTTGAGTACCACCCGGAACACAAATTCGCGCCAGTGAGACAACGTCATGTAGTACCTGCTGGTGTAGAGAGCTGGAGTTCCATGGTGATCACCATCACCTTTTCTGAACTACGATGGCTTCCAAAACTTATTTAAAAGCCACCTGTGATCCCCCTCCTAATCAAGCCATCTCCTCATCAAATTCTCCAGCTCAAATACAACAGAAAAAATTTTACTCAAGCCCCAGAACCATTATCCAGCATGCGTTTCACATTCTCAGTCTTTGCCCTCTTCCTCGCCTCCGCGATTGCTGCTCCAGCGAACGAGGCAGCGGACGCATTGGAGCCGAGAGCTTGTCTTCCAAACTACTGTGAGTCCATCCTTTCAACTCCATACCTATTCCTTTCTGGTCTCGATACTGACTGCAACTGGTTGATCAGATGAGTGCAGAAACCCGAGCGACTGCTGCAGCGGTATTTGCTGGTACGATCGTACGCATGGTACTCAGACTTGCCAGTAGAGTGGATAGAACGGATTGGGCACAAAAGTTAAGATAGTGGCGCAGGGAATAAAGGGAAGTTGGCAAGGGCCCGGATTTTCCTCTTTCTGGAGAGCGCCTACAAGGATGATCCTTTTTTACGCTTGAAATCGTGTTTGTCTTACGCATGGCTCTGTTCACACAATTAGAAGTATCGGTTATTTTGCACGATCTACCGAGCGATTGCAAATTAAAGCTATAAAAATACGATGCAAAATTCGACATAACTAACCAATAAGATGATAGTAGTATTAATGATGTGATCGCATTGGGTGAATGTTTTTAATGGTTAAATGACTATCGCTGAAACGAAGGAAATTACTCAGAAAAAGGTACAGCATTGATGGTAACTGTTTTTCGGCCTCCCAAAAAGAAACCACATTGAAAAGTGCCTTCATCCTGTGCTATTCTTTGCATCTTCCACAAACTCATCCCAGGACAGCCCAGTCCATTTCTGAACGCTTTGTCCAGCCGGTGTATCCTGCAAACGCTTTCCATTATGAGTGACCGTTGTGTCTGCCCCACATCCGATGAGGAATCTGGCGAATTGTATTGACTCCAGCCTGTCTTTCTTCAAAGAAAGAAAAAGCAGCGGCCTTGAATCAGGTCGGGGATCCTTTCCCCCAATATCTGCGCCTCTCTGAATGAAGAAGCGAGCTAATGAGATGGAGCAGCAAGTATCGGCCACCCTCCTCAAATCCCGCAAATCCCGTGCACTATCATCCGCCGTGTCAAATCGTTGAAAACATTCAACTGCAAAAGCTTCCAACTGAGGATCAGGTTTTGAAGGTATAACTCCATCCCGAAAGGCAGAGCCTGTATCCTTTCTCCTGAGTGCCTTGACCATATCATACGAGCCTTGAGCAGCAGCACACCTGAAGTGTTTAGCTTTTGCCTCCCACCCATATCGTCTTGTGGGCCGCAATAGCTGCCTCTTCGTCATACGACTCGATTAGGTAGTCAATTATACGTGGTTTGTAGCTGGTAGAATCCAAATAATTAAGTAGTCCAATAGCAGGATTGTCCAAAAGGTAGAAAAGCACTGAGCTTGGAGGATTTGAATGCAGAATTTCGGTAACATCTTCGTACCTCAAGGAAATTTTAGTCTGCGTTAGGCTAGACAGCATGTTATCAATCAATTCGACATTATGAAATTTGATGGTATCGATGAGAATTGAGTGTTCCTCTTTCGTGCTGAATGGAGCTTTGGGAATGGTGGCGTTGCTAATTGACACTTGGCGGTGGTATCGATCCAAGTGCGAGCTGAGAAGAGACCGTGTTCCAAAGCCTAAGTCTGAAAAGGGGCAATTGGCATGATCGCACTTGAAAGGCCGCTGATGAGCTCTGGTATGTCGATCTCTCTGGTCTCTGGTCTCAAATCCGGTCCTGGATGAACGACAGCCGGGCCAACTGCACTTGAAAATGCGAGGGCCGTAGAGCGTTTTCAACGCAACACAGTTGCAATTAACGCCATGGGTTTCCGAACTGCAAAGCAAATTCTCGAGAGAATTCCAAATACGTATTTGCGACTTCGAAAGTGAGAGAGGGTCCGTGTTTTGCCAATCCTTGCCTGACAAATGTTAGCATAAGTCAAGCGTGCAAAAGGCGGGCTCACCATCGTCGAAGCAAAGGTCATCCCAGCGCCTTCGCAGGAAAGCTTTGACTTCCAGAAGAGTCCCATGTACATCAGATGCTACGTCCCTGAATGAGTCGAGCTGATCATGCGCTGGAGGCTGTGGCCTTGTGTAGTCGAGATTGGTTCTTTGTGCGAGCAGTTCCGAGACATACGGAAGAAGACTATTCTCCTCGTGTTTGCCGGCCTTTTCGACATGATAGAGCCAGCTCGTGCACACGAAACCCTCCAGAACGTAAGCTCCGGAAAGTAGCCCTTCGAGCAGGTCTTTATCAGACAGCTCAGTGCTGAAGCAAGAGGAAGCGAGATATTTGGTGCATATCGAGGCTATATCTCGGTGTGATCTGGGCAAGCTGAGATACTTATTACTGTGAGAGCTGAAGAGATACCTGGAAATTGATGTCAGCTGTTGATTCCCTCACACAATGTGGAACATACTCCTGTACAGTATGGTGAACAAACTGAATTGTCCCATCTACCTCCTCAATAATCGGACCGCACCGTTGGATTAGATTAAGAAACATGGAGCGACAACCTCTGGATGGATCTCCATCTTGAGCAACGAGAACGGCGAGTTGAATTTCGTTTTTGCTCAGAGGTACAGCCGAGCAAGAAATCAGCTCTAGGATTATCTTAGCCTCCTGGCGAGCACGTGTTCCGATGTCACATTCAATTCGCTCGATAATCCGCTGGTATCTATCATATCTTCAGTACACTCGGCGCTTGACACAGGAGTGGAGATACAAACGCTTCATCCAGTCCATGTGGTAAGTTCCTGACTTCATGTTTCATGGCGTCTAGGGAGCTTTGTTCCGCCAATATGACGGAGAGTAATCGTGCGTAGAGGAACATACCTGAGGCGTTAGTATGCATGATTTGTAAGAGAGCGGCTGCTCACCTTCTGCCTTTGCAGCGACGATGTTCATGAGTCGGTGCACCTCCGATGCTATCACTGGCTCGGCCCCCATTTCTGCTACAAATTCGTCTGCCTTCTGATGCACATAATGTGAAAGGTCAGCAGAATTGTGGTCGTGCACCTTGACCGAGTCTGCCTTCGCGTCAAGAAGTCGGGTAAGATCATCCTCTGCTCTGCTGCTGAAAAGCACTCTGAGGCTTGTGACCTCGGATTGCATTTGCAGAAGCGTCTTTACAAGTAAAGTCCTTTCCAAAATTGTAATCTCATCAAGTCCATCTACGACGATGTGGGTGACTGGTTGATGTCTGATGAGCTTACAAAAGACATCTTTGGAGAAGGGGACGGAGCTGTTGAGCTGCCGATAGTGTTCATTGTAGGCGGAGGTGAGTACAGGCCTCAGACACTTGTTGTCAAGGACGAGTTGATACATGAAACAATGAAGTATCTTGAGCGCTGATGTATCGTGACGGTGGCGGTAGGTAAGAAACGCGAAGGCAATGTGGTGTCCTCTGGCCATTATTTCGCGGATAATAACTGAAGAAAGGTGACTTTTGCCTGGACACATTAGACTGAAATTATAAACCTGGCAAGATAACGTACCTGCGCCGGGAATGCCTTGAACCCAAAATACTCGAGAGGAGTCATCAGATGCATCAAGCCATTTCATGTAGGGTGAATGGCCGGCAAGCCAGCCACCAGTGCCAGCAGAACAATCTGCGGATAGCCTCTCGAGTTCCTTATCATACAGGGAAGGGTTAAGCGAGCTGATGACTGAACCAAACTCTTGACGGTCTTGGCTTTCGTGAGCCCGCTCGTATTCCTGCAAAGCTAGTTTGCGCGCTGTGTCTGCTTCTGCAATGTGTGCCATCTCCACCTCATCATGCATGAGCATCGTATGCTTCTTGATGTTGTCGATGATCACATCAAATCTGCCTGAATACTTCGGCCAGAGGATCTCAAACATCTCTTTCCAGCCTGTAGAACGATTAGTCTACTCAATCAGAATCCGTTCGTACGGCTCTATCTTACCCTTGAGATTGAAGAAATTGAAAACCGTTCCATAAAAGTCGAGTATATCCTGGAAAAAAAGGTAAAGGATCTGATGTATTTGATGGTGTTTTTCAAAAATGCCAGTGTAGAGCTGGAAATTTGGAAGCACAGCACCAATCTGCGCCATGGAATCGCGAATCTTATCGTAAGTCTTCAGGTGAGATTGAGCATCCTAAAAAAAAAACAATAAGAATCTGTAGCATCATGTTTCGTAGAAGGGCATTGTATGTACCACCAAGATGAATCGAATTGGCCCCTTGATACGTCAATACAAATATCCGGCATGCAACTGGTGGGGGATTTACCCAGATAAGAGCCAATACATCGGGCTTTGCTTGCACAAATGTTTCGATGACCTTTTCATATTTGGAAAGACCATCCAAGAATGGTTGGATCTTTCTCAAATTGCGCAGTGCCCTTTGAGCGGTTTGCTTTTTCTGAATTTCGTCTGTCGCATTGTATACATCGTCAATGGAAGAAAGCTTCGAGAAATCGTAGTTTGGAGTATTTTTGAATTTGAGGAGAAACTCTTTTCTGGCCACGTCGAAAATGTCGGCTACCAAGCCGGACGACATGGCGAAAGGCGAGACGAGCTCAGTGGGGGCCAAGCATTGGAGAATAGAACGCAACAGGACTTGGTTGAGGGAGATCGAGAATAAAAGGGTTCCAATGCGCACTAGCGATACGTCCAAACTCCAGAGCGTCGGCACCCCACTGAGACCGACGTGGCGTTTGTGCGTCTGGCAAATGCAGGACACAAATGGCCAGAACTTTACGAGAAGACATCAGCGATGCATGACGCAAGGCGCAGTCATCAGTCTAATCCCGATGTGACGCTGATATGCCTTGCTCATGCAGTGTAAAGCGGTCAAGGTGCATTGTGGGGTGCACTACCACCCCTTGTTCATCGACGAGGCTGATTTCGACGTTCCCGTAAAAGAGAAGCGACTTTCGATCTGAGCTCGACGTGAACTTTCCTCTTACATCACGCCATGGACTGGGAGGAATATTTTGGCTCCATTCAACATGAAAAAGGTGAAAGTTGTGATCTGTCGCAAATGCGACCGGACGGGACATCTCTGGGAGTCTCATTCGACGAAGACCTCGACCAGCATCGCCGCAAGAGGATCCGCCTGGATGAACAAGTCCAGAATCCGGTCATCCGAGTTTCTCCTCCCCCGAACTATTTCCATCCCACGGCGTGTGCTGATCCTTTGGCAACTCCAACTCAACCAATCATCTCATCCAATCATACAACCGAGCCTTATCTCCAAGTGTCTGTACGACCATTAACGCTTAGTCTGGGCCCTCAAGCAAGCTTTGGGCCTGATTCGATCACGGTGTCACACTCGGCGTCTGGGCAGGACTGTGAGGAGGCCTCTTGTTAACTATCTCATGCTCTATGGACTCATTACTTCTTGTAGATCAGGTCAGCGACAACGAAGATGAGATGGATATTGAGAGGCCAGAGCAATTTGACGTTTGCTTCGGAATGGTAATCATCAACTAGAAATGCCATTTCAGACCTCCCTGCTAACCCTGTCGTCTTAGATTATCGTTCCATCTCACTTGAGGCTTGATGCATTGGGAGATCCCACTGAGCCCCTCATCAAAGTCTCACTAGATTTCCACGACGATTTAGCAATCATTCGCAATTCAGAGACTCAAAAGTACTGTGGACTCCTTCCACATCAGACAGCTCGTCCTTTGACACTCATCTGCGACAAACATAAGGCAACACTGATATCGCTTCTCTCGATAAAAAGAGCGAAAAAGGGAGAACCGCCCATGCAAGACCTCTTGATCTTAGTCTACGGCCCAGGAAGTCTCGAGAATGTTATCGCCGACACCCTTGACGAAGCCGGATTGTTTTTACAGCAACCCCATGGCATCGAGTTGCTCACACCTTACAGAAATCCCCACATCCTTTCCAGGCCTGGCTCATCGAACATCATGACGGATCTCTCCGAGCGGACAATAATTTCTTCGAGGTCCACTCAAACCCTCACTGGAAATCGCTCTCTCCAGCATCAAGTCCAAGATATCTTTGACTTCGCCCAAGGGCCTGACATATTCAAGGAGGCAGTAATAAGCCCTCGACTAAGTACAGTGTTGAAGCCGTAAGTTCTGCAGAAATGGAATTTACGGAGTGTATCTACAAGCTGATGAATTTCAGACATCAGAAGAAGGCGTGCTCCATGATGATCGAAAAAGAGAACGGAATCCTTGAAGGGAATGAGTTCGGATCGTTATGGGTGAAAAGTGCGGAAGACGGGCGCTATAGGTAAGAAAGCCGAGTATTATATTCGAAAAACAAAACGCTCACCAGGTTCAGAAACACTATCACCGAAGGTACTCAGTCAGCGAAGCCCGTTATGTACTACGGTGGTATCCTTGCAGATGTAAGCCTCAATGAGCCTTATCACATAATATCCTTCTTGATGCGTGAATTGACATGTCCCAGGACATGGGCCTTGGAAAAACGCTATCCATGATCAGCTTGATAGTTTCCTACTTGGACCGCTTGGATAACGCATCATTCTCTCGAACTCAAAGAGATAAAAGTCACGCGACCTTGATCGTAGCTCCCCTGTCTCGTAAGCTGAATCCTATAAAACGATTATGACAAGAAGCTGACAAATAAAGTTTTACAAAGCTGGGAAGAACAGATCCAAAGGTAAACAGACAATACAGATCAGATTAAAAAGAAAAATGGACTAATCGATGATAGACACCTCCACGTCCAAGCAGTGTCATTTCATGTCTACCACGGGGCTGGGAGAAAGCCTGCTCGTCCACTTTGGGAACACGACATAGTCCTGACTACATATGACATTGTCGCAGCCGAGAAGTCTAAGACACTCAACGCAGATAACGATCAAGGCTTACTCCACTCTATCGGATGGTACCGCATAGTGCTTGACGAAGGTCGGTAGCAAATTCAAGGAGCCACAAAAGTTAAGATCAATGATGCTGATGGTATCCAGCTCACATCATCAGAAATCGCTCGTCAAAGCGTTGGAAGGCTGTCCATTCTCTCAAAGCTACCTGTAGATGGTGCTTGACTGGAACGCCCATATATAACAGGGTGGAGGATCTCGGCTCTCTTCTGGGGTTCTTGCGAGCTCACCCTTTTCATGAGCCCGCGTTCTTCAACAACAGAATCACAAATCCTCTAAAGAACAACAAACACTACGGACTACGAGATCTCAGGAAACTTGTCCAAGCGGTATCCCTGAGAAGGACCAAAGCATCTGTAAATGATGACCTTCAGCTGCCACCTCGTCGACAAGTAACACACGAGGTATTTCTTACACCTCGAGAGAGGAGCGATTACGACATTCTGCGGAAGAGCTACGCTACCATCATTGGATATCAAGACAGTCAGCCATCTCGATCTTCTGGTTCCATATTCCAAACAATCATACGAATGCGGCAGTTCTGCGACCATGGGCGGGCGCTCTTACCTACACACCTGGTCGACTTGTTCGACGCGCCATACTCGATGAGGCAACAACGACTGGTGGATGACCTTGCCAACGGAGCCGACAGATGTGCTATCTGCAAGACCACAACCGAAAGCTCAACTGGCGACAGGATTCCGGAGCTTGAGTGCGGCCATGGTATATGTGCAAAGTGCGAACAGAAGATGGGAGAAGACAAGCTTTCGGACAGCGGCAAGAACTGCAAGCTCTGTTTTGAAAGCAAGACTCCTCTTACGGGAAAGTCACGCAGCCCAAGCGCGATGCTAATAGACACTTATGCTGACAGCGGCTACGAACCTTCCTCGAAGGTGGAGGCACTGCTTCAAAACCTGAAATCCGAAGATGCACGCACGTCAAAGCAGTAGGTCTCGCTGATCTGAAGTACCATCGCCAGTGAAGCTAATAGTCTCGTAGTGTTGTCTTCTCATGCTGGACTCGAATGTTGAACCTCGTGCAAAAGGCACTCGCAGCTCATGGTTTCCAATTTGAGAGAATTGATGGCGACAAATCAATATCGCAGCGCAGAACCTCAATGGATAATTTCAGATCGAACACTAATTGCACTGTATTGCTTGCTTCCATCGGCAGCGCAGGGGTTGGGTGAGTGACCACTTCTTCCGTTTCACGACGCCGAAGAGCGCACCTCTAATGAGAAGATTACAACCAGGCTTGATTTGACCGTAGCATCGCACGTTCATCTTCTCGAACCGCAATGGAGTCCAATGGCCGAAGAGCAGGCACTTGACCGTGTACACCGAATGGGTCAGCTTCAGGAGGTAGTTGCCACAAGATATGTGGTGAAAAACTCCATTGAGGAGGTCAGTTCAAGTAAAATAGGTGTATGGCTGCAGCTAATCTGTACCAGTATGTCATCGAAGTACAGAAACTGAAGACCGCCGTGATCGATCAGTCCTTCCAAGAGGAAGGATCAATAGACATGATGAGCTTGAAAGAACGATTCATGAAGGTCTGTATTATCTCGTTTCTGATTTTCACCGTACTAATTAATGTTCTAGTATCTGGATACCAACGAGGAATAAGATCCACACTCTAGCCGATTACTCAGAGCCCTTCGACAGATGCAGTCACACGTACCCTGAAAATTGCACTATGGCAGGTTCTGACATGCGTTTCCCTTTTGCGTAGTGGGTTTATTCTTGGTATTTTCTTCATACAGATAGGTTTACGGTGTTGGACGCAACTATTATTCATGCTACACGTTCACAAAAATTTGGAATGATGCTTCCTCTAGCAAGAAATAAGAGCTACAGATCGGAACAAGATGACGAAGACGTGTGATACAGTAGAGTAAGACCGTATTTGGGCAAGTGCGGCTCGCACTTGCGCTCCGCGTGATCCGCTGCGGATCGGGCCGTGACTGGCGCTGGTTGCAAGCGTGCCGGTGCCGTCTTTACCGCTGCCGATGCCGCTACAGGCCGCACGCACTATGGTGCCACGGCGCTTCTCACAGCACACGCAATGTTCAGGCTCCAGCGCGAGATATGCGGGGAAGCTTCACTGCTGTCTCAGCCGACCACGCAGCCAGAGCCAGCGTGATCTGATTCAACTGCGCCTTGCTGCCCAGCTGCACCTCGCCACAAGGCTGCGCTGCGTCTACGCCTCGTCTCCAGATCCAATGCTTGTTGGCCAGTTGCTATGCCCTCAACCGCAAGGCTGACACGTCTGCGCTGCGCCGAGCTTGCTGAAGAGCCCCCTGCTCGCATCCTGTGGGGCTGTGATGATTCGCCGGCGCTGCGCTGGCGCTAGCCAGTCTTACGCACACGACGCGGGCAAGCTGGACACTGTGTTGCCTGGAGCGTCGTTATGAGAGGGCTCCGTGTGCCGATTCGCTGTCGAGACTGGCAGATTGCGTATCCAAGCGAGGTTTGTTTCACCCATGAGCGACCGGGCCGCTTTGCAATTTGTTTTGTCCTTCGCACGTGCTCTAGCAAGGCAGCAGCTGCGCGGCGGATCGGAAGTCGTGCTTCGCCTCACCGACCTTCTGCACTCAACATCCCACACGACACCGGCGCATGCAACACATGACTTTGATTAGGCTGGAGAGCCTCTTGCTGCGCGAACACGTCGCCTGTGAGATGCACAGCCCCCTGTTCGACCTCTGGCTCAACAGGATGCGTGATCGACCTACGCGCCGCACTGCAAGGTCGCCCCGCTACAGCACCCCACTCACTATTCGGCAGCTGCATCCGCCAACTGCGCAGCCTTGAGACACGCGCCTCTGCGGTCCCCCCACCCACATGACTTCCCAAGCATCTCGCAGACCCAACAACGTGCCAGCTCTGCCGTAGGAAAAGAACATATGTGGGTAGTTTAATTCCACATTCTCGTCCGGACAATAGCTTTAGCTACCCATGACAAGAGCAAAAAGAACCAAGTCCACGCTAGCCATCGGCTGCGAGAGGGGACTAAGGCTAGCTACGAGGTTGTCCGACCCTTTGACCCCACGTCGGGGCCGCAGCGTCAGGACTAATAGTTTCTACACCGCTCCAACGTAACGATTAGCTATGCTAATATCATGTGCAGTTTAACTTAAATTTTAAGAAAAGACCCACATTCAATGTTTATTTAAGTACTTTGTGGGTAACGTGAAAGTCATCTCTCGCTCAGCTGTTGGGTTATCCACACCTGTCGCGTCTCGTTCATTCCAATACTCTGTGATCGTTCTTTGGACATTCTTCACAAATATTTGGCTCTATCTTTGCACGGCCTACACAGACTGCGGTCACAACCAACATGAAGCGCAAAAGATCCACGGATCAAGTCAAGGCTAACACAAAGCTCCAAAAACTCATATCCCAAATCGAATTCTATTCATCCAATTGCTCGTATTGCGCCACAATGATCGAAACTTGGCATTCTCACCTCCCGAGATTCCATGAAGAATGTAGCAAATGCTCATCGCCCGACACGACCATGCCACGATTTTGCTCCTGGTGGAAACATCTCCGACTTGAACATTTGTACAAATGTTGCAAGTTTCGGACTCAAATCTTCGAGTTCGAGAATTTCCAACTGTGTCCAAAAGGTGGAAACTGCCCCGGTTGCCGAGCTATCCGAATAGGTATTGGACATTGTGGGACTCCGGAGCCACCAACTGGAGGAGGGATCAAACTGTGTTTTGACTTCGATGACCGATCAGCGCCATCAAATCAGTGGGTTCGTCTATCTGTATCCCACAAGGCGAGTGGGAGGGGATCGTCGATGACGATCTTTCGGGACGACCGTCGTTCTTCTGTTTCCGACGAAGCAATACTCAGGGAACACCACCTCGATGACAACGATTGGAGTAGACTCAGGATGGAGATTGGCACCGCCGATCAACCGAACGTGCACGGAATAAGTGGCCTCAAAGTCATCGATGTTCAAGAGAGGTGTATTGTTGCAGCTCCACCTGCTTGCGAATACGCCGCTCTCAGCTACGTCTGGGGCACTTCGGAAGCCGCAAGGAACTCCTTAATGGCAATGTCTTCCAATATCAACATTCTGGAGACTCCCCAGGGTCTAGATTCACAGGATGTCCCTGCAACTGTCAAAGACGCCATGACTGCTTGCGAAAAGCTTGGAAAGCGTTACCTATGGGTCGACAGGTTGTGCATTTTACAAGACGGGGACAACAGCGCTATGATCAATGTCATGGATCAGGTATACAGCCGCGCTGCCTTTACCATTGTTGCTTCAGCCAACGATGACGTCCTGCAAGGGCTTCCTGGAATATCCCGTAATCAAGTACGGGATTTCGAACTCAAAGTTCCCGGGTGGCGGTTTCAGGGCAGCTATTACGGAAACTGGCATGTGAATGGAACCAAGTGGAAAAACCGTGCATGGACATTTCAGGAAGAGTATTTCTCCAAGAAAATTCTGTTATTCGGCGAGCGCCATGTGAATGTGCCTAAGAAGACTGGATCTGGAGAGGACTTCTTTGCGATTACTCCGGGCTACAGTTGCCGTGACCTGTCCTACACCGGTGATAAAGTACGGGCTTTTGCAGGAGCGCTGAACTCTCTGTGCAACGGAAACCACCGATACGGCATTCCTTTTGAACAATTCGAGGCCGCACTGCTCTGGGCCCCGGAGTATCCATCCAAAAATGAGGAGTTCCCTTCCTGGTCCTGGGCCTCAGTGCGTTCAATTACGTACTTCTGGTACCGTCGGAAGCACTTAGGAATGCCGATTGCGTCTTGGGCCTTTTATACGCAAAGCGCCGCCAATGGGATCCAGTTGACTCCGGTTGTATCCAAACCAAGGGATTGCATAGAGACTTGGATTGTGCCAGACGAAAATAGGCATGACGAGTATGCCTATGTATCGAGAGGTTTTCTTACTTCATTTTTCCTCGCTTGGAAAGAGGGCTGCTTCGATGCGCTGATGCCCCCTGACTTTGAGGGAAAGGAAACGTGGGAACAAATCAGTCGAGCGGTCGTATCTGTAGGGGACTACGAGCACTGTTGGAAAATCACGAGGCCACAGAATTTGCACCAGGAATTTACGAAAGTGGCGGCCCAGGCAGGAGACGGAGACCCAAATCGACGACTATTGGTGCACACTCAGTTTGCTACTTTCAACTTGGACCAATCTAAGGAAAGCTGCGACCGACCCGGCCTCTTTCCATTGTTTGGAGTAGACGATACTCTCGCTGGGTGGGTTCTCTTGGACCGACCATCCGATGTCCAAGACTTCCCACTCACAAAGTCCAACGGCCGAAGGCGAGTTAACGTTCTTGTGCTAGCTGTATCCCAAGCAACAAAGGATGATGCTCAAATGTTTGAAGATTTATCGGGCATCCGTTCCTGGAAGGACACAACTGCAGATATATTTTATCTTGATTCCGATGGAGAGGTCTCTCCCTGGGATCATGATTCGAGACCTCCACTGGTCGTGCTAAATATCATGCTTGTGAAGGAGGCGGAGCTTGGTCAGTCCTACCGTCGTGTAGGAATGGGGAAGGGTTTATTGAAGAGGTGGAAAAATGGGAGCCCACGGTTCAAAGTTTCCATACTGGAGTGAGGTGGATTAATAGACAACTCGATCCCCTGTATGCGTATGCCTGTTTTCACTAAACCCTTTTTGAAATTAGAACTGTCTCGACTGACTCAAGTAGGTTCTACCCTAATGGTCTCTCAGCCAGTGGTTGTTGAGGAGCGGGCTAATCTGCTCCCGGAAAATTTTTTTGCAGCTTTGTCAGCACATTAGCCCGAGATTTGTAATGCTGAGCTTATCTTTCCCTGCGCTCGTGTTGGAGACGATCTCCTCCGAGCAGCATTTCCCGGTGGATGCACAGCAGGACTTCCAGAAGCTTGGTTCAAAACTTCACTCAACACTTCGCGCCTGCTCTCCTCAATCGTTTTTCTCTTTCCTAGACCTGAAACGCGGAGCGCCTGCCGCAGCTCACGTTCTTTTGGACTTGAGCAACCATGGACTCATCATCAAAAGAAAATAATACAGCATCCGTTGCGGAGACGTTGACCGCGACCCGAGCGGGCCGTGATCGAAGCTGTTCCTGTCCATCCGAAAATTGCGAATTCTCCCCAGCCTTCGACGAGGGCGATGAATACTACAAGGGTACTATGGCAAAAATTGCAGTGCATGAGGCCTGTACGCAATGTGAAAACATGAAGCAGGCCAACGATCTATGCCGCTATTGTCAGCACCTCCGTATATACCATTTTCTCGTTTGCATACCAGACAGTGGTCGTAGCCAAGACTGCTACCCGATTTCAATACGATGGCACACGATTCGAGACATTTATGTTCGAGCACGCTCTGAATGCCTAATGTGTCTCCAGGTGCTCAAGGCAGTGCGCCTGTGGGCCCATTCGTATGGAGAGGAATGGGAGCAACGCATATCACAGAGCGAAAACGGCACCGGAACCGCCTTTCGAGTGCAGTTGATCATCGGCACGGAGTACATTATTGGTGGCACGGTCATGGGCATTCACGTACCCGCAATCGTCATACACCTAGAGGAGGATGGGTCTAAACCTCTGGGGAATAGCCGTCAAGGCTCGCTGAAAAGCTTTGG